TATGAGTAAAGATAAGATGAGATAGTAAAATAAGAAAGATTATGATATATAGATGGAAGAGGATGATGTTAGTAGAAGCATAATAGATAGAGTAGAAAATAGATAGATGAAAAAAGATAGATAGATAGATAGATAGATAGATAGTAGATAGATAGATAGATAGATAGATAGATAGATAGATAGATAGATAGATAGATAGATAGATAGATAGATAGATAGATAGATAGACAATAGATAGATAGATAGATAGATAGATAGATAGATAGGAAATTACTGATTAAGTTACCAAGACAGTGACCCCCTGATAACTATCAACACCTGCTTCAATGATCTAAGACAAAAGTCATATATCCACCAATCATCGTTTGGCTTGCATAAAGATAGTTCTGTATTTAACTTTGAATCACATTTCAGCATGATCTCAAGATGGCAGAGCGATATAAAGTTCCTTCTCATTAATATTTTATTTTTCTTGTTCATCATCACAAAATTCACTGTGTTGATAAAGTAAATCTCAATAAATACTCTGCAAGTTAAAACTTCGTTTAATTGGTTAACTTAAACGGTGGAAATGCAATCGTCGCAGGACATTCTAATGTTCAAATTCAATCGATAATCTCTAAATTATGTTAGACTACGATGTTATGAAGGCAACGAACAATAACAAACAATAAAAATGATCTTACTATGCGCACCACACCTACCCCGCCTCCGCCCCCCTTCATCTAAGGCAATGAAATGTGCCGGTAGTGTCGAGAGAAAAATCAAAACGATTTCAACTTTTCCTAAGTCATTACGGTGCCGCAACCGTAATGGTTGCGGCTTCCGATGATATCGGGAGAGGTAGTTTCAATTTAAGTCGAATGGTTGCGGCATGCCGGGGAAAATGGCTCCGGCAATGGCTGCGGCAACCTTACGGCATTCCCTCACTCTCGGCTTTTCAGATATACACCTATTGATCGCCATTGATTTTTATCGCAAATGCGATTCTACTTGAAAACACATGAAAAAGAAAAGGCGAAAACTTTTGATTACCAAGGCAAAGATGCTTCATAAGACAGTAAAAATTGAAAATGACCTATGTCAACAAACTAATTTTTCTCTAACGTTCTTTTCTAGAGACGGTTTGGGTATCTATCTATCTATCTATCTATCTATCTATCTATCTATCTATCTATCTATCTATCTATCTATCTATCTATCTATCTATCTATCTATCTATCTATCTATCTATCTATATATCTATCTATCTATCTATCTATCTATCTATCTATCTATCTATCTATCTATCTATCTATCTATCTATCTATCTATCTATCTATCTATCTATCTATCTATCTATCTATCTATCTATCTATCTACGTACGTTCTTCAAAACTGGGTGTTTGTCTAGTGTTAGCATTTAGCATGATAATTGAAAGCAATGGCTGGAAAGCTCAGCTTTAATGTAAACTTTTCCAACATGGCTTAGTCAATATTTTAGATCATTGCAATATAAATGACCAAACTGAATTGTCTTTTTAAAATGAAATAATCGACGACAACGAATCTCAGGCGTTATTCATTTGGCATAAAGACAGTAGCAAAATGTATAAATGATAATTGTTCTCGTTGATTAGTAGAATCTTCAGTTGAATAAATCGAAAAGCGTTTTAAATTGAGGTGAACTTGAGTGAATTTTGAGGGCCTCTTTTGGACAGGGGGCCCTCAGTTATCAAACTAAGATGGTCTAAGTTGTGTTGAATCACTGCATCTAATCACTGATGCCGGACTTGGAGACTTTCTCTTTAAAAACGCGTAAAATGAAGCTGCTTTGCCTTTTAATTGAAGTAATGAATTGTATAGTAGTAAACTAACTCTTTCTAAAATTAAGTTCCGTAAATGATAAAAAATTAGCGACAGCTTCAGCATCAACATGTTTTTTATTGACCCTTGCTCTGTTGAACGATCTTTTTTAGATTGTGCATTTAATTGGCAAATGTAAAAGAATTGTCGATGCAATGTTTTAAACATGTTTGAAGAACAGAATCCAACTTTATTATTTATGATTGAGATCGTGATGCATTGATTTTGCACAGATATGCACATCCGGGACATTCATCCGTAGATATGCACATCCGGGACATTCATCCGTAGATATGCACATCCCCCGGCAGGCATCTTGTCAGTTCATTATCTTTGACTCGATGGAACCGCGCTGTTCAAAATGAATGGGACTGCTTCATTTAAAATTCAAACATGTTTTTTCCTTATATGCAAATTGTAAAAATACAAAAAAGGAGCAGGTTATTAATTTTTTAGAATCAAATTCTAGTAGACGATGAGCCATAACGGAAACTTGCGGCTTAGGTGTATGTTCCAAAATGTAAATCAAAATAACTAACTATTCAAGCTTCCTAAGGAATGGCCTTTTCAGTAGGCTTGGGAATTTTGCCAGTAATATGGAGTATTTTCACCCTAAGTGCCCCTATTCTTGGGTACAGCGTGGCAGTCAGCAGTCATCATTTGTATCCGTTCCTTCCAGCAATAAGTGACACCGGATCAAGAGAGCCAGAAGCTAACATCTTTTCGATGCTCATGAATTTGTCGGTCTTTTCTGGCATCTTTAACATATACGTCCGCTTCTATCAATGTGATCTACAGATACAATATTGCAGGGACATCAGAGAAACTCTTGTCCGCTTAAATCGTACTGGAGTCGTTTTCGCAGTGATAAGCATCGTTGGTGCCATAGTTGTCTCCAATTTTCATTCTCGTGCCGTAAGCTTTTTTGGCGTTTAATTTTCTTTGTAATTCAGTACTTTTAGTAACTTCATGTTTCCCCCGTTTTTGAATAACCAATGCCATCATCATACTTCATTACGTTCTTTTTAACAGTTTTAAATTGTTTTGTAAGTCTTTTATGTGTAGGTCCAAGGTAATTTTGCTACAAATAAATACTAATTCAATGGGGTAGTTGAAAAGTCTCTAGCCTCGATTCACTTGAAAGTAAAACTAATCTTGAAAAAAGTTCAAAGATTAAACGTTAAAATTGATCCTTGTCGATGATAGATCTTCCAAACTTTTTGACCTTGTTGGGTTTGAACTTTTTGAAGGGTTTTGTTGGGTTTGCAAGAAACATCATAAGAAAATTCTATATGGATATTAGTTGTAGAAACGTATTGATTGAATACGCATGTTACATTTGGTCGTTTTCCTTTTACTTGTCAAGCGTAAGCCTTTGCTTCCAATTTTTACCAAAAATTTCTGATCCTTGTTCAAAGAAATAAGATATCCAGTTGGCCAATTTCAAAAAAGCAACATGGATACTTTGAATTTTTAGCGACTCTTCAAATCACGAAATTCACTTGAGCCTTGGATTCACACAGCGAATTTTGGGCGCAGCAAATTAAACCATCAATCAATGAGATCACTCAAAATCAACCAAAACAGGAGTAATTTCAATGATTCTGTCTGAGTACGCAAGCGTTTGGAAATTGCGCCGATACGTTCACGATTGAAGATGGCTGCATTTCGTATCTTCCTAAAATCTTATCGTGTGAAGACAATATTGAAGTTTCAGATGTGGACGTGTCTGTTAACAGTGAAACTAATTTTGTTCTTCTGATTTTTCGCAATAAAAAGACAATTTTTCTTTGTGATTTGTAGTTGGCACACTATTGCGATGCGAAGTTACTTTTGTGGATGCGAAGTTACTATAAGCTTGCGATGCGAAGTTACTTTTGTGGTGCCAAAGTTTCACCTATGCAGCAGTTCCAAACCTCTTCAGGGCATCACATAATAGTTCTAAGCACTTCAATGCTTCATTGCCAGCAAATTGAATTTAATTTAATTCGCTGCATTTATATTTCGCTGTATGAACTAGACCTTAACGTTTTTACTACTGTCCCAAGCAGTGTAACAAGTCTGGGTAACATTTTTTGTATGTTTGCTGTTTCAATTCTATGTTTCACCGATGGAATTTACGCCATAGTAGCCAACACGGCACATATTTAGATGTTTTAGAATGGTGTATTGTCTTTTTTAGGACCGTGCTCTTGTGTCAGTTCACGATGCAGGTGCTGTTCTTCTTTTCACCTTCGGAGGCTTTTATTTCTGGATTCAGACCATTCTTGGCTATCTAATGCGTCCATATGGAATTTACTCTGGTTGCATCTGCCACTTAAGGCTGATAATGACAACAACTATCACTCTTTGCTCAATCATATTTTTCACTGGTTCTGCCTATGGGTACGAGCAGTTTGCAAAGCACAATCACCACCACACAATCAGTCAGTGGATGCCGGCAGATGGAGGATATGCGTTTCATGTTGTTGGCAATACAGCAGAATGGTTGGCTCTTTTTTCCTTTGTTGGCATGTCCTTGTCGTATTACAGTGAGTTTGAAGGTGTCTCTATCACTGTCACATGCAGAGAAAAGCAGATGAATCCAGTATCACCGGCTGATGCGTTAAGCGAGTATGCTCCTCTGCGCTTCAGTTTTGAAGACTGCACAGAGGGGGATAGGGGCAGCAGATGAACGTTGTTGATGTTTATATTCAGTTTGGTGAAGGTTGCTATGATTTTACAAATTGACTGTTCTCACTAAGAAGACAATGTGGCTGTCTTTAAGCGCTGTCAGAGCGACTTTAAACGTTTCAAGTCACATTCTATTGAATGTAATGGTTTTGGCAATTCAAACTGGCATTAGACCATAATAACAAATGGAACAATAATACGTAACAAATTTTGCTTCAGTGTGGCGTTCTGAAACATGTAAGAATTATAGTGTAGGGGCCACGTAAGAAGAGGCCATAAGATTTCTGGAAATGAATATTCCATAAATTAAAGATCTTCCGCGTACAGCAAATCCTTTCTTTTCAAAACTTTTATAGCATTAAATTCGACACTAACTTGCATAAAAAACATTAACAAGTGAATTACTCTTGAATTATTTGGGCAAATTAGACTTGTGCAAAAGATACACTGATTGTCTAAGCAGATATCTGAAGAAGACCTTTGAAAGAAATACTGACATCGCGCTGACAGTTGCACTGCAAAAAAATAAAAAACGAAATTAGGTGAAATGACAGTTACTTATAAACACAAACACTTCACAAACCTTTACTTCACAAACAACCCTTTTTTTCTCCGACAGACTAAATAAAACGGAAGAGATAACAACCACACGACGATACCTAAAGAAAATATTGTCGAGTTTTAAAACTTCAAACAAAAGCTTTCTTATATACACTTAAAGTTGCTAGTAAAGCTTCCACATGAGGGGGGGGGGGTGAGACAAAATATGCTGGCCTTGTTAACAGAGCCACATAATTTCGAGCGCGGAAATTTAAATCCCATCTCCTATTTCCACGCTCCAATTCATGTGTCCCTGGTAACAAGGGTAATAGAATATGCACCCGACCGCAAAAGGAAAGCATTGAAACTACATACTTCCGTGGCATTGTATGATGTTACCTTTGACATTTGATTGAACGTAACAAGTGGAGCATTTTATAATTGAGTAGCTGCTTCTTTCGTTAACAACAATGCTTCGTGTAATCATTAAATTTGTCCAGTTTTAGTTTCCTTTGGGACTAAAATGAGCCATCGATCTTTTCTTGATAGCTATGTTTATTTTTCAATAGTTCCAACTGGGATTGCTTTGCTACCCCTGTGTATGAGCTTATTTGTTCAACACTCTTCAGTCTTGATTAATAATGCGCGCTCTTTTAGCCCTTCTTCAGTAGCAAGCGAACACTGGATGCGTAACTCGTTGTAACTAGACGACATTCGCTAGAAAACATCGAGGAAGCATTCATTGAGGAAAACAGGCCGAGCAAAGATACAATGACTCTAAACAATCTTTTGCAATATCTTCATTGGTTCAGGAAACCATCTCGCACTAAAACTAAGGTATGTGGGTATTGCAGCTCCTCGTGACATTGATAGTCAACAACCCAAACAACGCTTCACTGTCAAAATCATTTCGTTATGATTTCATCTCTCAATAATATAGTTGACTGCTTTGCTGTTTATAATTGCTTGTTAAAATAAAGTAAGACAGTAATGGGCCTGGAACAGTTCCATAAATGAGACGCATAGTTGCATTGAGTTTCCGTTCGAGAAAGCAGACAGAGCTTCTTTATAGATAGCTTGAGTTCAATAATTTTCTAATTTTGAAGAACCTCTATTGCCTAACTTCTTTACATACTGTGTTATCAGTAACGATCAGAGGGCGTGGTCATCGGTCCTAAGAGCTGGTACAAACTGTTAAAAAAGAAAGCACATGGTCTATTTGAAAAATTGTACCAAAATATTTTTCAAGACCAATACAAGCATTTTGTTACGATAAAAGCTAAACTCAGTGTAAGTACTCTGATTTTGGTTATAACTATTGATGTTAGTACTTAGATGTTTTTGAAGGTTTCTAAATACCAGGCACGAAAACATACGATACGTCTAGTACTATTCCAATTATTCTCTACTGTTATTAAGGTTGCTTTCTTACAAGCTTTGTTCTTTAAAAAGAGTAATTTTGCTTAACTTTATCAAACTGGATAATTATCTGGATATTCAAATTCGTTTAAATTCAATGACAACTACAAAGGAAATTTATAAAGGAGTTTCTAGATCAAGTACAGTTGGCATAGCAACAGAAAGCCAAATGTTCGACAGGAATTGTAATGTAATTTGCTGAAAATTGTCAACGCCGCTGTAGATGAACTGAAAGAATTTTCGCGACCCATGTCCTTCAAATTAGCAAAGAGTAGTAACCTTGAAATATTCAACATATCTAAAATAGCGTGCCATATTTTTCACAATCAATTAGCTTTTGGCTGACAATATCAAGGGGGCTGGGCTAGGATTTTGAAACAAACTGAGAACATGGGACAAACAATTAAAACCTCTTCGTTTTAAAAATCCTACAAACCTCTTTGCAACTTAATTTTGAAACGACGTTCATATTAAGTAATTTGTAATTTTGTAATTTATTCTACAAATCAAGTAATTTTCAAATGATTTAATTCCGCCAAAAATTTCTCACGATGCTAGTACTGAAGATTTTGATTTTGCGATAAAATTCATATTTTGTATTTCACTCGATATCAATAACGTCCTGTACGCCCTATGACACCATAAAAGCCCTATGAATCCATAAGAATCTTCCGACCATTTCTTGGGGCCCCTTATTATTTGTAGGCCAGAGCCCGGTGGGCCCGGTGGGAAGTGCGGCTCTGCGTGAAATACCTTTAAATTTTGACATCGAAATAACTTCATAAACATAACAACTAGAGACCAGAATACAAAGATTTGAAGGGAGGAAAGAGCCTGTAATTATCTTGTCGCATAAGCAAAGGCTCTTTCCCCCTTCAAATCTTTGTATTCTGGTCTCTAGCTGTTATGTTTATGAAGTTATTTCGATGTCAAAATTTAAAAGTTAAATTTGGAATGGAAAATGGCAATGCAGAACCCGACTTAGTGATTTGGCAAGAAAAAACTCAGGATTGAATACAGAGTTCAGTTTCATCATGCATTGCATCATATTGCGCACCCCGCAATGCATTAGCCTGCGTGCAGAATCCAAACAATAAATTTTCAATTCAACTCAACGGAAAGGTAGAAAGAGGAAACAGAGGAGCCGAGTTGAAAACATTAGAGTCTGCACGCAGGCTACAATGCATCAACATTCCGAATTCTGACTCTGCTTTTCTGCCTGGCGTGTTGGACTGGATTATGACATAATGGGATGAACGGTTTGATTATATCTGCGCATTGAATTTGATATGATGCAATGCATTTTTGCATCATGAATCTAAATTCTGCATTAAACCCTGACTTCTGTATTGCAAATTGGGATTCAGGACTGTCGTTTTTAATTCCAAAGTCAGCCTTTAAATTTAGACATCGATTTAACTCCACAGTTTTTCATCAACAAATTCGTAATAATAGTATTCCGTTAGCAAACCAGATCTTTCATTGGCCATATCTTACTCGATTGCCACAATACACAATAGTACACTAATTTTGTTTTTTGGTGATATTTCATGGTGTTCTTCAAAGTTGTCAAAAGTAAAAAATTCTTAAAGTTCGATTACTTTTGATGCCATGCTTGAAAACCTTTTCCTTCAAATGCTTTCTACGTTCAAGCTAAAAATGTCGGTCACGTCATTTGTTCATGACGTATGCATTATCAAAGGCACGTTCTGGTTCGTCATTGGTTAACGATATCATTAACTGGCCGCCCACTGGCCGAAGCATTTAAATTCAATGTAAGATAGAAACCATTTATTTCATGCGACAGTGCTTACAGGTTTGACAGACTACTGGTATGGTCATTTAAAACTTTTCTGCTAAGAAATATTGCAAAAGATTAAACATATGGCTGCTGAAAGAAGAAATAAGACTAGCTTAAATTGCTTTTCTTCTAAATCACAGGATGGCGAAGATGCAAACAAGAAACTTTTTTCATTCGTCGATAGAAACTGTGTTGGCAGAGACCTTGTGTTTTGTGGCCCCTACGGTCCTATCTCAGGTATGTTTTACAGTTGAACCTCCTTATAACTTCCCGATAAGTTGAACCTCCTATAACTCAAACATTCGCTTAGTCAAACTGATATTATATCCAACTTGCTCCATGCATTCAAGTAAAAATGCCCCCGATACCTCAAAAATTCGTTACCTCTAGCCATTTCATTGCCCCTTTGGAGGTGGAGTTCTCGGGAGTTTACTGTAGTTTCTAATTCACGTTAACTGAAAACTAAATAATGTTTCATTGTCATATTTGTTACTTGTGATTTTTGTTGCAAAGCTTGTATAAGTTTTGATCAAAGAGCAGAGTATCTCGACCGGTTTTGATATCTTGACCCTGGTCTCTTGAAGCACATGCATTTATGTCCTTTATTCTTGAAATTGCTCCGATCATTTCGTTGTCCAAACTGATGCAAGAAATTTAAAATACCTTGAAAATCTACGAGGAAAATAAGCGAATTTGGAATAACGACGCTTCGAGCATAGCCCGTTTTACATCGAAATAAAGTGCATGTCATGGTTTTTTTAGTGTGTATGTTTGAATTCTTAAGTTATGCATAGAACAAATATTTCATCAACCCACAGGTCCTGAATGATTCAGATATACAACTTTTGCTATTTTATCCGTAGTAACATACTGCGACTATACAGCTTCTGGAAGGTAAGTCAGCTTTATCTCTGTAAACATAGCTTTTTAGTTCTCCTCAAAGAAAAGGAAAAACTTGCTTTTGACAAAATCTTCAGTCAATCCTTTTATATACGCAAATAACTAACTGTTTCTGCAAAATAACTATACGCAAATGAATAAATAACTAACAGACTCTTTCTTACGGCGTGTTACATTTCTTTTACATTGACTTCATGCCTGAAATACCACGACGCGCATACTGCCAGTATTCTGATTCTACTCATAGACTATTTTCTAGAAATTTTTCATCCGCTTTAGATATTATGATTTTATTACCTGAAAACAACAATAATTATTAACTGTACAATAGCTTTGAAAAAGCAAACATTTTACAACATACTAAAAGCTTGTTCGTCTGACACTCTTCAAAGTATAAAACGTCAGAATAAGGGTCCGAAAGAACACGATGGAAACTATATACTCAGTTGTGGATTGAAATAGGCCAATCAGAATAACGCAAGCACACTTATCAAAAGATCTTGTCCGATAGCAGAATCGCTTGTTTTAACAGTGTTTCTAGACCTACAAGATCGAGAAGGCTGTTCTCTTCAAGGGGTGGTTTTGTTTCTTATGTTGGAAGGAACATGTTGTTTTATCCTATCGGATAGGATGGTATCCCCCAATCTTTGGGCTCTGCGTCCCTACGTAGCCAGAATCACACTGACACGAAAACTCATAAACAACGGATCTCTTTTGGGCGGTAGGGATGCAACCCTTTTCAATGGATAGAAGGTCTCTCTTAGTGATGTAGGCAAAGCTAGGGTTTACAGCAAAAAAAACTTTGTTATGGCTTTCCCCTTGCTCAATACACCCGTATAAAAATGCCCCCGATAACTCGAACCATCACCTTTTCGAAACATTTCACTAGTCCCTTACCCTGGGTACCAGAGTCGCATAAATCCGGGGTAAAGTATTGTAGACAGCTGCGTTGGCAAAGTATGAGCAGGGCCTGCGCCACGAATTTGAAAGTGGGGTGCCAAAGCTAAAAATGTAGGGGGCCAACGCTTCTTGCCCCTTATACAACCGCAGCCATCCCGCTCCCCCCTCCCCAGTGGCATGGGCCCTGATGAGTGGATAATCCTCGATGAAAAAAGTTTTTTGCGACTAATAATGGAGACTCTGGTACCCAGTTCACTGTAGTGCCGCATTTGCTCTCCTTCGCAGTCAGAGGCAGTCATATCTATCCAATTAATCTCATCTCATTTCCGCATTTCCGTAGGTATTGTTAATGAGTAGTGGGATGCATTACTCTTCGTGCTAGAGGGCACAACATCACATCTGATTGCTTCATAGCTTAAATGACTGTAACTTGATTAGACACTGCACCTTTTTTAAACTGATGTGCAGATTGAAACTGTTTTCTCTGTCGACGATGTTTGAATAATATTCTGATATGAATCCACTTACATTGATTGTTTACGACTCGTAAATTACGAGGAACAGGAAATGAATAATTACCAACCTATTTCATGACGATTTAAAGGCGAGAGTGTTTGAGAAAAAGAATGCGGAAGTCGTAGGCCATCTTAAACCAAAACAGAAGTCAGGTGTCTTCAAATGCTGTTCTGATTGGTTTATTTTACAAGGCGAAAAATTACGCTTCGAATTTTCTAATCTCTACTTCTGCGCATCTTTTTCGCGCATTCGCGGTGAAAAATTCGCTTCGCACGAAAAAATTCGTCTCGTGTAAATCAGGCTTGAATCAGGCTTTAATCCTGTTCGCTGTGTCTTATAAATGCAGCGTTTTCAACCTGGTATTCCAATGGACAAGACCAATTTTAAGCCGTATTTTTTTGGAGTTGTTCATTTACCTCATAAACAATAAGGGGATAATAACTTTATTACTTGTTTTCCTTTTACCCAAGGTACAGAATAGATGTAGAAGTTCTAAGATAAAGGTATAGAAAATTGCTAGTGGTTTGCTAATTACCTTGCGCATGCTTAGCATAGCTCCCCCTTCTCAGAATATAGGTATCCTGTCGCTGTGTACGAAGAATGCCGGTACTCTTTTGATGATTTGTAGGTAGCTTCATAGCATCCGCTACACCCATGGGTAGTTATACTCTATATTTGAGTTGCTTTTTGGAATGGAAACCGTTATGAAGCTTTCAATATCAACTGATGCGATGATCTTCGAACCTTTCACCTACAGCATCTGAGGGTAGAAACGCTGAGCCGCGAAATTTAGTTGTTTATTGCGACAAAGATAGTTATTCTTTGCTTACTTGCTTTTAGGATTTGAAATTGCTTCAATTGGAAATTGTGGTGTTATTACGTTGCTAAGTATTAGTTTAGGTGACACGATTTGCTGAGGTATCTTCATTGTAGGAGCACAGGGCTCTGATATGCGAAGGAAAACAATGGCAAAATTGACAATAGCAATACACTTTTACCAATCAAAACTTTTATTGCCACTATATCCGTTTCTTAAATCACATTATGCCACAAAGGATTGATTGTTTTCGCAAAAAGCCGTGCTAACTTCCCTTCTGGCAATGATACAATACTTCTTTGCATTGTTGACTTCGTAATGACGTTGAGTTTCGTGGCCGCAAGCAATAGAAATCGGTACCCTAATTACAGGAAAACGAGCATGCCTTGCATAGCAAAAAAGGTACGGAGAAGCGTCTCTATATATGTATATATATATACATATATATATATGTATATAAATATAGGTATATGTATGCGTCCCCCGCGACCTACTCAATTCTTTGCACACAAAAAGGCTCTTTGGCTATCCTTAGCGGACAGAAGCCCCATGCGGGGGGATGAGGGGAAACCTTGGTATTTTTGGAAAGAGATGCGCAAGCGAGTACGCGGGGCACTTTTTAGTGTGAACCATTTTTCAAATACTCTTTTGAGTTCATGAAATATAGATTTTTGTGGGTCTCAAATATTAAGGAACATTGTATTTGCAGAAAACAATTAAAACAGTAATATTTGCAGCGATAATAATGCTAGCCCAACGCATAGACCCATCCCATTATTCCAAAGAAGGTAAAGTGGGTGTCTACGCGTAAGCAAGGTTGCAGGGGAAATACGCCATTTCACGATAAGCCGCGCCGCGTTCTTCTCAGGGCCTGGCACGAGCTATTGGGTGAAAAAAATTTCTGTCCGCCATAGTTACCGCAAGTTGTTACGTGCAGTACAGTGCAGGTTGCTCGATTTTAAAACATGTTAACAAGCAAATAAATTTGCTGTGCGTAGTCTGTTATCTTCGGGAAAAACTTTTTTAAAAGCTTTTTTAAGTACCTTGCTTTGGCAGGCTACGCAAATTCGCTCTTAATTTGTATTGTGCGTAGGCCGTTTTTATACAAAGATGGTAAATGGGAACTGTGTCGTAGTTGCATGCACAAACAGTACTTACAAGCTTAAAAAATGGAAGAAGGAAAGATGTGAATTTCATCCAGAATTCACTCACAGCGAATGCTCTTGTCCACAGCCCTTTCGTTGTCACACATTTCCAAGTAAGTTGAGGTTTTCTGCCATTAGGGATGAGTGGATTCGTGCAATAAATCGTACCACCAAGAGAAATACGAAGTCGCTACCGGGACTTTCCGATACTGTCTGCTCGAAACATTTTGTTGAAGGAGCACCGACAGCTTTGCATCCCATTCCGACCTCAGACTTGGGTTATGAGAAAGCAGCTAAGATGCCAAGAAGAGAGCTACATAGAAACGTCCCAGATGTTGGTGAAAAAACTGACGGCTGTGAGTCAAATCCTGTCCTATGTGACGATGGTGGTAACCCAACAGATGTTGGTAGCAATGTTTGTGAGTCCTGTGCAAGCAAAGATATTTTGGTGGGTTCCCTGAAAGAAGAGTTGGAACTGAAAGGAGAGAAAGCAGCATTGGATCTAAAAGTTCAAGATTTGTCCAAGGAGCTTGAAAAGATGAAACTTACGAATCCTAGAGGAGAGGACTTTTGTTTAAAGGCACTTAAATCGGATTCAAATACGATCTGTTACACAGGACTTTCCAAAAATGTTTTTAATTGCATTTGTAAACTGCTTGAGCCATATGTGCCAAACTTTGTTTACAGGCAGGGCAGAAACATTTTGTGTCCCGCAAAACCAGGGAGACAGAGGAAACAGCGGAAGTTGATCTCACTTACAAGAGCCAGTTTCTCCTTGTTCTTGTGAGATTAAGACTTGGCCTTTTAATGCAGGACTTAGCCATTAGATTAAATATTTCAGTAGCTTCTTGTTCCAGTATATTTACTACATGGATAAAGTTTCTGTCAACCTCACTTTCCCAAGCTCTAATTGTATGGTTATCAAAAGACACAATTGTGTCAAACCTTCCCAATGTTTTTAAAGAAGCAGGTTACCACAAAACAAGGTGCATCATTGATTGCACGGAAATATTCATTAAAAGACCCAAGTCCTTACATCCCCAAGCTGCAACTTGGTCTGATTACAAGAAGCACAACACTGTGAAATATTTGATAGCAGTATCTCCATCAGGGTACATTATGTTTCTTTCTGATGGCTATAGTGGAAGAACATCTGATCAGCAAATCTGCAACGATATCACATTATATAAGAAACTGGATTATGGACAATTCCTGCCAAAAGTCCTTGGAACACCCTGAGATTTCTGTGAATTCGCGTGTTCCTTTCTATTTCCATGTCAACAAGGAGGGTGTTGCCCCCCTTCCCCCGCATACAATGTTGATTCGCTAGCTGAAAACCATAGCTATGTAAAAATGTATCACTTGTACATGTAGGATTATTCATATTTCCGTGGCACAACATTGTACAAGGGGGGAGGGGATGTTGCAGCTCGTGCACAACGTAAATTGTAGCAAGTGTTCCAAGACTTTTGGCAGGCATTGGAGATGAGATAGAGGCTTTCAGATTAAAGACGATATCCTGCATTATCACTGTTCACTTGTGCCTCCTAGTGCTCGCCTGAAAGACCGCATCAGAATGCCAAAGAACAAAGGAGATCGCAAACCTAACGATACATGTAGAGAGGGCTATGAACAGAATAAAGACATACAGAATTTTAAAAACTGCAATACCAGTAACACTTGTTCCTTTAATTGATGACATAGTGAGAACATGTTGTGCTTTATGTAATCATAAGCCTCCTCTTATTAAAGAAAAGTAAAGTTGTTGTTTAATTGTCTGTATTTACTTTCTATTTTGCTAGAATACCAAACAATCCAGTGTGAAGAGTGGATAATCCTCATTAGTGGGCCCTGATGAGTGGATAATCCTCGATGAAAAAAGTTTTTGCGACTAATTAAGGCTAATTTCCGCGAGGCGAATTTCGCAGCGAATTCGCAGCTAAAAACACCGTTTCACACTGGGTAAAAAAGAAAGCTTGAATATTTGAAGCAGTTGAAGGAAATCTCTAAAACGAGTTTGTGTGAAACTTTCATAAACTCTAAAACAAGCGCGCGAAAAAGATTATTTTGCATACACTTACGTTCAAAAAGTATTGGGACACACTTCGAAACTTCGAAGACATTTTATGCAACAAATTCGGAAAGACTTTTTTAAATCTTTCTCATTAAAAAAGTACTGCAGCTATTTCCATGAAATTTTCACAAGACATTGTTGATATTTTGAAGCCTTTTATGTACGCCAAAAAATTAAAAATACATCGACCATAAAATTTCTATAGGTCTCGAGACGAAAACATGGAAGCTCTGAAAACTCAAGAACTGATTTAAGAGAAGCGCTTGCAAATTGCTTTCTACTAAAATAAAGCAAATGGATTTCGTAAAATTGCATCAATTGTCGGCTGCAAATTGAGTGCAGCATTTCTGGTGTTTAAAACGTTTTTCCGTACAAGAACAGTAAAAAATTTACAAAGGGTTGGCAGACCGAAGAGATTACGAGGCCGAGGGACGAAAGGACATTTCTGAGGGAACTGCGAAGTAATAGGTTGAATCCTTACTAGACACCATGTTGTCATGTAAAAAGAAGCTAAATAATGGAACATAAACAAAAACATGGCTATAAAAGTCATGAAAAATACAAATTTTTCAGCGTTATAAGAAGAAAATGCTCTCTCAAAGCAAGAATTAATCATCGACGATGAACACAATAGCTTCTCCTTGAATGTTACGCATTTTTAAAAGTAACTTGAATAAATGCAATATTTCAATAAAATTGTAGCATTTTCGTCGATGAAGTTAACTTTTTTTGAAGCTTAAAAGTTTGATTTTATAATTTCTTTGATAATTTTTTTGTTATGCAAACGTGAAATTAAAATGTTGTATTTGTTTGGACAGCTTTAAAATGTTTGGAAGGTCATTTGACTTTGCCATTGTTAAGCCATACAACCCTTCTGCATATTTTGCTGTCATAATCAGGAAAATCGAAAGAATCCTGTTTTTTCGTGGTTATGCTTCATAATTTGAAGCATTTTCTTAACTTTTTATTCCATTTTGGGGAAACGTAGGCCTAGAATATTTGTAGAAAGACTGCCCAAATCTGAAAAAGTTTCCGTTGCAAAACCGAATCTAACGCAACGCCATAATTCGTTTATCGAATTCGTCCCAATCCTTTTTTAACGTAAGTGTACATTGCTTCAAGAATAATCATCATATGGAACATAAACTTTTATAAAGCCTTTTCTTTTGTTCCTTTCCCCCTGTTTTTCATTATTCGTAAATACCCCGTTCTCCAGAGAAATCAAACAAGGAAGAAGTTCGATAAGTGGAACATTTTTTCGGTTTCATCGAGGTTCCACTTATCGAGAGTAGACTGTATGTTTTTCGATTTTTCATCATATCATATCAGTCGATTATTCATTTTTTCTCGAATACATTGCACATGCTTGTCAAAGTCGAAGTTACTCTGCAGCTCGATCTGGCCAAGTATTTCTTATTCATACTAATTTCCAAATTTTGACTGCTCAAGTTATCGGCCATGACCAAAGAGAAACACTTTTTATGTACATATACACTATATAGGTACATCGTTTATCCTTGGAAGGGCAGGTTTCTGTTGTACAGCACGTTTTTCTTTACAAGAGCTTTTATTTATCTTTTTTTCCACAGAGCATTACATTTTATTGAAGAATATATATTCAAAGAAGTTCTTCCTCATTATGGCAACACGCATACGACAACATCTGTTACTTCATTGCAGACTACACAATTCAGAGAGCAAGCAAGGTGAGTGTGATGATCAAACATACACTCATTTTTTTTAGAAGAAACTGGCTATAAGAAACCAGTTCTGGACAGTCAGAAAAAATTAAGAAACTTCAGTACTCGAAGCAAAAAAATTAAGAAACTATTAAATCGTGATAAAACTGAGAACAACGAAATTTTGTAAAATCCAAGAACAAGATTGCCCTGTTGACCTAGAACTTAAGACACAAGGGATAAAAATATACTTCCCACATCTAAATACAGCATCGGAACGAAAGCGAATCTCTTGACGTGATAAAAAAGGTCACGAATATTTCATAACATCATTCATGACATCATAATTAAGAAACTCTTAAGAAACAATGAGCATCGAAATTTCCAAAACATTAAGAAACTGTAGTACTCAACATCGACCTTTGTTTCTTATAAAAAAATGAGTGTAGTCGAGATGAGGCTTTGAAAAAGTAATTGCTTGAACAAGGGCGATCAGGAACAGGGACTTGAACTGACACAGGCTTCGTGTTACTGCATGACTTAATTCCCTTCACTATATCTACAATCTGTATGCATGTTTGTAATGACTAAAGAGTCCCGTGGCATTGACCAAGTAAGATGAAATAGAGTCACGATGCGGCTAATTTGCACATATCTACAAATAAAATCACAGAAAAATTTATTGCTATTTTTACCAGGGATATTTTTAAAATGTTCTAATCAAGATTTTTCAATTTTTATTATTTTGAAGCAATACCTCATCAGCTACTTTTAGATATACCAAAGAAGGTATATTTATCAACATAACATGCAGAAAACATGTCTGATGCTATTCTTGGTTAATACGTATATTTTGTTTAACTTTGTTTAACAGAGTCTTGTTATGCTTAACTTGGCTAAGCATAAAAGTCTTGTTTTGCTTAACTTGGCTAAGCAATACTTATTTTGACAGTAAGGCCCCATCTTGAAGAATACATTTTTATACATATAAGTGCTACACGAAAACATTAAAGGTGCAAAAATTTGTTATGCTTGTTCTGTGTGTAAAGTACAGCGTTGTTGCCGTTGGATCGTATAAAAGAGATTACATTTTCGGACGGCTACATGAAATTATGCGTTTTCAAAACGTTGCTTTTTCAAATAATGCCCATATCAGATATATTATCAAGAAATTGTGTTTCAAAAACAGATATTTGTGAAATGATCAAAGAAATGAATATGAATTGAAATTAATTAATTTTAGCGTAAAGATACTGTAAAAAGACACGGTCTCTTATGCAAAAGAAACAGGCTTGTTAAAGAGAATGATCCTTGGAATTGTTCCATTTTAAGCTTTGTAAGGAAACTCATTTCATGATTGATGAAACTGAGGAGCAAATCGCTCCATGGAAACCTCGTGCACATTTGGTATAAGTAGTATTGTTTTAAAGCGAAAACCTCCAGCAATCTATTTTTTATGGAAATCTCGTTTCTGTTTGCCAAGCGTGAATTGCCCCTTGGCAGGACATTAAGGTGCAAAACAACTTGAATCTGAAAAAATCCATTTTTGTTGTTGCTTAGGCTTGTCAGAACGCTCTCCACAACATCCAGAATGTTTGCTTCTATTCTATTAAGATGTGCCGTTCTCCATTGAAACACATCAACGTAACAACTTTTTATATATTTCCAGGGAAATCATTCGTACTGCTGTGAATGCTGGAAAAGATGACGCCGTATTATTCGTTAGTAGTGGTGTCACCGGAGCAATTAACAAACTTATTCATGTAATGGACTTCAAATGCCCTCCTGTAAGTCAATGTCATTTCAACTTTTGAAAAGTTTTTTCAACATGGCTTAGCTTTTCTTATGCTCCCTTGTTTATTCTTTTTCTAGTTTCTTTAAAATTTAAATTTCAGGTTGTTTTTGTTGGGCCCTATGAACATCATTCGAATCTTCTTCCATGGAAAGAAATTGGTGCCGAGGTAATTCATTATAATTTTAAATGCTTCCATTCAGCACTCTTTCTATTTTCGAAATCACGTACAGATTAACTAAAGAAAAAAAACATCAAAAGCAAAAACTTCCGGGTATTATTGCATCCTACTTACACCACACCTTACATTTTGCGAGCATGTTTCTTTTCTTGAAAATGAATGGAAATAATCAAGTTTGAAAAATATTTATGGCGTTTTTTAGATAATGATTTTCATAAACATCAGAGCTCAGAAAACATTAATTGCAACTATATTGAAATAATAATTCCCGTGCCGTAGCTTGACCTTCCTAACTAGAGGTGGAGGGTCATCAACTCATTAATAGTAAAATTCAACGGCAAAGACATAGATGAAGAGAAACGTAGGTGCTTTTTCACCTACTGATAGACAATTTTACCTATAAACTAAGAATTTGGGGGTTTCAAACACCTTACAACCCCCGCTAGCTACGCCTGTAATCAAGCCATTTGCACGAAAATGTTAGTCTCCATGATGCTTTATATGAGCTCTGTCCAAATTTTCTGGTATCAGGAATGGCGTGCAGCTCACTGTCAGGAAATTATTATGTCAAGGTGCACTAAATTTGTTATGGATAACCTTTCCAAAGCACTTTCCAAATTCAATACTCCTGTGAAACCATGGGCGAAGCCAAAGAATCTCGTTGGAGGGGTACTGAAATGGCTTTTGCCGACAAAAAGGCGTTTTTCACTTTTTAAGGATATGGTCAAAAGATGAATATCTTTTTAAATTCATCCTTTCGTGTCATACTATTAAAGTTAAACTACTACAAGAAATGTTTACACGCTACAATTGTTGAAAAAAGGTTACCGGGCGAGAAAAATGTATCCTTTTGCCCAGCAAAATTCTTTAATCTGCCACTGGGGGGTTACAGCGCCCCCTGTACCCTCTCTTTGGCGGTGCCCCTGTGTGGAACAGCTGAATCGGGCATTTTTACAAAATGTAGATCTTGAATATAAGAAACAACTGCCATCTCATGTTCCGTTTGCAGGTTGTTTGGACGCAAGAGGATAAAATTGGGAGGGTAGATGTCAAGTTTCTTGAAAAAAATTTAATAGTAAGTATTCTTTTTCAATTACTGATCAACAAAAAGACATATACATCAACTTTTATGAAACAAACCTATAAATTACATGAATTGAAATAATTCCTTTTGATGAGGCCACCGCCCTATTTTTCATGTTAAGTCTTTGTCTGCTTCCGTTCTTAGAAATTTTGACGTCCCTTCACTTTTTGTGCTTATAAAATCCCAAATGACAGAAAAGTTACACTGTTCACATTAATAAATACCAAAAAACTGCACAATTATACAACAGAAACCAGAAAACTCATCAACTTAACGTTAACCGTGGCAATTTGCCTCTTATCAACGTCAGAATTTCTTTGTACAAACCACCAAAAAACACAGCGATTGTTGGGCAGAAATGAAATTCCGCAATGCATAACTATAAATCCAACACCACCCATTTACACAAGACGTGGTTGAGATTTTGCCCGCAACTCGCGCGCGATAGCGCGCGAGTGAAGGGCTTATAGTCTGCCCTGCGTATAAGTAGCATATGGAAGCTCCAGTTCATGTTGTCAGCACTTTGTCAGCAGATTTTGTCACTTTTCTGCTGTCATGACAACTGTCAATCAATTTCATTGTCAATTAATCGGCTTTGTCGAGGAGGTCGTTAACCGCCACCTCTTTGTGCGGAAGGCAATTATCTTCGGAGCGTTGCTCTGCCAATACTCTGTTAAAGGCCTTCGGTTTTTTTGGCACGAAAACGGTGCTGCATCACAGCTCGGTTCTCCGCAATGGATGGAAGTTTTGATTCGAAGTTTTGGGAATCAAAACCAGTCGAATGCCACACCTTTCTCCTAAAAACTCGAAACCGTACTAGCAAAAGTTATGATTGTCATGATTATCGCCTGTAGATCGCTGTACGAATCCTTTATCGCAATCGATTTTAGCTGTACCCGTTCTATCATGTGTCCATTTTCATACGTCTTTGTTTACTTTACGAAAACGAAAAATAAATGTCAAACCCTCAAAAAAACTTCATGATTTTCAAAAGGACATTGGACTTAAGTCAAAAGCAAACTGAACACCAAAATTCTTGATAAAAAGAATAGTTTAGCATCAACCAGAGCAGCTGTTTTTATAAAATTGTGAAAACCCAAGATGGTGTCTTCTTCGAATGTCCTGACCTAAATTTTCAAAACAATCATTATCAAGGAACTAATTGTTTGCGGGCAGTACTAGCAAGAGCTATTTCTAGTATATAGAAATACAAAATAGAAATATAGAAATATATTTATTCTCGTAGAATTACAAAAACAGCAATAGAGTACTGATCGGTAGTTTCTCTGCGGCATCAAATATAACTGGGATTCTCACGGATGTTGACGCAATTGCCAAAGTGCTACATAAATACGGAGCAGTGGCATTCTTCGACTATGCAACTGCAGGTAAAAGTTTTATATTATTTTACCCTGTGTTATCTGTTTGAGCAAGACTGCAAAAATGTTTGTTTTCCAAATACTCTCACCGTATCCAGTGCTGTCGGAACGAAATTCGTATTTGGGAGGGGGGGGGCGGTCTTCCCATTGTATTTCTCCACATTCAGTACAGTAAAGGTATATACTACAGTTTGATAATTAATGGGGGCTCCAACCCCCCTCACCGGTTCCGACGGCCCTGGTATCTACAGAAATATAATACGATTGCTTCATTAAATTTGATATCACTTGTCCTTCAGCACTGCAGCTTTATTTATCTTTAGAAAAAGAAAATTTTTAAGAAACTTGTCAGGGCTTTTCAAAAAATTTTTGCAACCCTGAATTGACTATTTTGTGCCCACCTACCAGCCATATAAAATGTATATAAAACGCATTTATTGGATCATGAATAAATACTGACACTGCGAAGCGAAACCAATTACCTTTTACTACATGTGAACCATCTCCTAATTTCTTTCAAATCATTGTGGGTTTAAAAGTTCTTCAACTACAGTGCCGTAACCAGATTGAATGCTTGGAACTGTCTTACCCCTGTGATTAGTACATTTCTATCCCTGTCACTTCATGTTCCTTGATAGTGGCACACCTTCTAGATTATATCTTCTATGATATTGTTTCCTTTGTCAGTCTTGTGAATTTTAGAAAGCATCCTTAAAGACTCATTGCTAACAATGAGCTATTGCACTACGTAAGCTTCCCATAATGCATTTTTAGACTGTCTAAAATCAATTACTGCCATTGTTTGGACCGTCGCCACGCTCGCAAAGGCCCATTGTTAGCAATGAGTCTTTAAAACTATAAATATATTTGTTCTTTGTGTGCTCTTCAAAAAAACTCCAACGCAAGCTGGAAAGAAGGGGGGCCCATATGGATTCTGCAAAATCTTTATTGTCTTGCAAAAAAGTAGGGGCCATTGCCACTGGTCCCCGGCCCCCCATCGTTGGAGGCCGTGCTTCAAGTGCCCTAAAATACTGCGTTGATCTTTGAAAGCGAAAGTTTTAAAAAGAAATTCTCTTTGCTTTAATTATGATAAGTATGCCTCCTTAGAGTTTTGAAAAAATCTGTAAAGACTTAGCACCCGCAGTTCTTAGTTTCTAGATAATTTGATGAAACTGCATTTTAATAAAAGCAAGACGCAGTTGATTTCGTCAATATTCATCAATTACCAGAGTAACAGGTACTGACCGAGAGATAATCTAAAAATTTTCAATTTTTTTCATAACAAGTTGTCAAAGTTCTAAGTACAACTGTTTTTTTAGAAATATTATGTTTAAACTGGGCAATCCTTCTATTCAAATATCATTGGCTAATTATGCATTGCTTCCATAGCTCCATATGTAAACATCGACATGAACCCAAGGAATGAACGGTTAGTGATTTTGCAAGCATTAATTTACCTGATCTGTTTCCCTTTCTATGGTTTCTAATGCATGCCCTATTGGTTTTTCTTCATTAAATTTCTTCTTCAACATTATTTGGCAAGAATATTTATTGACAGTTGTGATGGCGCTGTAAATTCAAAAGATAACAAAGGGGTCAAGCAAAAGGATGTATGGTAACCTGTATGCCTATCAATTCTCGAAATTTTTGTGTTTAAAAGATGTTATCAAAATAGAATAACAGGACTTCATTGACAACGATGTTTTAAAACTGACCTTCTAGAGAAGCGGCGAAAGATGCTATTTTCATTTCAACGCATAAATTCGTCGGAGGTCCTGGAACTCCGGGTAAGCATTAAAAAATTTTACTCTATCCATTTTAGCCATTTTATCAAATTTTGATATCCGGCTCTAATTGATCAATCGTAAGTTTACTGGATGTCTGTCCAGTAATGTATTACTTATAAATTGCTTGACATTATAATTGAGATCATCTCTTCTCAAAGGGCTGCTCATTGCAAAAAAGAATCTGTTTGAAAGCTTAATCCCATCTCAACCTGGCGGAGGAACTGTGATCTTTGTAAGTATAAGCATTAAAACTTTACTATTGCCGTAATCCCTTTTTTTCGAACGCTAATAAAGTACCTCTAATTTTTGGGGGATTTTGTGTGGTCTCTATTTGAGGGAGATATTTTATAAAGTCAGTTGCTACCCAAGAGAAACATTTACTAGAAACAGTGTGGTTTTGCACAGAAGATTAACAGGTAAATTACTTAAATCCATTGACGCAGTGGAGGCTAATTTTTAAGGGGATTTGGTATAGATAAGTTTTGCCTGGATGGGAAGAGCTGCAGCCACCAGCGCCTATGTTTCCTACGCATATGCTGTATTCATTATGAAGCTACACATATTTGCGTTATATCTGCATTGAGCTCCAAAAATATGGGCTGTTTAACAAAGAAAGGCATTATTTTCCATTTCTTTTAAAACAAGACAGCTGGCTTTAATTAGAGAAAACATGTTATTTTATGTCCTCAAAATTGCCATTGGAATACGTTTCTTTCATCTCAATACCTTTGCCCTCAATAATCATGACTTTTTAAGACATTGTTTCATGATGACATAGCTTCTGTTAAATTGTTCCATCCAATGTTTGTTTCAAAAGTTGCCATTTTACTTCGAGGTGTGTTTTACTTTAACAATAAGCATATTCTTTAGTTGTAAATGCTTTTTAAACCTTCAAAACAAAGTCCTTCTTGCATTTTTTTCAGGTCACCGAAAGCTCACAGGCATATAACCAGAACATAGAAACGAGGGAAGAGGGTGGTACCCCATCAATCATTGAATCGATTCGAGCAGGCATGGTTTTTCAATTGAAAGAGGTAACATCTTCAATGCATTTCAGAAATACAGAGATAAACAGAATATTTTTAACGTTTATAAAGGAAGTTTGAAGAAACCAATGGACTCTTAATTTGATTTTATTCGTTTCTGTCCCTTTCCCCTTCTCCTCATGAGGTACCGAAAAGATCTGCTGATTCTTCAGAATAAGGGGTGTAGTTTGACGTGTTTTGTGAATGTTAATTGTTTTTGGCATTTCACTCTTAATGTGGTTTCGTCTTCCTTTCCTTTTTAGGCTTTGAAAGCGGAAGAGATCATGAAAAGAGAACACAAATTAGTCACGTGAGCCATTTCTTTGCTCATTACTGTGTTGGCTTTCTCTCTTTGTGGGCCAAGATATTACCAACGTCATCTTTTGACAGCAATGTGGTTCAGTATCTACATCACGATCAGTTTATTCATGTAGTGAGCCAATACATGAATATTGCACTAGATATTCTTCCATCGATTTATACATCTTCAAGAAACACATTTAAAACCATCCTGAGATAGGTTTCTTCGTGACAGTAAAGGAGGGCGGGTCACATCCCTGAATTAGCCCCTTTGTTATTTACTTTTCAATCAATATGAAGGCTACTGTTTATTCTGCCCATGTCTCGTTGATACAAAAAACATTAGCCAATAGACTAGGATAGGCTAATATCACGACTTGGGTTGAGATATTCAGATGGACAAATGGCTCACTATTTTGACCAGCAGTATTCACTGATTCACTGATATTGCGTCATCATGGGGTGTCAGGCTTGTAGTTTCGTAATTTCTTTTTACTTTTACTAGAGTACTGCTTTTGTGAAAATGATATGTCAATTTGTTACAGAGATGCTTATGCCTTTTGGAAAGATATACCAAACATAGTCATACTTGGAAACAAGGAAGCTGTGCGATTGCCAATATTCTCGATTGTCTTTTATCATAAAGAATCTGGCATGATGCTCCACCATAACTTTGTTTGTGCAATTTTGAATGATGTTTTTGGGATACAAGCCCGCGGTGGTTGTGCCTGCGCAGGACCATATGCAGAGGTAGGTTTTCTACTTGGGAATAATTTTTGCATATTTCTTAGCTAGTAGATCGGAAATAATGATGACTGACTTAGATTTGCGATAACACTTTTATGCCTTGTGGTTTTTAGAATCTTCTTGGTATGGATGAAGATGTGGCATTGAGATATTCCAATATTTTGGTGAAGGAAAAGTAAGACACACGATATATAAATATAATTTAGTAGAAAGAGTTTTCGATCTTTGTTCTGACATTTTATACTCTGAAGAGTGTTTTTCAAAGCCATTTTTAATTTCTGTGCTAGTAGAACGACGGTGGACGAACTGATAGATTTAGAAGAATCATGTGAAGTTTCAAAGTAGGTTTCTACTTTCGTTTGATAAAATGCTATTTTGAAGACATTCGTTTCACAATATTTATATCCACCCCTAAATTCTAATGTAAAAAGCATAGCTGTGAAGGGAATCTAATGATCAAGTGATTCGAAAGTGATTGTTTAGTATGATAACTGAAGCTTCATAAAAGTTTTCATTGTTATTAACCGACAAATGTTTTGTGCCTTTGTATTGTGGTTCTATTAAAAAATCCCACTCTGTATTGGTCAGCAACGGTTTTCTTCTTTTTGTGTTAATTCATTTCATTGGTATACGTTACACAGAACTAAAGAATCAATCCTTTTTGCAGCGACGGCAAATGTAGCTCTGGAGATTCTGAATCCCCAAGTGAAATCTTGAAGTAATTTTTTACTTTTTTAGCTCTTTGTTTTTGTTTAGAGTAGGCCATTGACGAGATTTGTAATGTTTTTAAGATTTTACCAAATGAGCAGATCAGAAATCACAAAAAAACCTATTTTTAGTCAAAAATCAACATTTTTGTCTATAATGGTAAAAATGTTACATTTTGACAGAGCACTGCATGATGCAATTATTCCTAATAAAGTCATACCAAAGATCATCTAAAAGTATTTTATCAAGTCCAGGCCGAAAACTGGCACTGAAGAGGTTTTAAAGCAATTTTTAAACATGAAATAAGTATTAGAGCTCAGCTAGAGCCTTAATAAATGGATTTTGAGCATGAAATGCATTATTTTAACGGAAAGAAATGCATTTTTTTCTTTTTGGATAATATAAGGTGGTAGGTTTATTTTTACGTAAACCTTTGCAAAAAGTATTTCAGAATTAACAAAGTTAAAATTTTAAATATGACAAGTAAATTTCAAGAGCGACCAAGGATCATAAGATTCCATTTAAAGGCAAATAATGAAAGTTACTATATATTAAAGAATTTGACCTAAAAATAAACTCATGAATTTTCGAATAACTTTTTTGCTAAGGTTTTGATAAAAAGCAGTTTGGAAAAATTGATTTGCATGAGCAAAGTAGGATTGAAAAATCACAAAAACCCACTTTGAATTACTAGAAACAAGACAAAAAGACTTTCACAGAATCTTAAGAATTATTCAGAATATATCTTCTAACAGTGACATTTTTTAGCTATATCAATAGCCAAATACGGGGACTATATAAATAGCAACATTACAAATGTTCAGATATCTATAGAATTCTCGTCTTAAATATCTGATTGAAAATCTATCAAGATTATTCTCATGGAATGGCAATAGTGGCATTCTGAGACATTTCAGTGTCTCCCTAAATATTGATTGAAAAACAGTTGGAGTATATTCTCTTTGGGTTCCAATTAAGCGAAAAATATATACATGTATTTTGCGTCACATCTATTTTGCATACAGGAATGAATAATGTTGGAAGAACTGCGGTGCTTAGTGCATTGAAGATTTCCCTTTTCAAATGGAATAGTTTTTCCTGAGGCGTTCTGAGTGATTATTTTACACCAACTATATAAAACACAGTGTACTCATTCTACGTACACAAAAACAAGGCATAAATAAATCATATTGCCAAGTTCCAGGTAAAAATTTTTCTTAGATGTCAGTTTATTATGGGCTAAAATTGATTTATAATGAGATTAAACAGTTTCAAATTTTAAGGAATATCAACTGGAAATTTTGCTGACAAACTCCTTTTTGGGGTAAATTCCATATTTGGGGTAAATTGTAAGTACTCGAGCAATTATAAATTGTAAGTACTAGAGTAGCTCTAGCAATTATAAAGCTGCGCTCTAATGGAAGTATTACTAATAAAACAAAAGAAAGAATTAAAAATAACAAATGAATAATTTTTTACGCAAGTGCTCTTATTTGAATAATCTTGTCCTTAAACAATAACATGGACTTAAGTCTACCAGTCTGTAAATTATTAAAAAGATATGCTTGCTAAAAGGTTCATTATAGGCCATGAAATATTTCTTCCCACTGGTTGATGGAATATTTTCATTCCGATATGCTCCCAACCTTTTAACTATTCTCATTCCATCTTTTTACGAGTTAACAGAACATCGTTTTATGATGGGACAAAAACATATGGATTCTTTATCCTTGGTCTGTAAATCAACTTACAAAGTTTGAGTAAACATGACTTATAAATTTTCGACAGCCAATTAAAACCTGATAGTATCAAAACAGCGATTCGGTACATTCTAAAAGACACTCATATTTACTCTCTACAGAGAATTAGGATAAATTCGAATCGAAAGCAGACATATCGATTCGCGTCAGTTTTTCTTTTTTGCAACTGATATGGCTGATTATCCTGTACAAAGAATGACAAAAGCATAATTATTTAGAGCAATTGTTTAATATTTAGAGGAAAGCATTTCAAGAATATCAGACTCCTGAAATCTGTGCTGAACATATTTTCAACCTAAAAGTTTCATGGGTATAGTTAGTAAGACGCTTTTAAGTAGAAACTTGATTCACATGTTGTTTTCGACAGATTGTTCTCCTTTATGTAGTTTGAACGAGCCATGTCTGAAATGACATGACAATTTCATCTCTATTTCACTTTCACTGCACTTGTTAATGTTTAAATAGCATCTTCAAACTCATCTGTTGAAGGCAACTTTTTATTTTTGGCAAGCATTGATATGAATTCAGAAAGCTTTGTTTGAAACACTGATTTCTATTTTAAAAAATATTATTGTCTTAGCTTAAGAGGTGAATGTTTTTATATTAAATACTATAGCTTTTTCCCTTTTTCGACAGACCTGGGTTCGCTCGCTTAAATCTTCCGTTCTTTCTTTCTGACGACGGGGTGAGGTATGTTCTTGCAGCAGTGAAAATGGTAGCAGAGAAAGGGTGGAAATTCCTATTGCAGGTCTGTATTATAGAGAAAACATATAGTTGATTCGGTGACAGTATTTGTGACGTAATTACAGGAAAATTGTTTATAAATGAGATGAAAAGATAACTTGTAAGAGACAAAAATGTAACTGCAAAACCAGTGGGCACATAATTATCTTGGTTGACAGCATGTATACTTCATTCAATTTAAGTTTTTTGCATCCTAGATTTTTACACATACCAACAACCCATAATAAAGCTTGAAAAGCTTAGCTACTTCCAAAGTGCTTCGAAATATTACAAGGTCAATAAGAACATCTTCAAAAGTATAGAAGAGAGAGAAGCAGAAAAATCTTATCATGTTTAATAGCACTATTAAGTTGAACATTGAATCGGTTAGAGAATCATCAAAATATCATGATCATTCTCTTTCTTGGAGTACACTACCCTATGACTCTCTCTATTTGAGATACTGTATAATGATTTCAGTTGTAGAAACCTGACATTGCAAACGAGCTCCTGTCAGAAATGTATCAACTTTCAGGGGATTATATCTCAAAAGGGTTTTCATATTTTACAGAGAGTACGTTAAAATCATTTAATCAATTACAATCCATAGCCATGTGCAGCAAATAAAACAAGGCGAGAATATGGCGAAAACAAGGCGAAAAGACATTTAGTTATGGTAAATGTTTTCATCGGATGACACAAAATCATGCATTATTTTTGTTTTGTTTTTGCTATCGGATAAATGGCATAATGATGATGTCCCTTGAATTTCAGTATAATTACAATAAAGCAACTGGTGAATGGAGACATAGAAATGATCAGGTATGCACTCTTGGATTTACATCAGAAATTTACATAGGTTATTGACAGTTTGCATATATCGAATTTGGGGAAATAATTTAAAAATCCAACAGAGGTGAACTGTGAGCAACACTTAAAGCGGAGTGTCACCTGGCTATTGTTATTGCACTTTTTACTTTTAAAATTTACTTTATAGATGTTTTTTCCTAGGTGATGAAGCATCGAAAGACTATGGGTCAGATCAAATATACAAAGAACGGAATGACATATCCTAAGGACAAAGTCTCAAAAAGCAAGGTTCTTAGTTATAAGGTACTTAGTTTAAACAATTTTGAATCTTTACACCTTTTAATGATTAAACCAGTATTCAGCATCCACGATCCGAAAGGTCTAGCTGCTTCTACCCAGTTACGTATGGGTCGAAGCAAACTAGATCTCCATAAGTTTAGATATAACGTTAAAGTTTAGATATTGCTGTCCTGCCACTTATATGGTGCTCATAGCCATGATCTTTTTGACAATGTCAACTGTCAATGCATTATTACACCAACATGACCTGTCAATTTTTCAAATGAAACGCTACTTGATGATTTGTTGTATGACCATGAAAGGCTACCAATTGCTGTTAATGTAGAGAAATAATCAAGTTCTTGTTCATTTTAGTAGTTTCCGTAATCAAAGCCTGTTTCAAAAATGTAGCTGGATGTATATAAACATGCAAACCCTCCTGGGTGTCTCGCCTGATACATATTTACATCCTCCTTGGGTGGCTTGCCTAGTATTATTTTTGGAACAGACATTGAGATAATTGAGAATGGTCACTGGGTTGTTATGAAGATACATGCCCCCTTGTACCATAGCTTGTAGAAGTGAACTGTAAATTTCTAGGAGCATAGAAAAGATGATAAAGTATTGCCCATTGGTAAGAGCTTTTTCATCCTAAAGGCAATGCAAGGTAGTCGTGAGGTTCACCAAGGAGCGTCTTTAATGACTGGTTTGATATCCCTCTTTGAAATGAGGTCCGTTTAGAAAACGGGAAGGCTCCTGTCCCCGAGGGTTGCTTCGTTGGCAATTTTTCGATCTTGTCAGCAAATCAAGGATCGCACAATCACTTTATCGGGACTAAAGAACTAAGACTTGGTTAAATCTGAGTAAAATAGCTAGCGAAGACCTCGAGCATGGGCGTAGCGGATGCTAAGTGCTTAGGGGTGCGATAATACTGCCCGAATGTCTGTTTAGGGGGTTGCAACCCTCTTAGCCCCTATGTGTCCTACACCAGTGGTCTGGATTAACCACTAATGTCAACCACATTTTTTCCAAGAATTTTACCGAACGATATAGTATAATCTTTAGTGTGGAATCTACGGACAGCCCCATTTAATAGCCTCTCCTCTAGCTTTGAGAAACTCATGTCATGCCATTAATGTTTACTTCGTTCCTCTCTCACAGCAACGCTTAAAGAATGCAAAGCGAATTTTCATGGAAGCTGGCTTCGAAAAACATTTGAAAGATTATGAAAAGCAAGTGGCTGTGAGCAATCTATGATTTTTTTAAATTTTCTTGCTGAGATTCACATGGAAATTGCGGTTTAAACGAGAGGGGTAACCTTTTTTCTATTAGTCTAACAAACTTGGAAGTGAATGTTTACGAAAAAAAGTTTTGAACAGTATTGAACAAACCAGCCAAAACTCGTTAACCAAATGAAAAAGGAGACCCCGAGTCTAGAGTTATGAAAGAATTTTTTCCAAATTGAAATACAGTAGGGTTCAGAATTTTTATATGACAAGATTTGATATGACAAAGGTGATAAAGATAAAGATTTTGATTACAATTTAAAAGGATCATTTAGGGTCAAAACGCTTAACGATTAGGCAGTGTCTCTTTCTAACTGCGCTTGGATTGAATTCAGTTACTATTCCTATTTTCAATTTGTTTTATACTTGAAATCCTAGGCCAGGGATCGAAATGATGAAAATATTTCCAGCTTATTTGACGAAGAGGAAGAAAAGTTACGTTGGTTTTTGTTGCCTTCAGAGGCAGCATCCTTTTTCAATGGCAATAGAAGACAGTCATGCATACCAAACCCCCCATTCACACCAAGGACCACAATTAAAAGACTTGCAACTATTAGATTGATAAAAGGATCGATCTCGCCAATTACTGGCCAAGAATAACAGCCATGTGTGCTTCTTTTTCTTGCCACATTGAAGCGGAAGTAAGTGTTTGTTTTGAAAAAGCGAACCATGGTAATCTTGACTACGCAAATTTTGTGTCCAGTGAAATCGTTTAATAGATTTCTTCAGCAATATTTAAATATTTATTTTTTATTGGCAACGCCAAATTGTTTTGATTTTTAATACAATTATGTAAATATGTATTGCATTATTATCATCTTTATAAAGAAAGTTTATCAAGCATTATGTAATATGATCTTAAGTCATATTTAACAAAGTTTTCAAGTCAGAATGTATGGTAGATTTAATTGTAGCAACTTAGTTTGCATATCAGTACTTCTCGATGTTTATAATGTTTCTAAAATAATTGGTAGAATTTTAGTTGAGATGTATTATATTCTTTCCACTTTCAAATGTTTCCTTTATATGCTTTTCAACTTAGTTTCCTTGATTGCTCAAAAAAAGTTTCTGGATACATATAGCAGAACACACAGACTGTGCGTGACACAGAGCATTATGGAAGAGGTTTTGAGCAAGAAATTTTAATGTCTGCATCTCGTTTTTAGAAAAGGCAACAATTTCTAAATCACGTGTAAGCAGTGGCGGAGCCACGGTGGGAATTGGGGGACTAGTCCCCCTCCACTTTTTCAGAAAGTCGGTCCTTGAGATTCTTGCAAACCTGATGAGAAAATTTCGGGGGGGGGGGGGGTATGTACGTTATCTAGATCGTCACATTTAAATGACATTTCTTAGGAGACAAAAGTTGTATCCTCCGGAAGAAAATATTTCAATCAGGGGAAAAGAGCATGGTCCAAAAGGGCGTGATCCAAAAGGCGTGGTCCAAAAGGGCGTGGTCCCTGACACACCTTTTGTCCCGCCATTTATCCCAGGCTGGAGCCACCACTGCGTGTAAGGGTTCCAGCGCAATCTTAAATAAAAAACTCTCAGCAAAAATTTTGCTCCTTAGTTCGCTTTTATTGATATTGATCAGTAGGTTGGCTTAAAAAAAAGGGGACCATTTGACGGCAAGAACACGATAGCTCATGCCACAGTCGAGAACAGTCGTGTCAGCACAAAAGAAGAAAATTGTCTTCTTCAGGCACAAATTTACCTGATTGAGCAGAGAAAAGGCAAGTAAAAGATTTATCATCAATGGTGTGAAAAAGGCGTAGCAGGGGGCATGACTGGCAAATGCCAGCAGGGGCATAGCGACTGGGGGTGTGGGGGGATGTCACACCCCCCAATAGTATCTCAATAGAAAATTTCATGTAAAATCCGCGCGGTGGAAGAAACGCTTTAAGTATTTCAGAGACCTTCATGTCATAAAATCAATAAAGGATCAAGCAAAGGCAGTTTCTCCGTTGGTTAAATATGATTTTCCTTGATATGAATGAAGGTAAACAAACTAATGATTTGAAGATTTGAAGATTGCTTGTTAGCAATTAATTAAAAAATCCAGACCCTTTTAAGGTAAAATTGTGTTTTATGTCCATTTCTTCTTAAGTTTCTCAGTATAAGCGTCAACTGCAATTTACTATGAGCTCCAGATTTTTCTTAACATTCAAAAGGCATGCTTAGATGTAGCCTGTGCTCCAGACCCTTTTATGAGTTAACGTAAGTTAACGTGAGTTAACGTGAGTTAACGTGAGTTAATTTGAGATAATTTTGTGACCTGACATGGTTTAAAAATTATCTCATAGTTGAAACGGTCTAGCGATTGGTTGAAATTTGGCATCCATAAAACGGCACAGCCGGAAAAGCCATTCAAGCAGGTACAAATTAGGATTCTTCCAAGAGAGAAACCTTATCAATAGATTATTCTGGAAGTCAAATACATGTGTAGTTTATGTGCTAGAATGATAAATAGTGATTGTTTCAAATTTGGCAGAATGCAAGGGCATAAAGGGATCATTGAAAACTGAACAAGCGTGCGTGCCAGAAAACAAATATGGAATAGGATTCCTTCAGCTTGATGATATATCAAGAGAATCTTGAGTTTCGCTAAAAAGGGGAAACTTTACCAATACTGCTTTCTTGAAACTTAATGGTTTAGTATCGAAATGTTATGAGGATCTAAGGCCTGGCTCTAACGTCGCACTTCTCATGTGCCGAACCTAACTCTGTTTAGAGCGACACTTGAGCATGTTTAGCGCGACTCCCGTTTCAAACGTCGAATCAAATGGGTTTTAGGATTGTTACATGAAGTATCTTGGTTAAGGCGCGCAATCTCAAATATTTGTTTGAGACGCATACGTCCTCCAAGAAAAATTGAATTCTGGGAAGGAAAATAAATTAAATATAATTATGCAATGAGTTCGGTACATGACAAGTTCGACGCTTGAAACTGTGCCTTGCTGGAGCCGTGCAGCTCGGCAAGCTCTGCCGATCCAAACTTGTCTGCCGCTCCTAACTAAATCTGCCGTACCAAATTGATTCAAACGTCGCGACCCTAATGTACTGAATTCTCGAGTTAGGTTCGGCACATGAGAAGCGCGACGTTTGAACCAGGCTTAATACTATGTAAAAGTTAAATTCCTACTTTAGTGTGTAGAAAAATATGGTTTTAAATTTGCAGTCCTTCTATCATTGATTTTTCAAAGTGTATCAAAGTGTATACTTCTGGCAAGTTTCTACCATGACTGTGTTGAAGAAAAAGTTGCGTTAGTTTTCTCAACATGGTTCCCTGCATTTTATAAATGCGAATAAATTGATGCAAAAAAATTACCACAAACTTGTAAGAAGAAGGGATGTGTTGATGTGAAAATAAAAGTGGGGCCCTCACTTGATAATTTTCCCAAAATATTTTAATTATTATCATTGTTTATATTTTTTAAATTATTCGATTCGAAAATAATTTCTCAATGAAAACAATAGCAAAAACTTAGAAAATGGCTACTTTCTGGTAAAAGGGCGACAGGGGAAAGCAATCTGGTCACCGCTACGAAGGATTCTGATGACGTAATTTTAAATCAATATTTCTTTTCTTAGAAACCAAACTCACCTAACCACAAGAATCCACAAGCCGACAACAGTTTGCAAGGTGAAAATTTTTATAAAATATGAAATGTCAGAGAAAAAGTTGAAGAAAGAGCAAGCGAAGAAAGATCTCTTAGCAATTATTAGGGAAATTGCACGCGACAAAGATGATGACTTGATTTTTGATTTGGAGAAACTTCTCAAAAGATGGGAAGCTGCTCATCCTGGCAAGTTTAAAGACTTCGGGCTTGGCCATGCGAAGCTAACAGGTTTCCTAAGAGATGAATGCAATGTAGAACACATTGATGGCACAGAGTACAAGATTGTTCAGAACAAATCTAAATCTGAAAATGAAGCTCTTTGTCCAAGGCCTGTTCAGGAGAGCCAAATATTGTTCGATAGCACTGCCGCACTGGAGGAAGATGATGTCACAGTTTGTGAGGCTAGGCCCGAAGATGACCAAACAACTTCCCCGAAACCTGCAATTGCTCTAAATGATTTGAAACATGAAGTACTCACTGTCCTTCAAAATTTTATTTTGCATGGAAAGAAAAAGCGTAGAAGAAGCTTTTTTACGATCGAAGAACTTTCTTTGGCGTGGCAAGAGAAAAACCCTGGTCCGTTCAAGAAATACGGATACGGCCATTTTAAATCGTTTCTTGAATGTCACTGTAATTTTAGGAGACCGTCGGATTGTAAACAGCGCGATAAGTTTCAAATTTCTTTGCAAGATGTAGAAACAGAGCTAAAGAATATTCAAATTTTTCGAGGAAATGTTGTGAGTAACGCCAGTAAAAGCAACAAAAAACAAAAAAAGCTAGAAGTTAACGAAATTTCCCCGGTTGGCTGGACAGGCATTCAACACGGCGTTGACGGGAGCTCCCAATCTCCACAACCTCAGGCAGTTATTTTTCAAACAGATAAAGTATCTAGTTTCACTGAGACTATTGCCTTGCCCTGCAATGCCTCCAATGCAAGTGTTTCAGCTCCACCCCAAGAAGTAGACAATGCATGTCATTCAACCAAAGAAAGTGGCCAAAATGAAGTTGTAGACCAGGATACCCAGCAATCAACAGTATCATTGGAGAGCACAATTTCACAGTCAGAGTGAGTTTTGAATTTTGAAATTTTGTGTATATTTGTAGAAATATAACGGAGGAATTGATAAAAGGACAATGCAAAGAGTCTTTCTAGCATTGTACAGACCACCCACCTGAGATTATTGCAAAGCTGTTATAATTTGATTGTCTGTTGAGAGGAAAACCATACAGACATGGAAATTATTGCAAGCAGGTCTTAAATGACCTAACCATATTCACCATTTTTGGTTTTACAAAAATCATGGCAGTTATAAATGGGCTGGTTGTAAAACTTTGATTGTCTGCTTAGTCCCAATACTCCATGGTTGCAGAATCATTGAGAATACAAAATGGAAAATTATAATCACAAGAAATAGAAAATAAAGGTAAATCAAATAGTTGTTAACTTCAGCCTGTTTCTTACATTAAGTTATAGAATAAGTGTAACATCCTTGTTCTGACAATGGGCAAATAAGTCCAGTATCTTATAAGATGCTGTTGGTTTCTGAAATTTAATATCGTCTTTTGAAAAAGAATTTCCTTTATCAAAAACCAACAGCAAAAAAGGAGATTTTTCTTTCCTTAATTTTTAATGGAAATTAACATATTGTCAGTTGCTAAGCTAGTCATCAAATATCTACAAAATTCTAAAATCTTAGGAGTTAATATTTAAGGGAACTGCTTGCCCCGTCTGCCTCTCTCAGAAGAAAGCAGGAGGGACAGCTGCCCTTGCAGCCCCTCCAGGGTAGCCACCCCTGATTCACACCATGGTTGTTTAAACCAAGGGCTCCAAGTACCTTGCTTTGTCCAGCTGCTCCAAAACTGCCAATAAAGCTAAAGTTTCTAATTTTCTTTGGCCAACAAACACTTGGCCCACAAAACGTTATTCAATTATTCATTCTGGTTTTGTGTGAGCCCTTTTTGACATCTTTTGAGAAAATTTTCGGCTAATAATCTTTGAAAAATTGGTTTCAACTCTGCTCTAAATACTTCTAGCAAGCATTTTGATAAAGAAAACAGCTTTGATCCACTGGAAACATCTTGTTGGTATTTGCGCTGGGATGTAGAGCCTTTAGGGCAGAATTGATGCTGATTGTCCAATGACTCAGTAGAATCAGCAATAGAATGATAAAAGATTGCCCTTATGGCCTCTTTCATCTGTGAGACAACCATGTCCTCTGACTGTCCCACCATCTTATATTTTTCTACCCTTTGCTTTAGTTTTGTGACTACATAGCTACTTCTAATGCGTTTCTGGATGTGGCCTATACAGTCTTCTTTGGGCACAAGATAGACTGCTCATGCTTTTATAGACAGCCTCAGTTATTTCAACATGTGAAGTAGAACCCCCATATCCAACATATGTGACATATTTCAATTTATGCCTGTCAATCAATCTTACAAACATCTCAACTGCAGAGTCTTTTTCCATTGACTTTGCTGATTTCTTGCAGTTAACTGAGCATTTCCATCAATCAATCAATCAATCAAAAACTTTATTAATGTGTCAAAAAATATTTAGCTTACAAGCTAATTTGGGACACAACAAAAAAAGTATATAAAGTTAAATTAGAGCATAAAATATGAAATTACAGTATAATTATTAAAACATAAAAATTTCTAAAAATCCTATGTACAACTAAACTAGACCACAGTCCATGAATGCTCTGTGGCCCAGGTTTTGAACCTGTCTGAATCTTTATCCCACTGTGCTCTTGCTCGACACTCAAAACAAATTTGTGACTTGAAGAGAAGGTCTAATACTTCTCCTGTCTCTATAGACATGATGAATGTGCCATCAACACTAACACTAAAATGCTAAAAAACAGTTTAGTATGCTTGTAACCTGTTAATTACTTTCTAAACAAAGTGTGACAGTCATATTTTAACGTTTTATATACGTAAATTCAAACCTTTTTTAGTTTTTGTAGTTTCATTGTCATTGTCTGAGGCGTTCCTGTAACAGTTGGGTTGACTTCACGCTTACTTTTCCTTGTTTGACTTGCCAGCAGTCAATTTTTGATGATAAACTAAATTAGTGAAATGACGAAAAATTTAGAAAGCGCCCACACTCGAAGTACCCCCTTAGAAAAAGCGCCCCCTCAAAAATGTCAAAAATTTAAGCGCTTTTTAGAGGAAATACGGTACTTGCAAAGTTACAAGTAGTCAAAAACAACCTTGTTATGAGAGGACATTATTCGAGACATTTTTGGTTGTATTAGGAAAATAACCAAGATATTGGAATTGGACCAAGGGAAAGGAAATATTTTCAGACATTGCAGCAGTTATGAAGGATGCGGTTTCTCAGTCTGCTAACAGAAAATACGATAATGACGATGACATGGTTGGCAAGAACATTTTTACATATTTCAAAACGTCAATTCAATAAACACAAAAAGCTACTGGAGCAAAATTATGACCTTCCCGGTGGGGCTAAGCATTTTCAGAATTAATCACCATGTGCCTTGCTCTTTTGCTAATAATTTGGGCCAAGACGTGATGCAAATTCATTTGTTCGGCTCTTTTTCATTCATATCTTCAAGCCGTCCCGATTTTTCCCGATATTAAGACTTTGTCCAAACCTTAGGTTGTATTGTATAAGTAACTTTGCTTCAAAAAGCGCATTTTCAATTGAACTGGAAGCAGCCAAATTTGAAATTTTCTCACTCTTTGGCGGCATCCAGTGCCGCCTCGGGTAGTAGAACCAGACGTTTAATTATGATTAAGGCCCTTTTACCAACAGGGAACGCAAATTTTACCCCCTGGCGCCACCAATGCCTAAAATAACCAGATAAAAAAGTCTAGCTAGAAATATATAAAAGGAAAGTTCTTTGTTGCTCATTAGTGTTATAATTAAGTTTCAAATTAGTGTTTTATCTAGAGTTTTAGTAAGAAAACGCTTTTTATCTATATCAACATCGACTAAACTAGCTATTTCATTCAAACAGGAAGTACTTCTTTCAAGTTGTAACAGTTCTTTACAAATCTGGTCTGGAAGGACTTCGTCGTCTTTTTATGAAGATACATCCGACCTGGAAGAATAGCATGCAAGACATTCAGAGTTTCAACAAGGGTCAACTAAGATTGGACAGTCACGAGACTCGGAAGTTTAAATCTGGTGATATAGGCAGTTGGGACATAACGTTGATGGCAAAAGTACTGCTGTATTCTGACCTTGCAGTGTCAGCATTGCAGAATGACCAAATAGACGCAGTGAAAAAAATAAGGGAAATAAAAAACACTATCCTGTCACATCATGATAGCAACGAATTGACAAAAAGCGAGTTTGAAAAAATAATGAAAGAACTGAAACCAGCAATAGTGCAAGTCGGAATCATCGAAGAAGAATTTGAGACAACGTTGAGGAGTAAGTAATTATAATGATATAAAAATGTTTTTTTCAAAGTGAATAGAATATCAAGCAATTTTCAGAAATTTACTCAGCTTGTTTGGCGCTTTTACATTTATTGAAGATCTCTGTGGCCTTGTTTGCCCCTCACTCATTTGCAACACCCAAATCTTGTCACACCATTTATTAACGTCTTAACAGTATCTTGGCTTCTTTTTGCCACCTAGTAAGGGTCTAAAACGACCTAATCTAATTCACAGCCTGAATGAGACTGGTCTTCATTTTCATATTCGTCATTCGCCGTAAGCTATATGATATTGCCAAGTATTGAATACAATTTGCACAGTGTAAAGTTCAAGAGCATAAAATGATCTCATTTTCTCTCGTAGATGCCGATTTGAACAAAGATAACTTATACTACAAAATGTTTCTTGAAGAACTTAGGCAGAACAAGAAAATCACGGAAGAGATTTCCGAAGGTATCCATGAAATAATAAGAAACTTGGAAAAAATCAACCAAGGTGTTATCAAACAAAGTGAAATCCCAGAGTTTCTTAAGAAGCACAATCCGAACAGTTGGACTCAGTGGCTAGAGATAAAAAAACATTTGAAAAATTTTGACACTGACAACAATCAATATATATTGGTTACTGACAGAATCCCGTCATTGGATGAAGAGCAAGCAAAAATTTTGGCTAATGTTCCCTGGAAGTTAGTTCTAGATCTGGATCCAGACTCTGACATCCGTGGATTTCTAACTCAGTTCACCCCGGGTGAGACAAAAGGAGGTATGATTGAAACTTATACCCCAAGTAACCTAAAAGAAGTTAACAACGAAAGCCTTTTGGACAACAAACGGATGCATTGGCTTTTTGTAAATGGTAGGAATTTGGAGTCAAATCCAGCGAGCCAAAGGGACTTGCGTTTGTCCAATCAAGACATGCCAATGCAATCAATTAAGGATTGGAAGAAAAATTACAAAACTCCGATCGAGGATTTTATCAAAAGTTGTTGCAAAAGTTTAGACAGCATGAAACCGACATTTTGTGTTGTTCTAGATATCCAGAGAGGTGTTTCCACTCAGATTGCCCAAATTATTGTCGAGAAATTGGATGAAAGATTCATTTATGGTGGGTTCGCAATGAGCTACCTATCTTTTGCGCCTGAAATTGATATAGATGACCTTCCTAATGCAGAATTTTCAAGTCTACCTCTCAATCTATTTGTGACTGGTGTTTCTAGCCTCCTTGGTTGTTTTGATGACAAATATCAGTTGCCCTCCAGTCAAGTTCATTTGCCTGTCTCTTTGTCACCAAGCAATACAACTTCCTCACTGAATACCTCGAAATCATGTACAGAGGCTGCGAAGATATACCAGATGAACTGTCAGACGACGATAAAGAAAAATTCAAAAACAAGCATTTGAAATCATTCCTTGCTGGCAATGTTATCACTTTCCCAAGCCTTTATTTCCGTCATGATGCCACAAGAAACATTACCACCGAGATCATTAATTACATCAGGTCTCTCCAATCAAAGGTCTCCAAATCACAGATTGTTCAGATAACGCATGCTCCCGGTAGTGGTGGTACAACCGTTGCTCGAAGGGTCTTGTGGGATCTTCATACAACTGTTCCTTGTGCAGTCGTGAAGATGGAATACGCCCCTGAAAGCTTTGGTCCCGACTCAGATGGGGAAAAATATCTTATCAGCCTTTGTGATAGGATCTCCTTCCTTGAAGATCGTTGTAGAATACCTCCAGTCATTCTAGTAGATGGAAGTTCAAGAGTAGCACGCATCTTGTCAGATTGTGTTGTAAGGAAAATGGAAGGACGAGCAATTATTCTTCGATGTTCCAACTACCAGTCAGGTTCGGAATCGGAGGACAGCTACTTTCAAAGCCACAGTCAATTCAAGATAAATCCCGAATTAAAAAACGACGATGCAGATTATTCAGAATTTAAGCAGAAGTATGATGATTACAGTAAACGCTTTCCAAATAATTTGCCTGGAGCAGCAAAAGTCTCTAGAGTATTCCATTTCCCAATGATGGTAATGCTTGGTGAGTTTATAAAGCTAGATGAGATCGTGCAACAATCTTTGGATATCGTGAAAAAGAAAAGTCCTGTAGAATACGAGGTCGCAATTTTGGTAGCATTTTTGCAGGGACACTCAACATTTTCCACACCTGCATCCCTTCTTGCAAAGTATTTCGAGAAGAAAAGTCAAACATATGAAGAAATTGCGGGTAATTTTTCTGCAAATCTGATAAATTTAATGGTTCCTGAGAAGGCACCCACAAAAGAGAAGTTCATAGGTTACAGAGATTCGCTGTGGGACAGTTCTGATGACGATAGAAGTGTCATATCTATTGATGATGCCAGTGAAATCGATGATCGAAAGCAGTCTAAGCGGATAATAAAATCATATTCCTTTCAACATTTAAAGATTGCCAATTTAGTGATGAAGCACTCAGGACGAAGTTTAGCTGAAATAACTGAAGACTTTATACATACAAAGGTTCTTGAAAGTTATAAAGGAAATAAAGACTACAAGTATTTGATAGATAATCTTTTCTTGTATAATAAGGAAAACAGTGAAGAGCATTTTTCAAACTTAGTTCTAAAGCTTGACAAAATTCCGAATGGAGGGAGGATACTGGAAGATGCTGCGAAACAAACCAAAGACGTTACATTTTATTCACACGTAGCAAGATTTTTTGCATACAAGGGGAAGTTCCAAAAAGCAAGGGAACTCATAAAAGAAGGATTCTCTGCAGAAAAGAATGCACCTGTTGAAAAAAAGCGAGGCGTTCACAACACTGAAGGATACATTGTGTTAAAGTGTATGAAGAAAAAAAAGGAAGCTAAAATAGAGAATATCGAGAACCTTAAAAGCTACGCAAAAGAGGCCTTAGACCTCTTCAGGAAAGCAAGAGATAACCCACCAAGGGTTTACCCCAATCCATTGCTTGGAGAAGTTAACGTTTGGCAGTTTTGTCTTGAATGGATCATAAAGGTTAATGACTCTAATGTGGAACAAGCATTGAAGTTCATTCTCCAGGACGATTTCTTCAGCCCTTCTATCAGTGAATGCATCTCGTTGCTGGATGAAGTAGATCAGATAGTTCTAACAGTGCCAAGTTTGATAGATCCTGCACGCACCCGCCATTTAGCTAATGATGCAAGAATGGCACTTACGCAGTCGATCGGAAGGTCGTTTAACAGTAAAAGGAAGACATATCGTGCTGTGAATGTACAATTACTGTGTAAAGAAATCACTGAAAAGTACTTCCGAAGTGCATCCGAAAGGGAGATCATTCGCCTGCGAGTGTTGTGGCTTTTCGAGCAGACAGAACGGAAACTTTATTGCCTTGAGAGACTTGAGCGCCAAAATTTGTATGATTGGTTGTGGAAGCTCGTTAAAGATTACAACATGTGGGTTCACACTCGTGATCTTATGGATGCTGCTGCGATCCAACCTAAGCCCCCCTTTTTAATAGATGACGCATTGTCATTGGTGAATGATTGGCAAAGAAATATACCAAATGATCCATTGAGCTACTTCTTCAAATATATTTTTTGTTTTCTCCTTGTCTGTAATGGGGAAGTATTCGACTATAGAGCAATATATGAAGATGCGAAGGAAACATGCTCTAAAAAAACCCATAGCAACCCTAGAAAGATTTGGCAGCAGTATTATTTAGGAAAAGAAGGCGAGAAAGGCAGCATTTGCACAGTTCTGTCAAGATCAGTTCTTGAGAGTAAATATGTTGAGAAAGACAAACCTAAGAATTCAAGAAATGATGACGCAAATGAACATCGTCGCCACGAAGACCTACTGGACACGACATTTTGGGAAACGCATTGCAGGAAATATCTTCTCGAATGCAAAGGCAGAATCTATCTGAGTCCTTCGACACCCAGAGGAAGAAGACATCCTTACATTATGATGGAGCCCGGAAACTTGAAAATAGGGGTGCCCAGAAATGAAACTGGTATTCCAGATCTTGATTATAGACCAGACTCGCGCGTTTCTTTTGTTGTTTGCTTCACTTTGGCTGGACCAAAAGCACGTGGAATTCTTTTTCTCGATGATTCTCAACAGAGGGGAACCAATGCCAGATATAAGAGACAGGGAAGCAGAAATGAGAAATCAAAGAACTGACTCAAATCTGTTATGTCGATAAACTTATTATTAGTTCAAAAGGGATGCCGTCCCTAGGCTGTATAACATGAAGGGTTTTAACCAGGATATTAAGCTTAAGATTTCACAAACCTAGAGTCAAAGCTGTATTATGAAGTCTTTTGCAGCTTTTGGAGAACTTCTCGATTTTGTTGTTTTTAACAAATAGTTATAAGAGAATATGATGTTCCACATATATATTTGATAATCTGTTTATATTTGATCAGGTAATAATTTAAATCACAGTTGAGTAAACAATATGAACAATATCTTCATTTGCCAAGTGGTACATATGGAAGATAATATACTGGACCGTAGAGAACATGTTAAACATTTATTTAAATGGTTGCAAGGTGGAGAGAAGCAAGTTGTATCTGTCTAGAACCTTTAAAAGCAGTCGCAGTTAATAAATGCCCTTTTGTTGTTGGAATGAGGAACGTTGGTTTTATGTTTTCATGTTGTTCTAGTCTTTTCGCTAGGAAGTTTAGTTTGGATTGGTAAATACCTACCACGAACTTTAAAATAGATATAATGTATATCTCAATATTTAGACATGTTGGATTACCGTCGTCGTTTTGCTGTGTTCTTGCATATTACCTTTCGTCCAATCATATTGCAAAATTCACAGAGTTCGGCGGACAGCCTCTCCAGCTTATCTTCCTTCTTACCAAATTTAGGTTTTTATTGTCAACTGATGTTTAATATGATTCAGAACAAACACACAAACCTTGTTTTGGAGTAGATTTCAAAAGCGGCTTTTAACGACAAGCAAAACTGCCAAACCAGACAGACAGTTTATGATAACTTTACGCTAACAGCGATTAAGAAAGATGTCTCACAGGGTTTACTTGTTGGCCCCCCTTTTTTATCTATGTAAATGATTTCTTATGATTTATATAAACAATCTAAAACTGGCCTTTGGTTTAGGGATAATAAATGATCTCTTAACGTCACATACAAAGTCCATGCAAATTGGTGTTTATCCAAAAAATGAAGCCCACAATATAATGGGTGCAACACTTTATAGAAGAAGATAAAAATAAAAGAAGAAACTCATAAGGTATTTGAGATAACATATTAAAACCGAAGACTTGCAGGCCATCAAATTTTCAGACAAAAATTTTCCGAAATCTAAGTTTGGTCTAAACTTTTCCTTCCGAAGGTTTTCGATTTTATGTAAATTGGAGTACAAGTGGGTGAATACCTACTTAGCAGGATCAAGATACTGCCGTCTAAATCAAGGTATCTAGAACGAGAGGGTTTTTTAAATACGCTCATATGTTTCTAGCATTAACGAAATCGAGGACTTCATACACAAGTAGTGTTGAACCAAATTTCAGATATTACGGTTGTCCAGTTTGGCGTTGTTGTTACTCTAAAATCATTTATAGATTGCAGAAATTTCCTTACCGAGCACCCAAAATCGTCAAAAATAGAAACTTTATAATGTTCTTGATTTATCCTTTGTTATGGAAGGAAGACCATAGGATGGAAGACCATTTGACCAGGATCCTTTCTCAACATGATGATGAAAGCAGCTTTAACCCAGTCTACTGGTTCCAGTATGCCGAAGATGCTGTATGTTTTTACAAGTGGGAAGCGTGAGAACCAGCTACTGCTGAACTGCTTCTCGCGATGGTGCCACTGGGCTAACATGATCATAACAAGGGTGGATAAATGTATTACCTTCGGCATCAAAACGTCTGCAACTGCCTCTCACCAATATCAGCCAAACCTATTTATTAACAACGAGATTGTACCAGCTGTTTCTCAAAATGAGTCTTTTAAGTATCTTGGTCGTTCTTTTGACTTTGAGATGAAAAATCAAGTGCAAAAAGCTTTTATTGAAACTCTTCTAAAAGACTTACTCCACAAAATTAATGCATTGCCTATTCTTCCAAAGAACAAACTTTATCTGTACCAAAGACATGTTCTTTCTAAATTATCATGGTATCTGACTATAACTGACTTGCCAAAAACATGGATTGTTGAAAACCTTGATAATCTTGTTACAAAATATGTCAGGCAATGGCTTGATCCTCCAATCAGTTCTACAATCAGTGGTATCATTCTCCCTAAAAGCAGCTTTGGTCTTAACTTTCAGCTTCCATCTTGCAAATTCCTGCAGTGCTAAGTCACCTATTGACGGTCTCTAAATCACTCGAAACATGATCAAATCAAACATCTTTGGCAAAACCCCTCATACGGAAAAAATATCCAACATGATCAATATATGAACACGAAGGCAGTTTTGAAAGATATTAGAAGCCAGCACAAAAACAAACTAAAAAACCAGCTCGCAAGCCAAGGAACTATAATCACCTTTCTACTAGAGAATTCTCTGAAACATTCCAATAGCCTCTGGTCGACTGCACAAAGCTCTTTGCCTAAAAACATATTTAACTTCTCGATAAGATACCTCGACAACACGCTTGCCACTAGGAATAATCTCTTTAAATGGAACTTATCTGAAACCTCAACTTGCTCTTTTTGCCTCCTTCCAGAAACGCTGCTTCATGTCGTAGCTGGCTGTAAGACATACCTTGAAGATGGACGCTACATCTGGAGATATAACTCCGCACTAAACTTTCTGGTCAAAAACATACAGCATCTCTCGAACACATTTTTATGTGCTGATCTTTCATTTCATCTTACCCCATCCATTATAACAGGTGATTCTTTGCGACCTGACATGCTACCGATTGCTTCAAGGAAAATCATTTACATCATTGAGCTTACAGTTGGCTTTGAGACAAATCTTAATGTTAGTAGTTCTCGCAAATAGATAAGTACAAATCTCTTTTAAAACCTCTTAGCAGTTCGTACAAGTCCGTTAGATATGTTAATCGCTCAATTTGTTCTCTTGGTATCTTTGGGCAATCATGTTTACTTTTACAGATAATCTGGACGATCTTGGTGTTGAAAATTCCCATCGTCGCTACATCTATCTTGGTTTATCAAAGGTTATAATTCGATGCAACTACTTTATATTGTGCCGTAGAAACAAACCTTGGCCTAACCCAGAGCTTCTTTCCATCTAGCATTCTATCTCCACCTATACCACCATCACTACAATCTTTATTGCCATCATCAACATCGTCGCTACTTTTGTCATCCTCACAAGCATTATCAACATCGTCACTATCATTACATCATCATGCTTGTATTTATGCTGTGTACAACCGTTTTTTCTATGCACTTGTAATAGTTTTTTTCAACAGAGGTTTGTAAGTGTTATGTTTTTTAAAATGAAATGACACCTAGTTTAAAAAATTATTATATGTGAAGATATGAAAACAAACGGTTCTTAAATCTTTAGCAAATGAAGAAGCTTCACAATACTTGTTTGGAAGAACGAACCTCTACGAGTTGCGAAGAAAATATTTCTTGAGGGTTAGGGTTCTTCATATTAAGAAGACAAGACCTATAATACTGGGCATCACAAGAATTGCGGGGCTGAAAGGGCGAGGCCGTTGCCCACAAATCAGTAGAGGTATTTTGCAAAATCTTTCCTTTGGCTCTTGTAATCATACAAGTCGATAAATTAGCGTAGATTTTGTAAATCATATCTTTTAGTTACGTTTTATGCATGTTCGGTATTACCAATAATGTAGGCAGTGGCGGACTGGCCCACCAGACCATCGGCCCGTGGCCGTTGGGCCCCTTTAAAATCTGGCAAAATGGGCCCCATCTTTGCAGAAAAAGGGCCCCATTTTAGGATATGGGGCCTTAAGATGTCCCATTACAAATAATAAATATCATGGATTACATCAAAACTAAGGTTGAATAAACGTCATAGCATGTGGTTATAAAATGAATTGGGTCGAAGCTAAAAAAAGATTGACTTTTTTTAGGTTATGAGAGGTTAAAAGAGACTTTTTAATATGATGGAATTTTCTGAAATTTTTGTTTTTCATAGACCCAGGTTCAGTTAATCTACCCGGCATTAACTGTAGAGTTCACTTAGATTTTTGCCAGTTAGCAAAAAAGTAAGGAGTGATTGAGTAACAAACTCGGCGTTAACTTTTTCTTCGACTCAAGCCATAGCATTAAGATAGTGCGATGTGAATGATACTTCAACGGGGGTTGCTGCATCGTCTTAAAGATTCGTTTACCGAATAATCTAGTTTTTTGCTTGCGCTGGACTGTCTAGTATAAAACACGAACAGGTATAGTATTGCCTCATGGAATGAAAAATTGACATAAAAAAGATGTCAATAAAATGGCAAGAATTAGCCAAATTGCACATAATGTACGAATAAACTTCGAATCGCAAATGGTTCTCAGAAAGGAAGGCAAAGTTGATGCAAAAAGGGGACAGGACTGATCACTGGTTTCTTGGAAAGCAAATTAAAGAAATGCAACTTCTGGCAGCATTTGATTGAAACGGTCTTCGAAGTGATAAACGATAATAAAGTTTGATAAAAAAGATAATAAAAATGATGATAAAGTTTTGTGAAAAATATAGTTTGTAAGCACGCATTAAGTCTAAAATACGGACAGCAAACCAATTAAACGGATGATTACACAAAAATTAAAGGAAACCTTCTTGCTATGATTTAGCTGTAACATCATGATTAAGATATCACATTTTCGTATAAAGAAATGATTCGCTTTGGCTTTATTTGTCGCTAAGCGAGTGTTTCCATTTTGAATTTTTGATAGAAATTTGTACAATCCAATAGACGTTCAATGTATTTCGCATGTGAGCCACAACTTCTAAAAATCGCATCAGTGCACCTTTTTTTCTAGTTTGCTATTTTTAGGTCTGCCATCTTTAGTTTAAGTTTCAGTAAAGATAAGGCTTCCTCACACCTCAGATATTCTGTAATTTAAACTTACTATCCTTTATGGATCTTAGGTTAGTTTTCTTATAACTTTTAACTTTATTTCTTCGAGAAAGTCTCTTGTGCAAGATTACTGAAATCCATATCAGACAGAATTTTTATTATTTAATGTTAAATTTCAATTAGTGCACTCATCGCCCATTTGTAATCAACAGCTCAACTTTGCTATTAGTGCTACATATGCTATGTTGCTTAGAAATTGATCGATTATGATGAAATGCTCACTTGACCACGCCCTGATTTTCAGACCACACCCACCTGGGTCCCTTCAGGTATTTGTGGCCGGTTAAAAATTCTGAGCTAGTCCGCCACTGAATGTAGGGCTTCTAAAAGCCAGCTTTTTGGCTGGAGGGATGCAATTTACCAATGTCTTAGTAACTAAGGCTAAGTTATTCAGGATGATTTGCCTCTTCATTTAAAAAAATAATATCCACAACTTTACGTATATTATGAAAGGTAAAAATTCATACAAATACCTGGGATCTACAAAATACAATGACCACCCATAGATGCCCATCCATACATTGTCTGCAAGGGTCTCATTTTGGCTGAAATGTCTTGATAGGACAATACTTTTTGTCTCTTTTTTGGCACAGGTATATACATCGCAGATACTTTTCCAAGAACAGATTAAAGTAACAAAAGACACTTCTTTTATATAGAGTGAGTCTGGTTCCCAGGGTAAGGACAGGTCAGATTTGTCGTGAAAAATAATTGTTATCCACTTCAAAGGGTTATCAAGAAGAAGTTAACTTTCCGTATCAATTCGCAAAATTCCCAGTAAATTATTTTAGGCCGACCGTCATCAAGCGGTATCACGCCAAGCGTCATCAAGGGTCATAATATTTTTCTTGTAGGGACATTACATTTCCATTCTTTTGCAAATAATTGTCCAGCCTTAGCAATCCAATATTTTGATTTATCCTGGTCAATTTATGAATTGTTGTCTCTTTATCCTTCTCCCTTTATATCTTTTTACATTACTATTCTTACTTTATTTTAAGTTGGAAATTAAATGTTCTGTTGCTTTTATTATTTTTATTTTATTGATACAACTTCAAAACATGTTTTCTATTCAATTCTTTTAAATAAATATCGAGTAAAATGTATTTTTTGGAAACACACAAGGGCGCGTTGTCAAAAGCTCATCTGAGTTATTTCTACGTGTTCTTCAGTGTTTTTTCTAACTGAAAATAAATTTCATGTAAAAATGTTTTCGAATTTTTTTATCATTTTTGTAGTAATTTTTTGTCACTTGTAGTTAATCAAAATGTTCTTTAATAATACAAATTTAAAAAAACAACCGCCTGTGCCTTTTCTGCGAGGCACCAATGTAAACGAGGCAAACCATGATCAAATGTTGTTGTGAAGTGTTTCTGGCCTATATCTATATTCAGTAATATTGAAAAGAATGGGAAGGTGGATTTGATTATCTCTGTTACACGTTGCAGTCTCTTTTGAGCAATCAGCTTGAGTGCTACCTTAACCTTTTTCAAGTAGAACAGTATCTACAGATATTACCTTCAGTTTTGTACCGCTTCAAAGATGTTTTTAGGCATGTAAACACGTACCTAAGGGAGGAGCCCGCAACTTTGTAAGGACGAAGAATCAAGATGAGACGAAGCAGAAGCAGTTCGCTGACCAGTGCAAAGTTAGAATATTACCACAGGCTGGTATCAAAAACTATATTAGATCTTCAGGTAATGCTACTTGTACAAATGTTTCTAGTAACCGGAGTTCAGTGCACAAGTCACCTGGTAACAAACACCTTTCACTATTTGCATTTATAATGGTAAAATTTAATTCATATGCCTAGAATTATCTAGATGCCTTTATTCAGAAAAGAACGATGGTGATACATCCCCCCCAGTTCTCGATAGGATCAGATCGACTTTGTATGTCGTCCAATTTCGATTGGAAAATGTGGGGGGGGGCCAGTCTGCAGAGTATGGCATGTGCACACCGGAGATATTTTTGTGCAAAACCTGTTGCACACCCGTATTTTTGGGTGTGGCAACTAAGATGGGTGTGGCTTGGTGTGGTCCCATAGAAAATGTCAGCTGATAAAAACAAGCACAGTTGTGTATGAACAATTTGAGATATCATGAATCTTACTTGACAAATATACAAATAAAAACTTGCGCTATCTTCAACAGTATACTTCACACGCATTTTTATGGTGAAATGCAAATTCACAAATTTTAACCACAACAGGGAAAAATAGTCGGTGCACACCAGCACACCAGACATTTTAGGTGGTGCACACCGTCACACCAGGCTTTTTGCTCGTGCACACCGGAGATCTCGTCGAAAAGTGCCATACTCTGCAGACTGGGGGGGGGTAGTGTATTGGTTTGGCTAAAGACCTATTCTTTGTACTTTGCCAGTCTGCAAAGTGTGTGTGCGTGGCATGTCTGATGTACACAAAACATAGGGCTGCACACACATTTTTTTGGGTACAGAAAATTTCTAGTGCCACCCTTTCTAAAATGTTGCCGGTCTGGATATCATGGCAGTTTTCGATGAGCTCTTGGGAGTGCACAAGCTATTAGCCGGGATTGCAAGAGTGCATTCGTGATAAATGTGCACATTTCACCCAATACTTTTAGTTTTGGGTCTGGAAATCAAGCTAACAAAATAATAGAACATTTTAAACAATTGCAAGAGAATGACTGCAAAAAATATTCTGTCGGGTAGCTTAGAAAAGTCAGAAAAATTTTCTGCTTGCTTCACTTGCAAGTGGCCTTCTTTTTTGACTGTTTTTCATATTTTTAAATTACCCATGCTAATGCTAAGGCCATTGATGCTCATTCTAGTTCTCTAGAAACTCAGCCAGAGTTTTATGTCAGTTCCCTAAGCAAAGGCTTGTCAAGAGAGGAGTTGCCCATTGATAACAAGATACTGAATCAAGAAAGGTCTGAATCAAAGAAAAGAAAGCATTACTTGCAATATTCTGGATCTGCCTATACTTTCTTGGTTATTGTCTGCAAAAAAGCTAGATTTCCATGGGAGGCCAGTAAAGAGATTTGAGACTGTGATCTCTGTATATTTAAACTTGCTTGAAATTAGGGGTATGTGCACAAGTTTTCAAGTCCGAAATTCTGACTAAGAGATTCTTTGTGTGAACCTGCTTTCACAAAGTTCTTTGCAGGTAACAAGAATACAAGGCTCTATGATGAGGGGACAATAGTTTACCCCATAAATCCCATTACATTGACCAAATTGTGTTAAAATTGACTGACTGAGATTCCCACATGTCCCATACTTAAACCCCACACCACTGTTGCTTCTCTGTTAAAAGTTGCCTAAATTCAAGGGGATGGGGTCCAGATTAGCCAAAATATATGAATGAACCCATGCTTAATTATAACGACATTTGACACAATAGTATGCACAAATTGCACACCTTTTCAGCAGTCTTGCACACATTCACACTTTTTTTGCTCTTGCACACACAATACCTTGTTGAGAACTGTCATGCTCTGCAGACTGGGTGATGTGTTTCTATGATGTTGAAACTGCCTTTACATAGTCAATACTAAGTAGTGGACTTTCCCAATTGGTAACTTTGGCGCTCCTTGTTGATGAAAGGGCATTTTCTACACTAAAAAGGGCATGGCCTTAAATTTTTTTATTTTTGGAAATTTTCTTTAATTTATGATTACTGAATCACTGCTAGAACCCAACCAAATAATCTCTATATACAATTGGCTAGTGTTGTATAGATATAGAATAGCAATGTGTTTCTAAATTCCTTTGTTAAAGGTATATTTGAGTATATACAAAGATGAGGCTAATTTTTAACGTCATCATAGCATTAAATTGCAAAAACGAGGTTTTTATAGGCATACATGAACTAGGTCAAAAATACTATGTTTGCCAGAGTTCTCTAGAATTTTGTAAGTTATAACACTTTATAAATCATCATATATTCAGTTCAGTTCATTTATATATGTCACATTTAAATAAATTATGGATACAAACAGGGGAGATTTTATGAATATGAACAAAAACTAAAAGTTTTAGCTGAAAAAAAGTAAGCACAGATAAAAGGTTTTTTAAATCAGAGATTTAAGAAGTTGCGTGCAGGGTGAAGTTTTCAAATGTGATTACGCTTGTAGCCCTTTCTCAGTAGTAACACTAGTATGATATTAGTTTCATATGTAAGACCCAGGCCAAGGTTTCATATTGAAGAAAAGGTGAAATAAAGAATTATAGAATACATAAGAACACTAATAAGTAAGAAGTGTCTTACTTTGAAGAACATACCTCAAGCTCTTGCTAGTTTTTCTGAAATTTTTATAAAATGATCTTATCATGAAAATATTTCATCTAACCTCTCTAGGAGCCTTTTCATATGCAAAACACAAGTTCATCAGCTTACCCATCCTTTTCCCCATGAAGCAAGAATCTCAGCTAGCTGTGGAGATAATTGACCTTTCATAAGCAGACATTTTCCTGCCTTGCTGAGATAACTTTAAAGCCATTCTAAATGATAAGTTTGGATTGTGTTGAGGATTGTGTATGTGCAAAGGAAATCATTTCCTGGCTTTGATGGGAACATTTGATTATATGAGAAAATATTTTCTGGCCTTGGAGGGATCCCAGTTGCGTTCAAGCAAAATCTCGGCTTGCTGATGAAACATTTTCTCATGTGTGTGCTAAATGTGGCAGAATATTGGTTGAATGGGATTCCCACTTCACCAGGGGAATGCAGGGGAAACTTTCTCCATATGAACAGGCCCTAAGGATTTTAACAAAGTATCTTTTTGATAGGAAGGTTTCCAATCTTGATGTTGATAAATTGAGAAAGGAGTGCCAGCGAGATTTAGAATAAAAAAATTGTCTAATCATTGTTCAGTGACAATTTTCTGACATGAATTCACACTTTCCTTAAGATCACTAGCCATTTTTTCTTTTTTAGTTTTTTAATGCTTATTTCTTTCTCTGCTTCTAATCTGGCGAATGATATTTAAAGTGTCAGCACCTAACTATGCTTTCTGTGAGCTCTTTCTTGACTTGCTGCATTTTGAATTGTTGGCATTGTGGTATTACTCTACAGCAGTGGCGGCTCGTGTATTGGGGCTAGTGGGGCTCAGCCCCACCAAACATTTCCAAAAATAAGTTTTAGATTTATAAAAGTAAATAAAATCAATGTCCATTATTAATTTAGCACTTTTCACTAATTTTGTTGCTTCAAGTTTCACTGTTTGTCCATTCTCTAGTTTGTTTAGGTCTCACTGCCTGCGGTTCTCTTGAAAAATAGACAAACACGCGTATCAGAAACCATCTCTTGAGCTTTTGGGGCGAGCCCCAAACTAGCAGAGAATGCACCAATCAAATGCCTCTCATGACTCAACTATTATAATGATGACTGCCTTCTGATTGGCCAATTCTGCTCGAATATGCATTCGAATATGAATATGCAAATAATTCAATTCAACAGTAGCTGAATTTTTGTTGTTATTATAGGCAAGGTTGATCTTGAAGTAAATGCAGCAGAATGGCTTGTATTCGATGACTTGCATTTTCAGCTTTAAAACTTTGAAATAAAACATTCAAGTAAGGTCTTTATCAGAATTGATTTTGCAGATCCTGAAATAAGCTCGAAAAAGGAGGCTAGGCTGTAGGCATTCTAAAGGCATAAAGCATATTTCCAATGCAGGCTTTCAACTTCTTGAACAATATAAGCTTCACGTCATATGAAAATTAATCAATTAACAGTTTCTAAATTTTTGTTCTTTGAAAATTTTTTAATTACCATGATATGCTATGCGAAGGATATCGTCTACGGGTTGGCCATATTCAAGTTGTCTATGTTTTTGTGAAGCCTTTCTGTGAAGAACTACCCTTTTTGTGAAGAGAGAAACGGTCCAGCAGACTTAAATAAGTAAAGTTGAGCATACCAACATTTCACAAAGTTTACTTTACTTTACTTATTACAAATTATACATAATTAATAGTGGCACTTGTTTTTATTCAATCAAAACTTTCAAAATGATGACAGCCTTGTTGATTAAAGTTAGTAAAGAATGGAATGGGAAAGTCTATTTAGCATTCTTGGCGCTCTGTGTCTATGCTTTAGATTTCGAATATTAAGTCATCAGCCCCACCAAAAATTTACCCCACGGGCACCCACTATTCTACAGCATGGCTATTTTTTGGGTATTTGTATTTTTTACTATATAGCTTCTGAAAATAGTTTTTAGGACACTGTTAAGCTGTGTACTTATTCTTTTTCTTGATATGACACCTCATCATTGCCTGGAATAAGAGATATCTGGAACTGTCCTCATTTAAGTGAAATTTTGGGCATTTCAGTGACTCCAGAACTGTTGCCTGCGACCCTAACTACTAATTCTACTCAAGTCAAACATGAATAATCAACCATATGACCAGCAGAAGTGTGTGATATTTTAGCATATCATAGAAGTTAACTTCAAACAAAATCTTTCTTCAAGTCGTGGCTCTCCTTCACGGTAGCTGGTTTGACCTCTTCTCTAGACACTAGCCCTCATGGTATCATTCTATCTGTTACCCTTCAAAGCTCCACAATGGAAATATTTTTATGCCAGACAGGTCAAACAGGTTTAGAGACTTCTCTTACACTTACATTATCATCCTTTTTGCAGCATCCTATCACTGGCCTCTTGCCTGCAAGTTTGCATCAAGGAAGACTTGATAGCAACTCAATTCACTTCAGGGATGCCTGGGTTCGTGATAATGTATATGGCATACTTGCTGTTTGGGGACTGTCATTAGCATATAAGAAAAATGCAGATGCAGATGAAGATAAAGCCAGAGTCTATGAGCTAGAGCAGGTTTGAAAATGAAGATAGTTTTATATAAAGAGATATTCCCTTAATTCAAATTTTTCATAAATCTGTCAGAAAAAATTTTGACAGATTTTTTTAATCATATTCAATTTAATTTCTAGAATTTTGCAATCCTTATTTCACATATTGAAATTTGTGACATGTGTTTCCTTTATTTCTGTTTCTTGATATTTTGCATTTTTCGCTTTGAACTGTTTATACAAGGCAGCCTCCTTCAGCCCGAATAGCTGTTTTCAAGGTTTCAAACTAAAAATCTAAAGATTGAATAAAATTACAAATACCCACTTACCACTAACAGCAAGGCAAGGTTTAACAGCAAAATTTAAAGGGAAATGCTAGTTTTATATTTCATTTAATGACATTCAAAAGTTTGGCATCATAGAGTGATGTAGCCATTTGCCTATTTTAAGTTTTCTGGAAGGGCAAGTTGCAAATGTGAGTAAGATTTTCTCTGAGCTTTCTTATTTCAAGGCTTGTGTTGTTGATAAATGGCTTAGAAAGACGTTTGGGTAGGGAGCAGTCTAACAATTTGTGCATCATTGTCATAGTGTACTTACTCATTCTTCCTGTGATATTTATTTACAGAGTGTTGTTAAAGTTATGAGGAGTCTCCTTACTTCTATGATGCAGCAGGTAAGGCCAAACACAGCTCAAATATTCATATATTGTTATCAATAAAAATTTCACTTCTATCTTGTCTAATTGTAATCATGCCCTCTTAGTTTTCTTCTTTGTAAGCATTGTCTTTGTATCTAAAATCACGTAATCACTAACAACGCTTTTGCAGCGTCCCCTGGTCTTATGTGTATACGCCCTGTAATGTAGTCAGTCAGTAAATTCATCAAGACGCGGTTAGTTTTTCATTTCTAAAATCCATACATACAAATCTTTGAAATAGACAACAACCTGTTACATAAGATGAAGTATTTACATACAATGAGAAAAATAGAGAGCCAAAATATAGATAATTGTAAAAAACCAAGAGATTTGCATTCATAAAGGTGGAGATCTCTCAATAGGTAACGCAACTGTCACACAACATCGTCTCTTGCTGGCTCCATGTTTTCTGCGCGTTAAACTAGACCGAAGAACGACAGCACATTCATAAAGGAAACACATATTGGAAAGTATCAAAGATCATCAAGCGTTCCTATAACTGTGCCTGTATTCCAAAAGACGCCCATTAGCAATTATTATCCCCCCCGGGGGGGGGGTACTTTGCTATCATAAATCGGAAGCTAAATTTAGCTGCTAATCAAAAGTACCCCCTAAGAGGTAGCAACTACTTAAACAACCTCCAAGCTGTTGTGTTATACTTTGCCATTTGGTAGCCTTTTGGTAAGACGCTCAAATCGACTGGACCCCCTGCCGGTCCTAAATTCATAAAAATCGTAAAATTTAGCCATTTTTATCAAAAATCATAAAATATTCCTAAAATTTGACGAAGAATTCTAAATTTCCTAAAATTTATCAAACATTTTAGTTAACTTTGTCAGTTTTAAATTTAGCACCTAGTTTAGTGGACAATATCTTATTGAGATCAACGATACAAAACCTTTTACAGTCTTCAGTTTTTCTTCTTAGTTCTTCTCATTGTTCTACTTCTTTTTCTAGATCGCTCTTCCATTTCTTCAATTCTATTTTTCTTTTATCTCTTCAGGGGCGGTGCTACGCAGGGGGGGGGGGTGTAACACCCCCAAAAGTTAAGAATCGTTTCTGTACTCGGCAGATTCAGCATTTTTGGTGCCTATTCGGCATGGTACATTAGATTGTTTTCATTTTCATTTCGATTTGACCCTTCTCGCTCCTTGCCATGTAAATATTTCAACTGTTATTTGGCAAACTGAAACCATTGAGAACCAAACTCCACATTACAATGTTTCAGGGTTGGGTGCTCGAATGGCGAGAATGATGGCCAGAAAATCGATTAACACCATAAAATAGCATTCCGCCTGTGGATATTCATTCTAGAAGTGATGTTATATTTTAGGGTAGTAAAAATTGCTTCAATAAGTGCATTTTCCAGCGAACTGGAATCATCGAAATTCGAAAATTTCGAAAATAATCTGCAAGCTAGCAAAGACTCAACCTACCTAAGTAAAACCGCAGATATTCTGTTCTTAATGATTAAAGACAAAGACAGTTTTAGTATTGTTATAAAGTTTTTAAAGGAAAACCTTCTCCAATACCATTTTTACGACTGGCCTTGCGCGCTTGTGTCTATATACTATTTCATCACTGAGATCATTAGTTGTCTAACGAAAGTATATAAGCTAATGCTTGATTTTTTTATTACGATGTTGCTATTATTAAGATACTATTCAGAGTGGTACTTTAGGGCTAGGGATAAACGGAGGTTTTTAAAAAATGAGCCGGCATTCAAAATAAATGAAAAAATTCAATTCTTTTCACGCTAACTGTGGGAAAATTGCTTTAGAATCACAAAGTCATTAATTTGTAAACGGGAGAGATGATCCCTTTTATTTTAGACATCATGGTATACCTTGATTTTATTTAATTGAAAAAATCCCCATCTCTGCAACCTGACACTTGACACCCCCCTAAGAAATGTTTCTAGCACCGCCCCTCTATCTCTTGAATGTTTATCGTTCCTTGCAAATTTCTTTCCTCCGTGCCTCAACTTTCTTCATGGTTCCCTTCTAGCATGTCCCTTCTGCAAATGATGCTGCTCTCTTTCCTTCAAATTTGCAAAATAATCACTATGCCCATTCTTGACAGAATGCTTCTATGCGTTTCCATTTTAAAATTCATACTTTAGTGCCATACTTTGAAAGTTCAACTGCTACAATAATGTTAATTCGTTACAACTGTCGCAAAAAGGTTGTAATTATGCTAAAGGGTAAGAAAAAGATTTCTTCTTTTTCTCAGGAAAAATCCTTTATGGGTACAGCGTCAAAAAATTCGGCTTGAAAAGGTCCTATATTCCTAGATAAAATTTACTAATAGATGCTGGGAGGACGCTGTCAGGCCTCTGTGGAATAAAATGACCTAAATTCAATAGTTTTAAGGCAGATTTGTAGATAGAGTAAGGGATAGAGTAAGGCATTATTTTTTTATATAAATTGGTTGCAGTGTGATTCAGAAATGTCACCAGTTTACACTGTCAGTATGAGCAGCTTAGTACAGTTGACCCTGCTTAAATTCACTCTGCTTAAACTCACAATACCAGTAACGGGCACATAAACTTTAGACCCAAATTCGCAAATCTATTCAGTTTAGCTCCGTTTACAGTCACATTTAATTTACTGTCACAGCTTTCAAGCAACAAATGGTGGCTCTAGAACCGAAGTCTCCTGTATCAGCCCTCATATTTTCTATATAGGTTGAGAAAGTAGAGAAGTTCAAAAAAACTCAAGCGACTGAGGATGCCTTACACGCAAAATTTAACAGAGGTAAACTTTCTTTTAAATGTAGCTTTCTTTTCTTAACCTTGAAAACGTTTCGTCAAAAAGATTTTCTTGTGATACCAAACCATTTCTTTGCCTAGCAGAAATAAGTTGTGTACATGCGTACACTTGCTGTTCCACATATACAAACTACAATTGAAAAACTAGAACTTTTTGCAATTCCTCGAACACGTTATGAACCCAATCTAATTTCTGTTTATTTGACTCAACGTTTCAATGTCAGTGCATTGTTTTATATCGTTTGGAATGTCATCCTAGAGCTGGAATTTCTCTCGTTTTGCTTTTGCTAAGTCAGGCTATGTCTTGTTCATTGCTAGTTTTCTGTATATATAATTTAATCCCAATAGATTTACACTTTACCTGGTACATTATAGATATTTTCAAAATACTATTGTTTTGCAAGTCTGACCGTCAGCTTTGTTGTGATCTGCGAAATATTACTAAGAAGGGGGTTGTAGAATGTAAGTTCATTCAGAGTCACGTGATGATCACATCAAACGTGCAGTTTAGAGTAGCGTCTTAGCAGTTTCAAATTCTGCAAAGCGCAGCGCTTCAAGATGGCGCCGAGTACTCTGAAACCAACTTGGCTCGCAGTAATCTTCAACTTCATTCGTTCAATTTTTAGTAGAAGAAAAAAAAACCAAACTTCCTTCTGTAACCTATGGATCTATATTGTAGCCACCGGTGCAACGGTTGTAACCGATTTTGGATGGGGCCATCTTCAAGTGGATGCTACATCTTTGTACTTGTTAATGCTAGCTGAAATGACTGCGGCAGGTAATTTGAATCTGTTTTGTCAGAATAAGTGATTTTTCGCTATCGATCAGATGATGTCTTAGGGTTTGGTAAAATTACTTACAAATGAGTAAGACCAAACAAGTTGATGCAGTTGAATTTTATCATGTTGTGATCTGTGATACACGCTTTCTAGCTTTCTGCTTTCTATCTGCTTTCTTCCAAATTATATCTTTATTTAGAAGCCATAGTTCCGTTCAGTGTGTATATATCGTGTATTTTTTTCATTATCTTCTCAAAAGCTCAGATCCTTTATGGTTTAGACGATGATAAAGACTTATCAAATTCAAGCATTTTCTTTAGGAGTTTCGCTTGATCAGTACTCTCTACGAATGTATATGATTATTGACGAAGTTCAGAAGTATTTTTGAAACTTATAGTATTTGCTTCCAAAACAGTATGAACACGTGTCACATTTTTCAATATTTTACAATAAAATAAACCTGAGCACGTTTTTATGGTTTTCCATTTTTATTTTCTAGGGCTGCAAATAATATACACCTATGATGAAGTTGCGTTCATCCAAAATTTAGTTTTTTACATTGAAATGGCCTACCGCACTCCCGTGAGTCATTTTTCGTTAACTTCACAGAATCATTGAAGGCTGAAAGTTTACTGTTGTTTTGCTGACGACAATATTTCTTTATTCTTCGCATATAAGGTTTAGATCTTATATATTTCCGCTATTTGTAGTTGTATGTAACACACTAATATGCATTTAAAACTCGCTTTGCTTCAGCTTTATTCTCATATGACTTTAACCTGGTAGCGAACCAATGTCCAACCATCGGCAAACAGCTTTGGAAAGCCGTTGAATTACTTGTATAACACTTGCGATCTTGCTTGTAATCTTTTTTCAAAAAGCAACCAGAATCCAGGAAAGTACCCATATTTACTCCTCACTATACCCGTAAGGTCTGAAAAGCTTCCTTCGTAACAAAAAGCGCAGTTTTGGCGTGGCATTTAAGTTTATTTTGTTTTTGTTGGTATTTCTGGTCGTTGTCCTTCAGATGAGAGCGTCCGCAGCGCCACAATGCGAGCCGCATGGAGGTCAGGCTCTGTATCTTAATTACTTTGACACTTACATTAAAATTTACATTTTTCTAAAAAGAAAAACATGAGAGCATAGAGTAAGTTTTGCGGGATGCGATTGAGGTAGTTTAACTTGCTTTTGACCTTTTTCCAAGGATTATGGAATCACTGAACGAGGGGGAAAAACCAATCTAGGACAACCTGAACTGAATACAAGCTCAATCGGAATGGCAAAGGTATTTCATGGACATTTTTAGCTTTGCTTTACAATGTTGTTGGATCTCGTCTTTTATTCTCTAGAGCTTATTCTTCGGAAGAGATCTTAAATTGGTTTTAGCAGATTCTTAGGCATTTTAGTATAAGACTTTTTAGCCCGTCTTTGATTTTTCTTGCGTTGCAGCAAGATTCATTTTTATGTCTCATTTTTTAGGAGTGAACATATGTCAATGTAATTTTGCCATTTTCACACCCTGCTTATCATTGCTTTATACTGCAAAGACCCTGAAGATCTTATTTTAAAAATGCGCGGCAAAATGCTTGATCTGCTTGATTCTTTTAAGTTGAAATTTAGTGTTTCTATATGCATAACTACTTTTGAAGCCAAATATCATCGTACAAGGGTCGAAAATAGAGAGCAAAATAACATCGTTTCTAATCTACATAATATATCATGATCCAATTTTCTAAACTCCTGTTCAACCAAACAGTTTCGATTTTCAGTCCAGTTCTCAATGTCTGGGGTTTTCTAGCCTTGTTTCAATAACGGTAAACTTTATTACATAGACCACATTCCACGCATACAAAGTATTACTTTGTTAATCATTCTTCATCTATTACGAATTTTCGCCACTGACAGCAAACTTTAAACGCAGCACAGAATTATTTTGCTATGCTCTCATGCTTTCTTTTAAAAATCATCTGTCGCTCTTTTCCAGGCGGCCCTAGAGGCATTGAGTGAACTTGACTTGTTTGGAGCTCATGGTGGACCAAAATCAACAATTCATGTCCAACCTGACCAGATTCAATATTGCAAGGTAAATCATGTAGCTTTAACAAAGAGGGTAGTTGTTGGATATGTATCTTTAAGTGATGTTACCTGCCACGCCGTGTCTCATTCTTATTTGCTCGATAATGATGATGATAGCAACGATAATACTTGGTGAAATCTTCAGCCCTACAAATACCGTGATCATATTTCTATTGTTCTTTTATTTTATATTTTCTAGAAGTTATCAATTTAACTTAAGTTTTAGCTGTTTAACAATAAATAAAGTTGATGGTATATTCGAACCGAATGCATGATTGTTTCCGTAAGAACAGGATTCTCATGACTGCGTAGTTGTAGAGTGGCAATCAAGGAAAATTATCAGGAAAGTAAATAAAGAAACCATTTTTTTCCCTTATATTTTTAGATTTAAATTTTAGGATATTAGGCTAGGTTTAAATAACTCCAACTTTTGTATTTTTAGGCTATTCTACAATCGATGCTACCCAAAGAATCAAATTCCAAGGTAAAGCATTTGTCGACAAATAACCAAGATAAAATGATAGATATGAACTTTTAATAATTACCTTTTATTTGAATGCCATTGATCCCCATATACAGATCCTGTTTATATTATTTTAATTCACGTTTCTGCATCCCTAGAACGGTTCCAGAAATAAAAATCCAAGAAAGATATGCAGAAGCAGCAAGAATCCGAGACTTAACCGATAGCCATAGAATCAACAGCTCTCTCCAACCTAGGGCCTTTGTTGACCCCTAAATTGTCATCTCAGCCTTGAGCAGTTTCTCCTTTGATTCACCTTATCAGTGGGTCTACAAACAGATGCCGATCAACATGAGACAAACTGTGATATTTGCGGGCATTAACATAGGACCAATCATTTACTCATTCTTCTTTTTTTAAGATGATATTTTGGTATCCAAATCTTGAAAAAAATACAATAATGAAAAATGAAGACTCAAGTCTTTATCCTTTTTTTCCGATGAAGCGAAGCTTTCAAAACTTAATAGTAACAGAAAAGCTTTTTCAGGAGAAGCTATAAATACTTATCTTGAGGATTGGCGTTTTTTACTTTTTAGGAAATCGGGGCCTCGTTGCTCAGTGTTATAAGTTTTCCTGCGTTTGCAGTTGAAGACAAGGACCTTGTCAAGGTTACAAAATCTGAAATCATTGGCCGCTTAGAAGTGAGTAATCTGCTTTTTGTTGTATTCAGGCCGATGTATATCTTCTCATTTTATGTACTCAAAGTTGTGATGCCCACGTGCCAAGATTTTTAGTAAATATTTTTGTAGCAACATTTTTTGAGATAAGATTAGTAAAACGCTTTGTAAACCTTTGAATTTTTTTCCCAGTTAAGGTGGACAATAAATGACTGTTACATGACATCACGGAAATATTTAATTCCCATAGAATCAGTAATTCCCATAGTTTCCCATATAATTCCCATAGTCTTAGATTTTGCCTTTACTGCCTCAACGAAAGGAGTATTTATGGATCGATTTTCTGATGCATCGACTTTGTAGCTTTTGTACAATATTTTCTTAGCCTCTATGTCAGGAGGACATGGGTTGTGCCACCTGTGACTGATAACTGCATTTTCAGGGCAAGTATGGAATGAGAAGATTTCTAAGAGACGGATATCAAACACCTATCGAGGTTGGTAGTAGTTTGCATGTCACTTGAACTCTCCTTTTTTTCTGTAAATGATTTTTAATCAACAATGTCAACTGATACAAATTAAAAATACTTTAGAACAATTTATGCAGTTATTGTTTTATCTGCGATGAAATTTGGCAAAGAGATTTTTTTGTTAGAAATATACCAAAGAAAATGCGTTGGTATATGACTCGCTTTGTTCAGAAAAAAATCGCATTAAAGAGAAATAGCAAATTTACAATAACGGAAAAGTTTATTTTTATCAACTAGTAAGTATTTTCACTACTTCCATTGGGAGTCAAACCTCTTCTAAAATTATTTTTTGCTATCTTTTAGCCATTGGCATGGCTAAATGGCTAAATGTCATATGTGTGACATCTGTTAGTTTATAGCCTAGAGAATTATGTTTCGTAATATAAGAGCGATTAATGTACCGAGAATCCTCGAATTGTGCCCGTCATAAACCTCACCTTCGAATAAGCCCCCACCCTAGGAGTAGAAATTGCCAAGAGGTCCAATCCCCCATCGTTACTTGAAAAATTTGTAATGTGGAACCGATTTGTAAACACGGTAAATCACACGTAAAAGAGAAAGAGTGAAATTTGTAATGTTCTCGTTGTCATCATCGATGCAGAATCTTTTGATTTTCAAACTGAAGTTGAAAATATGACTAAGCTCTGAAAACGAGATACGACTTTTCGATAATATTGAAAGACTATACCCCCTCATTTAGGTACCTCCTCGAATTGTTCCCATCTTAAAGCGCTCCAGGTTGAAAACTTGGGATTGATGGTAACTTTGTCATGTCAGTTAAATCACCCCTAAAAAATGATTTTTAAAAACAATGAATTATAAATCAATTTTCTTTTGCAGGACAAAAATCGACTGTACTTTGAGCCGGCGGAGTTGAAGCAGTTTGAAAACATCGAATGTGAATGGCCAGTATTTTTTATATACATGATCCTAGATGGTATTTACAATGACATAGAAGAACAGGTGAGTGAACACGGGTTACTCAGTGTCCATAAATCAAGGGTCTTATCAGTCGAAACGACAAACAATGCCTGAGACATGTTTTTATAATTTTATCTTTTTGCCTTTTTCCCGAATACGACTTCTTCCGTTCTCGTTTCCCCAGAACAATCGATACTTTAGGTAGATGTCATTAGGTCACATAAAAATATACTTCCAAATCTTCTACGTCATTTTGTAGTAAGCGAACAAAGCTTCAAGGGAGTGAAGGGATGGCTGGTTAAATTATAAATTTTAGCTGTGATAGATTCCCGAGGTTTTGATGTAAAAAATGGGACCGAACGGCATTACTAGATGTTTTGAACTCTAGCGGCTACTTTGCTCTGTCCCTTTTACTATTCTGAAGGACCTTTACTATTCTGTGTCCAATAATTCACAAAGGACGAGCTCTAAAATGGCTGTATCCATGTAATCAGGAAATAATTTACGTTATTTCAATATTTCAAAATATAAAAATTAGTTAGAAATACATTAACACTGTACGTCAGGTAAATTTTCGTCTGTTGTCTTTGTATCTGCAGGTCGATCTACTGACTTTGTTGTGAATTTCTCTGCATCTTCAACCCATTTTAGTCTTCGCTCTCGAAACCATGCCTAAAAAATCAATCATCATCTATTATATGATATGTACTATATAAATATTTTCAAATCTTGTTATGAATAGTCAGGCCCTTCGCATTAGGGGGCGTGTGGGGCGCGACACCTCCTGGAAAAAATCCCAATGCAAAAACCATCTCTAAGGGTGCTTAGTCAACAAATTTCCAAAATTGTAGACAGATAAAGAATGGCTCACCCACTTTTTGGGTAAATGGGACTTGGAAACCCCTTCTTGAGCACAATAGCTAACGATGGGCCTGTGAATATTTTTGAGAGTTGGAATACTTAGAACCTTAATAATCTTCATGGAAGTAAGGACCTTTTGCTTATACCGGTAAGTTTAGATAATCTTAACACGCATTAACTGCAAGTGCTTCATGCTTGGGTCTTTTTTGATACGGTCGCCGACTCATGTGTTTCAGCTTAGGCAAAGCTGAACAATTTCCTTCCCCCGTCTAGGATGCTGACACCAGCAGAGACAGGAAAACATTACGGTCACACGGCCACTGACCGGAGGAAGGTCTACGAAAACAATAGAAGCTTCTGTAACACACCCAAGCCACGCCCACTTTCTATTGTTTTGTGAGGAAGGTTTGCCTTCTGGGATGTTTTTGTCCGGAGGAAGGTTAACAACTTTTCTGGACTCTTGATACCAGCTTGTTTCCTCTTCTTCTATAATGTTTGGCCCTTAAACCTGCTCAACAACACCATTTTGCTGCAAAATGACAGAATGAAAAATGACCCAAAGTTACCTATGAATTTCGAACCAACAAGCATCCCAGTTCGCAGGGAAGCCACAAAGGCTGAGAACAAAATTATCGAGCCAGTTTCTTGATTCTAAGACGCGTATGACTAACACTGCGTATTCTTTAAGAAAAACGAATTGTAAAGTAAAATCGTGGGCTGACCAACCAAAATTTTATTATAGATGCATCGATCTTAACTCTTTTGTTGACAAGACATCTGAAAGGATTAGCAAGAACTTTTTTGAGGCCGCGCAATTAAATTAATTACGCTAAAGGGTGAAATTTACTATAAATATATTGGCAAGAAAGGCTATTTTGGATATGTGATCCAGTTATTTTTGTTGCGATCCAGCACAAGACAAAAATGTACTTATCATTTCTGACAAATTCTCAATATTCGGTTTATTGCTTATTCTCATAAAATTCTAGTTGTACGAAACACGTTTCCCTGAGGTAGAGCTGTTGATGCACCCAGAAATACTGAACGGACACCTGAACCTTCTAAACGGCTGCTGTGATACCGTTCCTACAAAATTACCAGGGGAATCCAACATTTCTATTTTAGCCTTCAATCACCCTAAAAACACTTTGGATAGTTAAGGTAAATATTTTTCAAGTCACACAAAAATATTCTTTCTAACCCGACACGTCAAGTTGTAGTAAGGGAACAAAATTTACAGATGTAGAGGAAAATATACGACATCGCAAATCGATGTTTTTGATCCAGGACGTTTGGCTGATGTTACTTTAAGCTTCCCATACCAGGGATGATAAATAATGGCCTTCAGAGTGTTCTTCAGCTTTTTGTTCTACCAAGATTAAATTAATTTTGGTTCTACTAGAGCTCTGCCCTACAGCCAGTTTAACTGATTTAAATTTTGATTTGTTTGTAGACGGAGACTTGTTTATGATTAGAGCGTCCTAGAACGATTGTTGCAGAATATTTGGCACTTCATTTGTCTAGACTTTCACCAAAGTTAGCGCAAGTTAGCGCACAGCTACAGCTGCTTTATTTTTCATATCAGTTAGAGCATGGCTATAGTCTTATTGCAGTTGGTCATTGATTTAAGTAGCTGAAAACGTTCGATAAATTTAAAGTTGCCTTCCCAATAACATTTATAGACAGGTGAAACATAAGCAGATGGTATGCTGCTGCAAAAAAATGATATGCGTGCTGACAATTTGTGTTGACTCATAAGTTTATTTGCGTTCACTCTGTTTCCCATTATTTCCTAGCAGGTATATGCGCTGCTGCTAAAATCATAATACAGAACAGGACTTCAAATTGTCACATGACATCTGAACGATAACCCAAATTTTTTCATTATATTTCTAAAATGGCCGCGTCGAAACTTTTCCGTAGATAAACTAAGATGGTAGGCAACAAAGCTTAGGAAACCCGCCCAGTACCAATCTTTGAGCGATAATGACAAACGAACTGATTAAAATTTCTTTGCTTAACAGTCAACTTTGAGTCAAAACATCTGACTTCAGTAAATGCAATAACGAAAAGTCCTTACCACGACGTCGCAATAAAGCAAGTTGCTTTCCATCGCCAGTATCTGCATAGTCACTGTGTCAGGCTTTGTGTTTTGTCTGAACGCATCTTCCAACTTGCATATCTGCACAGTAGTGAAATGTTCCGGTTGTATGCTGTGCACAAGGCTCAAGCTGAAGTTGCCTTGTGCCGAACAGTGCCCGGGACTCGTCTGAACAGCAACTGTGTGCTTTGGCATCGCACTGTTCCTAAGCTGGAAAAAATATTTTCCTCAAACATTATATTCTTTACCGGCCTAAGTACAACGCATTGCACGCTGCATTAACAGACTCTGAATCTTCTTCTGTCACTGAGCCAGGGAGATCTGTTTTCAGCTCGGTTTGCTAATATTGCTGGTCGTCTTGGCTGCAATGTTTGGATACTTTTTAAGAAAGAAAAGCTGAAGCGTTCCCTGTGATCTGGTTTTGCAAATTTAAGATCAGCATGTTAAACTTAAGGACAGGCAGGTGATGCAAGTACGTAATTCCTGTTCAAATAATGTCTTGTTACGGATTGTTTGCAGACATCAGACTTGACTGAATGAGCCGTATATATTACTGTGAGTCTTGCTCCTTTCCCTCACCCACGCGATATGATACGAAATAAGCGCGTAGTCGAAGCGCAGTTTGTCAACTATTAAGCTCTCTACAAACAATCTGAAAAAGCGTTATCCGGTTTCGCCTCAAGGGTTTGCCTTCTGCTCTCGAACAATCATGTCACTTCCCAACAACACCTTACCATTTCTGCGTAATCGTTATGAAAATTTCTTTTTTTTCGAAAGCGAATGATCTTATGTTAGCTTAGCCGTGATAAAATATTCATGTCCATATCAAAATGGCTTATAATCACTGTTCGTTATGAAATTCAGCCCCGGAGTTAGTTGAAGCAAAGGTGCGAATAAGGCTCATGCCTATGTTACCACGTGATGTAACCATCGCATTTGCCCCCAGTTTATAGACGTGCAATAAAACAGGTTGTGTCAATGCAGTGCCGGATTAACCAAAAGGCCAACTAGACCATGCTCTAGGGCTCGCAGTTTTAGGGGCCCCGCGCCGATCACAGTAAATTTTTTTACAGCAATCCATAACTACAGCATCACAATTGTACTTGCCATGCGCAGTGAATAGCATGGAGAAGTGGTATCGTTGCAACCAGGTTGGAACCTTTGTGCTGTGCAAAGAATAAATAAATATAACAAAATTTGAAATTGACCTTGAAAAAAGCAAACATTTGAGTATACTTAAGCTTTTCATCTGACCTTCAGAGTATAAAACGTCAGAACATGAATCAAAAACTCTACGCTAGGAAATATATATATACCCAGTTGTGGATCAAAATAGGCCAATCAGAAACGTGAGCACATGACTGTTGAGGGTGCCCAATCAGTGCCGCTTGCCTATTGAGGATGTAACCAATGGAGTCCTAAGATAGGGGCCCGATGGCTATGTACGAAGAAGGTGTCTGGTACGTAATATGAGCTCAGTAAAGAGCGGTAGCAAGACGGATTGGGCTTTTCTATCAAGATGTTAATAAAGAAACAATATCAGAATACAGGGTCTTCGGCGAGAATATTACTTTCGTTGACATTGTCATTGACGTTGGAGTAGGATCTTTCGGGCTGATTTGTTTTGATTTACCGTAAAAGCTCTATTTATTTTTTTAGTCCTAGAGCAGGCTTATTTGAGAGAGGGGCGGGCTTGCATAATTATTCAAAATAAAACGTATCATAAAAATGCCACAATGTTCTGGGATTTCTTCAGTATCCTCTCAGTCAACATCAGTATCCTCTTGACCGCACAAGGAAATCTTTACCTGTGCCGTATTTAATGCACATCATCTTATCATCATCACACCCATCAAGAAAACCACTCAATGCGCATCAGGCCTGTAGCCAAGGGGTGACATGGGCAGTGGCGTCACCAGCTCAAAAAATACTGGGGTGGACAAGAAAAAACTCTTGGAAAATCCTTTTTTAGTATTTTCAATTCAATCTTTTTTGGAATTTTTGGACTTATTTATTTTTCAGTCCTAGAGGGGGGCTTATTTGAAAGGGGAGTTTATTTGCGAGGAGGGCTTATTAATCATTCAAAATAAAACATAAAATAAAAATGCCACAATGCTTTCGTATTTTTTCGAAATAATCAACATCAGTATCCTCTTGACTTCTAAGGCGCACAAGACAACCCTGACCCGTCAACAGAACCACTCAATGCGCATGCTTTCTTTGTTTGACATCAGGGGCTGAAGTTGGGTCTTAGACCTTGTTTTTATGAGAGAAAATGGAACGGTTCCAAATATTTCATGCTTGCGTTTACACGAGAGCGGTTCCAAACGGCTCCGTTTCAAGGCCCGGCATTGTTACAAAGGAGGGGTGACATGCGCAGTTTTTGGCGCCAAAACAGACATTAAAATGGAAAAAAAGATGACACAATTTTCTTTATTCGATCCAGCGTCAACCATCAAACCAGACACAAACAAATTTTCTTTTTTTCTTTTTGGCGCGCAACAAAGACATCATTTATCATTAGCCTCTATACCAGTGCAAAGCAGCCTCGTTCCCTAAGCGTTCTCATTTGGCTCGGTTCCAAGCGGTTCTGCCCGTTTACACGAGAGCCAAACGGAACGGTTCCAAATGGAACTACTTTTGTAGCGGAGCCAAAAGAGAACGGATAGCAGGTCCCAAATGGAACGGTTCCAACAGTTCTTGTGTAAACGCAATGCCGATTTGGGCTAGTTTTGGAACGGTTCCATTTGAAACCGTTCCATTTTCTCTCGTGTAAACAGGGTCTTAATTGAGAGGGGTAGCATATTTTAAATTTTGGCATGGCATGGCCAAATGGCTTCACAGAGAGAGGGCTTAATAGAGTTTTTATGGGATGCTGATTTACAATGATTCATGATTGTTGGAGCTGATTCACGATGACCTTCGCAGATTTTTTATGACTCGTGTCGATTCTCGATCAATCGCAATGATTCGCGATTATTAACACTACCTGATAGTGATTAATACTGGTTCACAACCATTTGCATTCATTTACAATACTTAATGATTATGCAGAGATGTCGCAAACTTTAAGAGTCTTTTGCTTCATTCGAAGTTTTATAGTTAGAAAAAGTGGCTTGTAATCACTGTAGTAAGATTTTGGAGGTGAACATTTTAACTGCGTCACAGATTCTGGAAGTTTATTTTTGACATACGTCCATCTAAGCACTGTTCCATTGACAAAACAGCTAATTGCAATTCAACCAATGATTTGAAAAAATTTTCATGGAGATTGTTTCAGCATTATCAAAAAACTTTATTAATAATTGAAAATTTTATCGAATAGGAAACCCTTATTTCCAGAAAAGCCATTTCTTCCATTGTACGAGTGCACAATTGCTGAATTGTGTGCTGCAGCTTCCTTTGAAACTGTGCCAACTTTCCTTTGGCACGGCCAAAATAAAAATTTGCAAAATTGACTTGCTGATGAAAATTGAATTGACTTGCGACAATAATTAGAGAAAAATTAGAATTCTTCGCAGAGCATTGTTTTACAGAAACCGTGTCACTTCGCTGGTTACTTACTTAATTACTTACTTAGGGTCCCCCACCACTGCTATATGTACTCGTTCTTCGTACATAATATTTAAGTCCTTTTGTCTACACAATAGCGGTTTTTACGTGCTTATGTAGATAGATTCCAAAATTGCTAGATGGAACGACGATCGGGCTTTACCAATAATCCGGAACATGTCGCCATTATAGTTTTTCGCACAATCTGGGTTTTCCAATGCTGCCTGATAGCAGAATCGCATGTTTTAGTTTAAGTTTTAGATCTGCAGGACCGAGATGGCTGTTCTCTTTGGGGGTGAGTTCTGTTTCGAATACTAGACGGAACATGCTGTTTCACTCTATCCTCCAATCTTTGGGTACTGCGCCCTACGTAGCCAGAATCACACTGGCACGTACATTCATAGATAACGGAACTTTTTTGGGTGGTAGGAACGCAATCCTTTTGAAGTACAAAAAAGGATATCTTCGACTGTCATAGAATACAGTGTAAAGATTGGGAACAACATACGTTACAAATTAAAGAAAAAGATCTTTCAGCAGGCAAAAGCCAGAAAAATGTCTCTTGGAGAGCTACACAAAGTAAAGCAATCCAATTTTCTAAATTAAAAACCCTTTCTAGTCTACTAAAACCTCATCATACAATAAAAACCAAAAAATAAAGGTGTCGTCTTTATCCTTTTTTGTCTTTGCTTTTCCTTTATTTTTATTGCATATTTGTTGCATTTTTAGTTTTTGTTTCGAAGGCAATGATCAGTTATAACAATCTGTAATACAACCCAAAAATGCCAAGCAACAATGCAACGCAATAATGCCAAGCAGTAATACCACGCAAAAATACCACGATGTAATACCACGCTGTAATACCACGCAATAATGCCACTCAATAATGCCTAGCAATAATGCAACGCAAAAATGCCAAGCAGTAATACCACGCAATAATGCCAAGCAAAAATTGCAATGCAATAATGCCAAGCAGTAATACCACGCAGAAATACCACACTGTAATACCACGCAATAATGCCACGCAATAATGCCAAGCAATAATGCAACGCAATAATGCCAAGAAGTAATGCCAAGAGTAGTGTCCCACAGTAAGTTAATTATTCAAAGAAAATATGTATTTGATCGACTTATAAAGTGCAGTAGTCTTTTTTATATTTCAAGAATGCAAGTGCAGTTTTTGCTCTCTACAGCAGCACTTTGTTTTCAAAAGAGAAGTTTTCATTTGAGTACATGAGCACACCCACGGTTTAGAGATAAGTATGGTGTTAACTGTCACAAAACCAATTTAGCTTGAAACGTAATTAATCGCTTAATTAACCTAACAGGTGATTAATTCCGTTTTCTCACCTTCTATTGTGAACAAAAATTCTCCATTAGTGAAATTTCAAAATAGACACTATACAATTAAACTAGTCTTCTTGTTTCGAAACAGTTTGAACTGAAAATGGGATGTCCAGTCAATAAAAAACTGTTTACATTTGGTAACATCCGATACCTTCTATTGGTCTCGGGTGTTCTTTATGTTGTTCTTATTTCAACATTGACTTTTCTAAAACTGCATACAATTATTTTTTTCTAAGATCATTTAATAACAGTTTGGCAGGACATTTCTAGTAGCGCTGTTGATTTGTTGATAAAATCTGCTCTGTTTTGTTAATATGAGACAATTTTTTTGTCAGTTTTCATTCTGAGGTTGGGCATGTTTTTGCGTGTTTTTTTGCCAAATCATTCTGTGATGTTCTCTCGGTGTTCTCGTAAAAGTATGTTTTTGCCTAAAAAGCAAAGCAGACCCCAAGTTTGCATATCAAGTCCAAAATTGGTTTGGTTGAAGCAAGGGGCCATTTTGAGGAGGTTTTGAAATGATAGGGCTTATTTAGCATGGGAAAAGTGTATTTTCCCTGTATAAAGTTTGTCAGACCGCATCCGTTAGGTTTCAGGTCCAGTTTAGTGAAACTGATAAGAATTAATGTGCTACTGGTTTAGAGCTACGTTTGAAACAGTTTTTCGTCGCGCATTTCACAAGGCACTACTTTTTTAAGATAAACGGTTGTGAACTAGCAACTGAGGACATTATTTGGCATTTATATTGACAATGTCAAAACGTATCCTTGCATCAAAACATCCATATTCTTTTTCTCTCAGATTTTAAAATGGTCAGACGAAATTTCTCAGATATCTTAAAGTTCGGTTTTAGACAAAAATTGCAAAAATGTATTTTGAATCAAAGCGGTTACCGCGCGATTATTGGCATCCATATGCGAATCAACAGGGATAAAATGTGTTTTATTCCAATCAGATTTTTTGATTATATTTTCAACAAGCCAATGAAAATGTGTACAAGACAATAGAAATTGTAAAAAATAGCTTCGGATCAGACATCATAGGCAACAGTAACGCTCGCTGCTCCTGTGCAATGTTGTGAGGAAAAACCGCCGTCACATTGAGTTGACGTTGAACGCGAAAATCATCATTATCGAAGAGCTTTGGAAAATTACGCATAGTAAAGGAGTATGGCTAAAACTTTATCGCTCCTGTTTTTGAGATATGGTTGTAAACAAGAGAAAAGTGCACAGTACTCAATGCTAATCAATTGAAAACTACTATAACTCACAAATTTCGCAATTAATAAATCAGACGACCAGGACCTGCTTTATCGAATGGGATTCAGCACAGACAAGTGCTTAAACGTCTGTTAATATCAACCTGTTCGGGTAACTAATACGAGTACCATTAATACCAAGGCAATTCCAGGGGGGACGATGGATAAGGTAGAATAAACCCAACCCCCTTATTAGTAACCGGACAGTAACAAGTTTCCTTTGTCTTTAAACTAGTTCTTTGACACAGCTTTTTGATAGACCTTTGATAGTTAGCATTTTTATGATATAGTCTTTATTATTATATAGTATTTATTTTTGGCAATGTAAAGCTTTTTGATTGCTTTACTACATCACAGTAAAAAAATATGCTGTCAGTGAGCTGGTCAACAAATTGTTTTTCAAAAATTGTTTACCAGAAAATATCTTCTTAAAAATTTGAGTTCGTTGTGGCAGACAATCTGAAAAGTTCTTGTTTTTTAGTCTTGATGATACCTGTAGAGTGATAGGGCTTGGCAAGTTTTAATTTTGAAAACCAAGGCTTCTTCTTTAAGCAGCACGTGTTGCTTCAAACCGCTATCTTTTATAGAGACGATTGTTTTTTAACTTATTTGTCTTCGTTACTCGTAGAGTTGCTAGACACTTAAGTTGTAGCTTTTTCATTGCCAAACTGTCGTATATTTTCTAGCATTTTATTTTTTAAATTTGAAGTCTCGGTGCATCTTGCTATTTTGGGCCTAATTTTGCACACTCGAGGAACAAAGAAATTGTTTTAGAAAAGAGAAGCACTCACCCAAAGACAGTCAAAGATGCACATCTTCTCAGAAGTTGTTGGTTTTGTCTCACACGAACAACAGCTCTTGTACAGCTGCAATTATACGTTTTTTGGTTGCAAAGTTAAGGCCTGTTACCATACCTGATTGCAGTTGTGCGAACTAAACAGACACACTTTCGAATGTTGGCACGTGCTTGCAATCTATACGTTTGACGTCAAATTAAAGTCAGGAAGAATTTGTTTTACTTGATTCAAGTTTTTAGATTTGTTAGATGATGCCTTGATTTGTTTGATTATCAAAGAATTTTGATACTAGTTCTATATTCAAGTTTAGTTGTAACCTATGGAAAAAGAGGAACTCGTTGTAATCGGGCGGGGGACGGGGGTGGCTTATTTTTGACACTTTTTTGCCCAATGTTATTCTGAAGGGGTTTCGTGACATTAAATGCTGTTTTGCGAGTACCACCCTTGCCAAAACTATTGCAGAACGAGCTTAAAAGTTGCTTGCCACTTCATTCCCTTCCCCCAGAACAATGTTAAATATTTTTTTATGACCATAGCGTTTTATGTAGCAAGTTGTGCTACAATCATATATATAAAAAATTTGCGGACCAACATTTTTTTGGAGTGAGGGGGAGGTGAGGTAAAAAAAAACTTTGTTGCGTTTTTTCAAAGGGTTTTGGCATCGATTGTAGGTGTATAACTAGCTATTACCAAAATCATGGAACTCGTCACACATTTATTTGGTTTTTGAGCCTATACTGGCGAGCTGCTACTGAATATTGAATTTGTGTAATATCAAGGCAGAACAAACAGAGGCAGTAACGTCCTCAGTATTTACTGACAGTACAAGTTAAGCATTCTTCATTCGTAAAACACTGCTGCACTCTTTCTATTCTGTTGAAAGGCAAAACTTTGTAAAAGGCACTTGCTGAAAAATGTTAATCGATTCCTAAATCAGTTACAACTTTTATTCGAGCTTTGTAATTTTTTTAAACACAGTAATCAGGATGTTGTAATACGGGATTCGGTTTATGCAATTGACGATTTGAAGCATTATGCTGATATTTAGGCCTAATGTTGCCTAAAACATTTTTCCAATCTGATGATGTACAGGTTTTCAAAGCTTCACTTGCCTTCTTGGCTTTAGAAGAGCAGTTAACAGGACTCAATGTATTACCTTCACTATGCATGGCCATTAAGTTTGTGTAGCCATATTGTATATTTACACGAGACCTGGCGCATCGTACCAAAACAAATGATACGAAAAAGAAAGTGGACGAATATTCGCTCACCGACTAATTAATTGAATTTCAGCCGCTAGAATGTTAGTCAAATGCCGTGATTAGTGCACAACTTAGCGGCTACTGAGTTTCATGTTTCTTTGAGCATGTTTCTTCAATTTTGTTGAAAGATGTTTCTTTGAAGTCGGTAGCATTGCTATGACATCTATTATTGAAAGTTTTTTAGTTCTCCTGCCCAATTGAAATTGAAAAAAGAATTCGTGTTAGAGTTACACCGATGATCTTTTCAGTTTCAACTGACTTGTTTAAGATCCATGTTTTCTTGTTTTGTTCATTTAAATTTGAGTCTTTAGAAATTGGTATTAAGAAAGTTGATTCTGATTGCCTTTAAGACGTGCTTCTTATATACTTGAATCGAATTTTATTGTTGTCATTTGAAGAGTTTTACAAATAGCGAGTGAGTTTTTAGTTGGACCCTGCTACTTTTTTATGCATCTTAAACACAAGGCCTAAGAACAGTCTGTCTTCTGCAAAAGTGGGGTTTACTGTATCAGTATTTTAGTCAAATCCCTTTTGCTCTGACCAAGTTCCTAATTCAGGGAAATTAGAATGATGACAGTTAATTTCTAAGACCGCTATTATCAAAACATGCCCATATGCCATCGACTGGGCCCTTATTTGTTTTTGCAGTATAGTGCTTAGCTCTATATTTCTTAAAAGGATGACAGTGATAAAATCCCATGATGAGCGGCAGTAGCTTCAACAATTTTCGTCTTTATTATAACCCTATTTAAATACCTCTTTGCTTTTCAGGTAGAAGAATATGCAAAAAAACTGCAACCATTGTTAATAGAGACAAGCGATGGGCTAATTCTTGTCCCCGAACTTTATGCTGTTCCTAGGGATAAGGTTTGTATGCCCCAACCTCCTAATGTATTCATGATTATGCTTTCAAAGAAGCTTCCAGAAAGCAATCATCGAGTAAAACTTCAATCCTAGAGCATACGCTTAGTTCCTGTTTTCTTATTTTCGTCTACAGCAGCATATTTGCGTGAAACAATGTAAAAATCCCCGTTCATTAATGGGTAAATGAAAGTAAAAATCGAATTTACTGCTGACATTTGCAAGAAAGTAAATTAGCTATGAGGTGAAATATGTTTAAACTAAAGTGGATTTTATTGGTGAATTTGATTCTGAATCGGGGAAATAGTGCCATCTTTAGCTGGCCACTCTCTCAACAGGTTGAACAAGAATACCGCAGTCCACACAGCCAAGAGCGAGAATATGGGATGCATTGTCCCCAGCTTTGGTCACAATCGCTCTACATCCTCAGTTGTCTCCTCTGTGAGGTAGGAAAATTTGCAGACGTAGTTCTGGTGTGCAGCAGTTAATCCATTTTAGTAAGCGACAAATTAGCCTTTTTGCAGCATTTTGGGATGACCGGGGATTGCAGCTGTAGACATCAACACTAGTATTTTCTCACAATGAATTTGTTTACAGCATTCAATAACTTGTTACTGACTTCGCTTAAAGTTATTGAGTTCGCTGTTGATGCAATAACTTGACGAACACTGTTAAGTAGGACATTAGGCACGGATCACTACAGAACAGGAATAGAATTACTAATTCGTTGACGGGCTCTTTCGATAAGCCCTGCGTCTCAAAGTACTAGGAAGCTGTTTTTCTTTTAGCTGTCAATCGTTAAGGTTTCACGATATACCGAAATATGTTTGAAACAATAAATATTTTCACTTCTACAGACTACGTGTCCCAAAGCTATCTGGTCGTTCTGCTCTTGAAAATGCTTTTAACAATCTAGAAAGAAATACGGAGTCTCTTTAATCATAAATTTGTCAAATAAAAACGTTGTTTATTCATGGAATCTTTATGTTGATACTACATAAATACCCGGATATGTTAAAATGGCTGTTTATCCACACACTGCAGCTAAAGATGAATGTGTGGTTGCAAAGGATGCCGGTAAATGAATCCTCTTTTAAGAAACTTTTTCTTGTTTTTGCAACCTCATTGATGTTGCAGTATTCTTTCAGAAACTGATTGCTGTTGGTGAACTTGATCCGTTGAACAGAAGGTACTCCACTGACCCAAGACCTGATTTAGTTGTCCAAGGTACTTTTTTATCCATATAAAATATTACAATACAAACTACATTCTACTATATTATCTAATTACACTACGATACTACAAGTATGATACCACGGGGAGCAGAGGACAATGACAACCCCATTGCCATTACATTCAACTAGATTAACAACTACGGACGCTACGGGTATATATAATAAGTGTTACAAAGAATAAAAAAAAATATAGGTAGTACTTAACGTACAATGCCTGCCAAAAGTACTTGGAACACCTAGCAATTTACGCTGCATTTGATATCTTTCATTCCTTTCATGAAAGAAAATTGCTACTTCCGCCCCTTCCCCCTAAAACAATATTGATGATTTTGAGAAATATCATAAAAGAAGCGCAAAAGAAAGTGCTTCCTAATATCCTAACCTGTTTGATAGTAAACCAACATTGTTCTGTATGGGAGAGGGGGATGATTGGTTTTGACCTTGGAAATTGATGTCAGTGTTCCAAGACTTTTGGCAGGCATTGTAGGAGTACTTTTTATGAAACGATTAAAGCGTGATTACTGGCACTTTGTATTGAAATATTGAGATGTTAACCTAAATTGTGTGGTTCTCTTTGGGGTGCTAGTTACCTTCTTTTAAGAGTTAATTGTGAATTAAACAATTAAAGGTAAAGTATACGATGGAGGTATGGAAACCATCAAGATTGAAATTTTAAACATCTCGCAAATTAACAAACTGTAAATCTTTATGAGTCAGATTTTGCATCACTTGTGAAATGTTGTCCCACTCAGATCAGAGTATGGTTTGTGATGTGTGATGTGTATATTTGAATAATCATTTTAACATTCAAGTTGTAAAAATTGAAACATATTTTCAAAGCGTTAATTGAATGTGTTGCCTCATCTTTCGTTTAGTATCAATAATTGCTGAGGATAAATCAATAAAAGATTTGCTGAATGAGCATGACATTCCTTGTCAAACGCCAGCCGAAGCCGACCCAATCAGGGTTTTGCCTGCAAAGTGTTTAGGGAAGATCTACAGTGAGCTTGGTAAGTTTTGTTGATAGAAGCAGGTAGAAGTGGTCCTCTAAATTATAATGTAAACAATCTCAAAGCTACCCTTTTCTGAGTCTTGTCTTTGGAAAGCCGTTGTTGCGTCACAGCTTTCATTAGGTGGAGTTATCATCTGTGATCCAGAGTGGGAACTTTCTTTCTTGCGCTGACTTTGCGCGGAAGTTCACTTTGAACATTTGAGCCTGCAGATCTAAGATCACGTACACCACGATAGTAGTTACTGTTTTCACAATATGAAAAGATCAAACTGCCCTGGATGACGTAATAAGAGTATACAAGTTTATGCTAGTGAGCCTTTGCAGCATATTGACCCTTTGCAGCCAAAATGTTTATAGTAGTAGAAATGATTTATTTGAATTTTAATATAAGGCTCTCTCTGAATGTAAGAGCAACGAGAAATTTTATCTGTAGACATCTGCGCTTCAAATTATGCTACAAATTTGCATTTTTTAGATAGACTAGTTTATGTTGATTGATTACCACACGTCTGCCATTGTATGTAATCGGCCCCTACACTATTATCGCAAGCATACAATTATGCCTTGCACTTGGGAATCATGTTTTGTAGAATGTAGGAATGTCTTTTGAGACGATTTATTTACAAGAAGTTGTAAAAAGAGATTTAGTTGCTGTCAAGTTCAATTTGCAAATTGCTAATATTTAAACTGGTTTTAATGCAACTTTCATTCCACCATAAAACGAGAAGATACTTTTGTAATTACAGGTAAAAATTCAAAGCTTGGACTTAGTGGAAGGTGTGTGATCAACACTATGAAAAATTCTTGTTTTAGTCTGCTATAAAAGCAAACGACAATGCATTGAGAGCATTTCTTACACGAATCGATTGATTGCATCACTGATATCTGGTTAACCAATTAGTCATACTGCTTTGTTTTATAGTAATCATCGCCAAGATGATTAAATTAATGTTGCAATGTTCGCTGCAATAATTGCACAAAAAGGCCTTTACCTAACTGCACCAGAACAGATAATTTTCCATCCATTTTAGCTCTCCTTTTCTCTCAACTTAAATGCAAGATGACGTGATGGTACATTCTAGCGTTCATTTATTACTTGTATTTTGATATGTTACTAGCTCGAGAATCTGGTTTTAAAGACTGGTGAATTATTTTTGGAAAGGGCTAAATGACTGCAAATTGTTCAAAGTAGCTTTGATTTCATTAACAGGGGGTTATTGCCCCTGTACGTTTGCGCTGCACATGGTGTCTCTATTTAAACAGCCTTTGTTCCCGAAGCGCTAATTCTTCATTTCTTTTCAAGGCCAGGACAGAACATCGGTTTGGTTGGAACTGGTTGCTTATACAGGGCTGATGGAAGCATACTTGCATTCACACCCCAGGTAATTTTCCGCACATCTGCAAAATTTGCTTTTTAAAGGTAATTTTCCGCATTTTAATGTAAGCAATTTATGTTTCGTGATGATGCTTAAAACTTTCAAGATATTTTTGTTGATGAAAATGTTTGTGTTTTTGAACAAGGAAGCATTTTATAAGGCCTACTAATATGAATTTTAAGATGATCTTAAAATGTGAAAAAGCCTTTCCATTATGCAAAGTTATCCTTGTTAAGCTTTGCTATTATCTTTGAACAGCCCTTTTAAAACAATTTGGCACCCTTCGCATAGAAAATCTCCTTATCTAAATAGTAAAATAAGTAAAAGCTAGTCCCGCTTTCGATATCAAACGTTGTGGAGCGAATACGATGTTAGGGGCTCAGACATTGTGTGATAGGATGGCCAGTTCCTTTCCTCGCCGCTTTTTACCACCCTAGTGTGTTTCAACTAGGTACTCATTTTCTGTTGATTGAAGTTTCATTTATAAGATCTGAAATGATATGAGATTTTTAGATTTTTAATTTCGTAAATCGATAATTTGGATTGTATCAGAATAAGAATAGGTTAATTGGAAATTTTTGTCGGTAGTTTTTAGATTACCTTCAATTCTATTTGTGTTTGGACAATGAGCTGTTAGTGGATGCCTTCAAAACAGAGATAGAATACCTCCGTGCCAATTGGAGCATGGTCGGAAGACCCACCCTTACAATTCCGATGACGCATGCCATTTTAGGTAAGAAATTCTTGGATATATTTGTAAGAAACCATTCTCTTTCTATTACTTAGATGAATCATTTCTTTAAAACAAATAGATGATAAATTGATTACAAATCTAAATGGTTATAAAAGAAATTCCATGGATGGGATTAAAATGATATAATTGTTTGAAATTGGAATTACGTTATTAGAGCTTGCTTTTTTGTTGCCCTTCTTCGGTTTCAAATATTGTATTGCCCGCCTTATGAATATCATGTGATCGTTGTTTGAAATATACAATGAATTATCATTGGATAAAATATACAATGAATTCTCATTGGATGAAATATACAATGAATTCTCATTGGATGAAATATACAATGAATTCTCATTGGATGAAATATACAATAAATTCTCATTGGATGAAATATACAATGAATTTTCATTGGATGAAATATACAATGAATTTTCATTGGTTGAAATATAAAATGAAATCTTATTGGATGAAATATACAAAGAATTCTCATTGGATGAAATATACAATAAGCTGTTGTTTATCTTCCAATCATTTCCTTGCGCTCTTGTTTCTCAGTTTCTTAGTTGCACACTTTCCAATTTCGTAAGGCCAGTCAATGTTATTTTTTGCCTTAATTTTTCTTATAACAGGAAATGGTTGAACAAAGTTGAATTTTTGATAAAATGTATGTTCTCTTTTTTTGTAGAAGACAATATAAATTCAACAGTTGGTAAATTTCTTCTGAGGATCAAATGTGGCTATTCCTTTGGTGTAAGGTATGTTAGATCGCGAAAATATCTATAGCAATTCGTAGCAAAACAGTTACAGTAATTACACCATTTGTATTTACTGATATCAATGCAAGTGAAAAAAGATCGAAAGAATCGAGAGAATTAGAAACTCTTTGAGGGGCGATTTTGTATTTATTTTTTATCTTAGTAAAGTGATTGACAATTTACCTGAGTTTCCAGGAAAACACAGAGGTGATTCTAGGTGTATTGCTTGTTTTCTACTAACGTGGTGCATGGTGGGACATGGCTCACAATTCAAATCCGGACATGAAGCATTACATTTTACAGGATGATAGAAGTTTTTCCACCCAACAATGGAAATTTGTAACAGCTGTATGCCCAAGCATAGATTATAGACGGATTCATAAAAACCATGCTTAAAATCTCAAGTTGAACACAATACATATCGCAGGGTTTGAACACCCTTGTGATATGTATTGAGAAAATATCATAAAACGGGTCGATTCTATTTTTGAACAGCATTTACTGAAAACGCCAGATTGTGTCAAGAAGTATGATAGAGCTCGATCGTCATTCTATATAGCAGTTTTATATGCATGCAATATGCTATTTAACACCATGATGTTATTTAGCGGAGGCTGGATCAAGCGCAGCCTGAGGGCATACCTTTTCCTGTAGTATCAATATTGGATGTGATAAGCTCTTAATAACTGCACAACAATTATTGAACAATTCAGTATGGTAAAATCATAATAGTCCTTTCCTTTTTTTGAACTTGTACCCATTGTGATAAGCTGTCCATATATATTTCCTTTTCCTTTTGATAAATCTTTCTAGGTGAAATTTTTTGACTTCAGTTTTCATTATTCTCATTTTATATCAATTCATAAGTTTCATGTTTTCCATTCGTTTTTGTCTAGTCTGTGTTCATTAGAATTTGCGCTATCTATTGAGTATCAGGACTCTAGCTAATTAATATTTGTCATTCTTGTTTACTTGTTTTTATCTGGATGGCATTTTTCGAATGAGGATATCTTAGTAATTATTTTTTATTGACAAATTAGTCGAAGGCGTTCTATTTTTTTTTCAATATTCTATGCAGAACAAAACTGTTCTGCCCAGATTTTCATTTAATCTCATACTACATTAACACGTTTTCTGTCGATCCTGATTGAATAGTTTTTTTATAAACTGCAAGTTTTTTTGATGTATTCATAATTTGATGCTTTTGTTAACACTTCTGCCTAAATCAAAATCTGGGAGGACAGTCCCTTTAAAAGAAACGAGAACGAAAGTCTTGTTGTGAAATATAGACATTTTGATGCCTTTTTCAATAAGAAGTATGGTGATATAAGAAAAAAAAGATAGAAGGTAAAAAAAACTAGGTCAAGTTTGTTTATCAACCCATTTTTACTCAAGTAACTCTTATTTTTCAGAGTACGACTTGGTGAACTTCCTGATATGCTTAGTACTTCATGTATCCAAAAACTTGACTTCGTTGGAAGGGGCAGACTGCAAGGTAGATAATAGATCTCGGCTTTTTTCATTCTCATTGTGGCTAGAATTTTACTTCATTCACTGAAGGCAAAGGACAATGATTCTGTCATATCAATGTATTGCTTTGCTTTGGGCAATTCTATTTTAAGTTCAAAGCATTTTTTAGATGGACTGCTTACAATTCGTCGTGGTATCCTGTCTGATAAAATGCTGTCTATTACTAGATTTGTGAATTTCTCGAGTTGTGCTATTCTCTTTTGTTGTTGTGAAAGACAACCAACAAAACCCAGCTCAAGATGGATAAACTTAGGGAGCTTTCATTATAAAGGACTTTTTGTGTATGATATGTTGCTTAGGAACTTTTCGTGCAAACGTCTTTCTTAGAACTGATTCATCGTTATCGCGATCCAATGATGTCTCCAAGAATGAGTGACAAGCTGAGAGTTTCTGATGAATACGATGACGGCACTCAAATGAGAAAAGTAAGTGATAGATGCTCATGATAATTTAGTGAAAATTAAAGTAGTGGCTTAACGACTAACGTCCCTTGTTTCTGACGCGATAAACTGTGATATAATGCACGATTTTACAGAATTTTAAAATTTGATTAGAACCTTTTCATGCTTGACGTATGATTTATTTGGTGCCCTGGTGACCTTTTTGGATTTTAAAACTAAATAAAAACGCTACTCAGAGGAAGTCTCCATGTTTTTAATATTTGGCAGCACGAAATTTAGGCATCATAGGCAGCGTGAATTTTAGGCAGCGTGAATTTTAGGCAGCGTGAAGTTTAAGGCAGCGTGAAGTTTAAGGCAGCATGAACTTTAGACAGCGTGAAATTCAAAAGAAACACTTTAACACAAGTAATTCGATTTTAGAGAGCTGGTTCTTCAGAAGATCCGGACTTTAAGAGGACAAGCTCGGTCAGTGGATCTGTAATGCTGAGTAGGAAAATCAGCAGGCTACAGTCATGGGGTCCAGATGATAACATAGCAAAACGGCCTGGTGAGTGCCAGTCGGTGAACTTTGAATTTTTCACAAGTAAAGCTAACATGCGTTTTCGCATCCACATTTTCTCCTTGTCCTTAAGTCCCTTTGTAATACCAGTAAGGCTTTAAGTTATGAAATACAAAACTTTTTGAGTATGCTAAAATTTCTCCAAAGGTTTTATTTCTACCAGCTCTGCCTTTTTACGTTTTTTGTAGTGCTCAGAATTATAAATGATTAGTTTTCTTGCTTTTTTTTAAAAAGAAAAACTATATAACCTACAAGAGGTGAGTGAGTCACTTGCGAAAAGGGCTTCTTCTGATCAAACCAACATTGATATTGATGAACTGCGAAAGGAGCTGGAAGAGGCTGATTCCATTTACGTCCAAGCTGATATCCTGCATCATCTTTACGTAACCAGGTAAGCTGTCATCACTTCCTGCCACAGTAAAGGCGTTATGTTGGTCATGGCCAGGCAGCTTTTTTTCTACGCCAGGAATGCCTGTTTAAGCAAGAGTAAAAGATGTAGCCAGTTGTCTCTTCAATTCTTATGGACTTTTAAGAAATTGAATTTTGAGGGCCTTGAACCATTTGATTTACCATCGTGTTATTATCATATGTTCAAAATTTCTTCATGATTTGAGAACAATGCTTGGGATTTTGCTTTGTGTAGATTTTGATATATATTTCTGTATACATCTTTTTGTTTATCTGTTTCTTATCTTGTTTAGAGGTCCTAAATTTGACGTCAAACTTCGAGGTATGCCTAACAGTACAGTTGAGCTGTTGTTACAAGAACTGTATGAGAAGGTAACTTTTTCAATGGGAAAACTACAATCCTTGTCAAAATTGTTGGATCATCTGCACCAACTTTCAGAGTTATGCAAAGCTTTTTCATCTGCGCTCTTCAAAATGTTACTAATTTTCAAAATACTTTGGTTCCCAGTGAAAGTGTAACTGGCGTAGCTTTGTATAAACACGTGACATATCGAAATAATCAGCATTGTACCAGGGGAGGGAGAGAAGAATTTTGTCGCGGCGTTGATAAATTGAGAAGGTGGTTTATAACTTTAATATTACGATGTTTTGACTATTTTTTTCAAGAATTGCAGTTGATAAGCAAGTTTTCTAATTTACTAGTGCTGGTTTAATAGATGAAATTAAAAAAAACAGCATCAAATTTGAAATTGAAATTTATTTCTCTTTCCTTTTGACCATTTTAGATATTCTATTTTTGTTTGGTGAAAGCTTTTTTCATATCTGGCTCTCTTCCCGTGCAATGTGTTTTCCTATAGCATCACCTTTTTCAAAACTGCCTGCTTTCAAATTGATGGATAGTCTATTGGCAAAATCTAAGGTTACATTTATTCTTCTCTTTTTCAGGCAGGCCATTACAAAATTTGGTCACTTATTAGGCATACGGCTGGAATGCTAGGGAAAACAGTCGATAATCTCGGAGAGGTGAACGCATTTCTTATAAATATATTCGCCACTGCATCTCATTTGCACAACATCTGCTTGCTATTATTGCTACTTCCCACGCTTTCTTCGCCATTTCGATTGTAGATTCTTTGCAAGACAGAAATTATCTTTACATAAGTTGATACACGGGGAACAGTTATATTTTCGATTTAGCAGGTGTTCGATTTACGCAAATATCAGATTAAAGAGTGTTGACAACTGACGTCAAGGTTACTTATCATAGGACCAACCACAAACTTCAAAGAAGTAATCACGTGATATGATACACGTGATATAATATTTAACCATGTTATACTTGTTATGTTATTGGGACTTTGTAAACTGTGATGTGGGTGATTATTTTCTTCCTGATAACTTATCGCTCTGCCGTCACAACCTATGACATTCCGACGTGGTCGGGGTACCAACAATTGAACGAAAAGTGTCAGGATTTTGGGAGATAGTATCGTCGAAAGATAACGTAAATTTCTGTATAAAAGGTGATAACTGATAGTTAAACTCATAAAAAGTTCAATTATGGAAAACATATTTAAAAAGACCAAAATTTAAAATGTGAGGGTGATATTGACGAATTTGATTTGCACTAGCTAACAGAAGCAGAATAATACACCAATTCAACTTACGACCTCGTTTTGGAAATTTCTCCAAACTTAATTATACGACTTTTTTAAGCGCAGATTTGGTTTTATCGCCAAAACTTTAGCCGGGATACCATTTTTCATATTGTTTCAGCTTGTATTTTAGATTTCACGGAGAAATGAAGTTTGAAAACTTGTAAGGGATTTGACCGCAAAAATCGTTCCGGGGGAAACTTTACCCCCCTAGTCGCCAATCACGGTCAAATCCCTTATAAAGTTTTTATCTTTGTGTCGTCATAAAATCAATATCGTGAGCAATATGATAATGAAAACTTTCAATTAGACTAAAATCATTGCTCTCAATCTGAATCTCAGGTCAAAAATTTTATACAAATAAATTTTGAAGAATTTTTCAAAGCAAGGCCGTAAGTCAAATTGGTGTATTCGAGGAGAAAATTTTTGAAAGACTAGGAGCTGCTTGTGGCAGAGTGGGGCTCTTTAGGTCTAGCTGTGAGTGTTCGGGCTAATTTAGGATGGTTTTGTGGTTGCTGAGCGGTGGAATTTCATCTTAATATCATAGCAGCCTAGCCATTCATTCAGACGCCAGCCTTCGCTCTCTTTATCTATGAGCCTATCTATCTTACTTTTGTTAATGATTTTTGCAATGCATTATAGGTTGCAAATGATTTACTTGTGAGACAAAAGCAACTTGGCGTTGGCTTACCTCACTTAAAATGTGAAATTGAAATAGCGAGGTAAGTAGTCATCTTAATTTCAGATTGAACCCTGTGGTTTTTAGAGAATCCCTCGTCGTTCCGAGTAAAGAACCTCTATACAACGGACATCTGTATGCAACGGAAAATTACACTGGTCCGAGCTGTGTCCGTTGTAAGGAGGCTCCACTGTATATCCTTTTGATTTACTTTTTTTTAGGCCACAGCCTCCTACTGTTTTGAGAAACCTCATATATACCTCCTCCGGAGAGGACAGAAGCACAGCCGTTTTGATGCAGGTAATTGCCGTTGCTACTATTTGTTTCGTTGTTTCGCAGCACTGATAAGAATATTTTGATAGCTTTGATATTTGGGTAGCTAATATGTTCTTAAGGAATGAATCTGTGACATTCAAAGATCAAGCAGCTACGATAAATTTACCCCAGAATAAATTTACCCCGACTTTTAGAAATTCTCTGTTTTTTATTCTTGAAACTTTATACCGAAATAAGACTTTATAGGAGCTTGAAAAATGGTCGGTTTTGCAGAGGTTTTTGTCTGATGGAGAAACTTATGAACTTTTGTAATATTTTGCAAAGTACAAAATGATCATTTTTGGTCAGCGATGTTTGAGTATAAGATCTCGATAAAATGCGATTGGTGAGTAAGGAACGTGGGTACAACTTTAAGAGAAAATACAGGCTGCCCCTTAAGAATGAGTAAAATTGCTGGTGACGTAATGATCGTCAATGAAACTGGTTAACTTGTGCCGAGCATTAATTGATGAATATGATACCCAGTAATTTAGAGGAGCAAACCAGTCGTTGAATTGGCTGTATCTTTTATTGATCTAATGTTATCGAACTTTTCCAGGAATTACTGGTTTATTTGTCAATGTTTGTGAAAACCGAACCAAATCTGTTCAATGAAATGTTACGGCTGCGGGTTGGATTGATAATGGAAGTAATGGCGGCTGAGTTTGCAAGAGCAACTGGCCTAAATGGTAAGCTAGTATCAACTAATTACAATACTTTCTCCGTTTTGTCTAGCAAAACGTATTTAGGTTAACGTTGTGATTTAGATGTTGATTCTTTCATTTTCCTTTTCTTAATAAGTTTATATCTATATATCCTATTTGTCTAAACGTTTTGAACCATTGTTTTGAGTTTATTTTTGCTTACTCTTGTAACATCGTTGTTTTTTCAGGCGAAGATGCAGCGGAAGGTTTTATGAACCTAAAGCCATTTGAGATGAAGCAATTGCTTTATCACATTTTAAGTGGGAATGAAATAACTTTTAAAAGAGGTAATTGAGTCAATATCGCTCATGTTTTCATGGCTTGTAACGGTATGGTTTAGGTGTAAAGGACAATGTTGCCCAAACTTGTACCTATATTCGCTCTTATTTTTTTCTTCTTTTTTAACAATGAACATTTGTCAACAGGTTAAAAAGCTCGTTTTTAATTTTTTGGCGGTACAATAATTGAAAATGGCTTTGAAAAAGCAAACGCTATACATTTTATGAGGCAGGATGGCAATAGTAATAAAATTTTGTCGTTATTGATTTTCTAATTTACTTTGAAGATTCCAGTGGAGGCTATAAGATAGCAAATTTGAGAAGTATCAACAAAGTCAAAAGAGCAGTGAAGGCTGGTATCATTTTATTTACCAACTTTAGAATCTTAGAGTTTAACGAGACTTACGGTGAGGTATTTCATCGAATGTTTCCATGCTGCGCGCATCTAACTGTGATCTTATTGCCTCGAATTAATACAGGGATTGACAATCCAAAGGATAATGTGGGTTCAGTGATACCCAAATTATCACTGCGTATCAGCGAAATTGTTACATTTTCGGGTAAAAAAATGAAAAATCCCACATCATCTTCATTTTTCTAGATGCTTAATGTGTTTTAAGTGCTGCGTTTTGTTAGTGAAGCTGCCAAGATTCGCCTTCAAGTTAACAATGCTATTAGTGCTGATAATTCATTAATAGTTATGTGTATACCATTACTAGTTATTGCCATAAATACTTGCCCAGCTTGTGCAGAACTGGCTATGTATAAGAATTATTTTATTTTAAATAAAGTTTTCTTATTTGGGTTGCTAATGCTCAAGGGCTTTTTAAATGCTTTTGCTAAGGCAGATTTTGGCCTGCGCTGTCCCGGTTCGCACTTGGCTTCACAGCCACGGATCGACCCTTTGCCTTCTAATTTTCGATGACATCCTAGGTGAAATCCCATATGTTCTTTTTCGAGTTTTTTAACACCATTCATGTTTTATGACTTCCATATCACCTTTCTTTTCCAGTGGCGTAAATTATGGCTTTGGTCGATCACTCCTTTCTCTGTCTATATGAATATTGTAAGTTCCTTAGAATATTGCCTTTTGTGTTTGCTTGCTAATTGTTTTCTATTTACTTCGTAGAGCCTGAAAAAAGATGCCGAGAAACAGCTGGATCTGCCGTTTGAAGAGAAGTACTCCTCGGATTATTCTTCTGGCGAAGAAGAGTGTGATGAGGTGAAGGCCTCCGATGACAATGTTCACAAAGCTGGACAGTGGATGCGGAGGAGGTGCTTAGATGGAGCATTGAACAGAGTTCCCGTTGACTTTTATTTCAAAATTTGGAAAATCCTAGAAAGAGTGAGATGTTAATGATATCATAGTATTGGGAAATACAATTTGACAAAAAGCTCAAATTCAAATGAGAAAAACATATATCAAGCTTTATTGGGCGTGGCAAATTTTTCTTATCTTTAAGGCAACATTGTACAATATTCTTATGCTCTGGGTTTATTCTTCACTCTCTCCTCGAGTAGTCCCGATTCGTCCAGAGGTTCAAAAAACAAGTTTATTTCTAGCATAAACCAGTTTATTGATTATAATTCACTTGAAAGGTTTTGACAGGTGGCTGAGTTTCTATTAAGTAGCGGCAGTTTTTTGGTGATTTTAGTGTAAGGTTTTTTTAATCGAAATAACACCTTAACACAAGCCAGCTAAATGCGATTGATTGCATTGATCGAGCTGAACCATCCATTTTGAACGATGTGATGGATAAGGCAAGAATAACACCAGTTTTAATGCCAGGTCTTGGAATATGATGAATCAATTGGGATTGGGCACAGCGGGACATATTATGGTTTGTGGGGTAGCAAATTTTCAGAGGAGGACGGAGCTAGGCAGGCAGAAAACAAGATTACTTTTGCATTGTTTTAAGTGCATTTTTAAAAATTATTCGGGGGCTTAAACCTCCTAGCCCATCTCTCTTAGGAGAGAAGTGGGTATTCAAATTATGCGTAAGCTAACCAGTCACGAGTTTTAATATCTAAATGACAAGACACTCAAATTTATCATGACATCTTAATTCTATTTGATGTTGTCAAAATTTAATTAAAAATTTCGACTCAAAAGTGGGGATTTTTATGTTGAAATTCAGTAGAGATATTTTATCTTCATCATCTTTCTTCAACTTAAATGGTTTTGACTTAAAAACGTTCTCTGATGATGAAAAATCAAACTACGACTGCAAGTTTGGCAAATTCCACGGTGGAAGAAGGCTTTCTAAATGCAATCGAAAGTCCACGCGGAAAAATGAATAAATTTTGTGGGAAACAAGTCCCTATTGAAAAGCTTGCCCATTTATTTATATGGCAATATACGGCGGTAGATTGAATTATATTGATTTTTTTAATGCGTGGATTTCAAGTGATTTGAAATTGTTTATCAATCAGTTTTGATTCTCCAGGCAAATGATGTTAGGATTGACCCCCCCCCCCCAGTTCTTGTTTGCATTATTGCTGTGAATGTTTCACAGACTTTTAGAACATCTTTTAGAATGTTTACAGACTTTTTAAATATTTTGCTTTTTTCCTTAGTGTGAAGGAATATCGATTCATAATTATGTCTGCAAGCATGTATTGATTAAGGAGGTAAGCTTATTTCTTATAAGACTCATATATACTATTCCGAGATGTATGCTACACATATAATACCTTTCAAATTATTGGTATTCGTAGTTGTGTTTGTTTCTACCTAGCATCCGAAGGTAGTTTTTAGGACACTGATAGCTTATGCTTATCGAGCAGTGTCCTGGTCCTTCCTCTCGATATGACAACAGCTCGTGATTCCTGCGCTTGAAATTACATAGAGATGGCGACTCTCCTCACTCTGGGTGAAAGTTTTGTCATGTCAGGGACTAGAGCCACAGACCCTTGGGTCTGTAGTCAGCGACCCTAAACACTAAGCCATCCTCCCACTGATCAAACATTAATTTCGATTGTTGCCAATCCAGTATATATTGTCTGTTATCGTTTCATAATCCTATGCTTGTTTTGACTCAAATAAATGATTTTAAATTTTCTATTTGTTTCTTATTTAATCTAAAACGATTCATTGTTCTATGAAAATCTCGTCCTTTTCATTATATTATGTTTTAAACTTTCTTGTCCAAAGTTTATGACCAGCTCATAACCTTTTATAGCTCCCTTTTCAAAACTATGGCTAACTCCTGACAATTTTCTATGACAGAGTACACCAAACGAGTTCAATTTTGCCATCAATGTCGAGAAGGGCCTCAACGGTATCATATACCCTGAATACAGACAGCTAATGGTCGAGGCTCTGATGGTGCTTTCATTAATATTAGAAAATGAAGGGAAGACATTCATCCATGGAGTCATTGCTATTGACCAAATCGTTGCTGATGCAAATAAACTTTTCCTAGAGCACCAAGTAAGTGATTTCCTCGTTGTGCCAACAGTAAGGTATTGCACATTCGCTTAAGTACTATTTATCTGATATTTATAGTAACCGATCGTCGTGAACACTACTTTGCGCCAGCCCACGATCTTGTTTAACTGAGCCTCTGTTAAAGGAGGAGAGCCTTAGGGTGACAATCCCTCCTGACTCAATGTTAGACATCAAAGCAGCTAGAAAGATATTTTTTATACATTAATGAGCAACGGGAACGCAGGAATATGGGCATCGCCCCCTTTTTGAATTAAATGTCCCTTTTTCCGAGAAATAGTACCCTTCACTACCTGCGCTCCTCTAGTTCTGAAATGCTTCATAGGCCTCTAGGTACAAAGATCGTCAGTTTCTGTCTGCCAATATCATTTAGTACTTGTTTCTATGATGTCTGGTTTCTTTGATGCAGAAAGAGTGTCAAGGAGATGCGTCTCTCTGTTGTGCCAAAGACGGTTTTTATCCTGTGTGTGGAGCTACAAACCAAATATGCAGACACTTTTATGATAGTGCTCCCAGTGGAAGTTATGGCACTATGACGTATTTCGCCCAAGCCATCCTAAAGAGACATAACTTTGGTGACCCAAAAGAAATCTGTAAAGTGAGCTGACTATCTTCGTCTTTGCCGTAATTATTTCTTATTTAAGCTTATGTTGTATCCTCATTCACAAACAAAAATTTTATACATTTGATATACGATTTTCCTTAATCTTGAACAGTTTGCAACTTTGTTTATTTTATTTTTGTTTAAAACATATTTACCTTGGCAAACGATTCAGTCAACTAATTAAACTGTTTTTCCAATTGTCCTATGAAAAAAACAAAATAAACCTAATTTTAAAAGATAAAACCTGTTTACACTAATCAGATAGAATAAAGAAGCTACTAAGCGTGATAGAAAAATAGAGATCAGCTTTCCTTTAATGTTCTCAGATTGAAGATTTTAATTTCGTTTTGAAAGTCGAATCGTAGGGACTGATTTCATTTCCGAGTCAAGTCTATTCCATGCGCCGGCTCCTCGTAACGTAGATAAATCTTGGCCATAATCTGTTTTTGGTATAGCAAGATTGCATTTCGTTTTCCGTAACACCCCGGTATGAATATTAGACAATTTTTCTAAATTATTACCAAGTAAAAGCTTTGGAGATATAGTAAACTCTGCAACAATACGCAGGCCGACGACATTGTCTTTTGAATTATATTTGGAGTGACTGTGACAAAAACGGGCTCATTTTCTCCCAACCATAAAACTTTATTTGCACTTGGTACAATTTGTTCCTTTTGATTTTAATCATTACTTCATATTTAAATTACATTATTGTAACTGACTTCAGTTGTTAAGTACATTGAGCATTGAGCTTTATGTACAAGCGAAATTACTAGCCTTGTTTCACTAGCTTTTTCAAGCACGATCAAGAACATTTGCAAGGAGTGCATGAATCTGCGAAAAAGTTTCTTAACTGTCTATTAACCACTTATATTTCTAAGGAACACATACAAACTCGATTTTGTGCTGTTTTTTCATCCGTCTATCGAAGTCAGTTCCTTTAAATGAAGAAACATGTAGTTATCGTTACAGAAAACTTAAGCAAAATATTTTATGAAATCCTTTAGTACTCTGAACTGTTGTTTAAAAGAATTTCTAATTTATTAGCAATAGAATTTCACACAGGTTTCGACCGAATAATTGTTGATTGAACTGGCTATTAATTGCCAAATTAAAATAGTTCATCATCCTACTTATTTGCGTCAGCTAAAGGCAAGTATTAAACATCAGCCAATATATGCGCTTATTCTACTAATACCACTCAGTATTCGTTTCTTCAAATTGTACTGTGTGCAGCAATAAACTAGGCATTCCGCCATCCCTTTCAGGAACGGCAATTTTGACGCAATCTCTATATATATCTTGAACGTACTGTTGCTTGATGACGCTGTATTGGCAACGATGAATGCAGAGTACGGTAGGATCGTAAATGCGAGATTCACACACAAAAACGAAAATACAATTTTTTGTACCCTCATCTCAAGGTTTCGGCGATGTCGTCTTGCCACCAAAGATGACACTCTTCCCCTAAATATTAGTATTGTTCGAATCTGTACACACGTGCATATTGTCAATGCCAATATAAGAATGGGCATCAGTACTATATATGCAGACACAAACAACGGTACTGAACCGGCAAGAAGCGAAAGGACCCATGAGAGTACCACGAATCTCTTCCAAACGACCTTGGATCGTTGTGTCTCAAGTGGATGGTTTGCTTTTATTTTGTTAACAAGATTGACATTTAAACCAACAACCATTGCAACAGAGAGAAAATGGCTCATGGCAGCAAAATATGTCACTAATGACACATGAACGCAAGCTTGTAACTTTGTGGTACTTAAAGTGGACAATAATGGCAGAACGACAACAGCGGATAACAAATGTGCAGAGAAAAGCGATACGAGGCAGTAAAAGTAACTTCCCTTGTTCCTTATACGGTAGAAAACCACAATCAGAGCTACTGTAATGAGTATAACTGAGAGGACGGCTACTACGAGCCAGAAAATGAGCAAATCGTCGCCTTTTCCAGCAGCATTTAAAATCATAATGTTTGCCTCGCAGTTTTGCTTCATTATAACACCAGATATGCTAAGCATTATTGATTGCAGACATTTTCTTGCAGCTTGTTCGCCTTCTTTTGATACCGACGTACTTTATCTTGATTAAAATTTAGGAATGCTAAGAGATTTGAACCATCCAGGCAGCTTTCGTCAACTTATGTTTGAATTACCTCTTTAGAATGCTACCATCAATGTCAGCAGCATGTTTTCATGTTAGCTCTTTGCTCTTCCTGTTCAATTTGCTCAAATCTTCGACCGTTTACGGTGTAATGTTTACGGTTGATACTTTATAAGACGTTTATTGTCACCTCTTCTGCTTCCAATACGAGACTCAACAGAAAGCGTTTAATTCTGGCACCTATCTGAAACCGAATATCCTTAAGCAGCTGATGCTTTTCACCATTATAACGCCTTTTCACCTTCGTTTCCTCCTCGCTGGTGCCACATGCACCTGCTCGGCTAAGTGCAAACAAATTGACTATGATTATAATGATTTGTTGGCTTTCAAATCTCGCTTGTGAAAAAAGTGTGCTCAACCTACTGTGCTGATAAGAAGAAAATATTTTAGTACAGCATCTTTCTTGTCGTAATGCTCATTTTCTGACTAAATCGTGAAAATTGTTGAATATATAGATAGGATATATACCTGAAAGGTATCTTGAAAGCAATTTTTGTCACTTGAGCTCATTCCCCCGATATGAAGGATTTTTGTAAGCTGTGAAGTATGTTCTGATGCATTTTCTGATGCAACTTCCATTGAACAATGTTAAAGACAGAGGTAATTTCCATCTCGAAGGGGCGGGGGTTAACTAAGCCTAGTTTTGGACGGGGACGTGCCATTTTGGTTCAAAATTTCAATCCATAATTCCGCAAACATGATTAAAACTATACCCACAAGGCACAGAAAATTTTTTAAGACACAACAAAGTCATCGGAATATCGATTGGAAATATTTCTTCGTCAATATGTCTTTTTTAGAACAAGACGTAAGATTGTCTGATATACCAAATGTTACAGATATCCCCCTTTTAATCGGGTGATTCGAGTAAAAATGTCATTGAAGCCGTCTTCGCCCGTTGGTTACGTGACTTAAGGTTCTCTAGATAAAGAGCCGCCGCTAGGCGGGACGGGCCCCGTACCCCCGTACCCCCTGCTCCTGGAAAAACCCTTATCGAAGTTGAAGTCCTGAAATTGAAGGCAAAATGGGCTTTATACGGCGCCTTGTTGCGTGTAAAAATTTTCATCTTTTCTCATTCTTTCTCACGAGCCTTCAGCCTGAGCTCCTTTCTATTCAAAATAGATATGAATGCGTTGTTACAAATTCAGACAAAATCATGAAAAAATAACTACATGACAATTACAAGTTTGTGAACTTCTGAGTCCCTCTCTCCCCGATATACTTTCTTACCCATTATTTTTCAATACCTTTACAGTACCACTTTACGAGTTTTTTATGGCAAAAGCGTCACTAACATCACTAAAGTCAATCTTTTTATCAATACACTCTTTTTTATAAGAACCAGAAAATTTGAGTTCAGGCTGAGTGTTCTTAATTTTTTTGCGAAAATCTGAGGCTGGATTGTTCTTATAAAGAGGGTGTAAGCTGTGTGATTGCTAGCTTTTTCGCTCTAGGGGGGAGGGGGGGGTGTCTAGGCCTCATAAGCAGTAAGGTGAGTGAGACAACTTTTTCATTTGCCAACAAGTTTGAATTTTCACCGAAAAAGCACCCGCATGTGGCTAGAAACCCTCGTTTTTGCGAATAAACGTTGTTAAAAATTGCATTTTACAGTAGCTCAGCCTCAGCTTGTTCTTAGTTTGTTCTTATAAAATTGTTCTTGTAAAAAGAAAAGAGTGTACCATGGTACTCTCTTTAAATACTCAACACAGCCAGTCATTTAGTGGCCCCTGGGACAGTGTTGACATTTCTTATAGGAGAAAGCCTAGAAGGACGCATCATCGTTGAAAGATATAAGAAATTCAATTTACCCACTAACGGTTTGCAGCAATTTATAAAGATAATATTTATTCTTACAAAAAGTGTTATGTGTGTCTGGTACCTCTAAATTGAAATTAAAGTTCTTCCAAGCAGACAAACCAAATACTTGGTGTCTTCCTGCAATAAGACTGCAAAATCATTTTGGATGAATCATTTAAAAGGACCTCAAGTATTTCTCCAAGCGGTAACATTGCTCAGAAAATAAAAATTCCGTTCGAAAAAACTGGAGAAAAAAAACACAAAAAGTGACAGAGGTGGGATTCGAACCCACGCCTCCGGAGAGACTAGAGCCTAAATCTAGCGCCTTAGACCACTCGGCCACTCTGCCGATGTAGAGCAATCTACGAATTTTTGTTTATGTACGGATGCTAAGGAGGAATCGATCTATGAACACGTGAAAATATCTCCTCGCAAAATTTTTCGGCACAAAGTCAGTTATTTACAATATATTTATATACTGATAGAAAGAGGCAAGTTATAAAGATTTTATAAAATTAATATAACATAAAAATCTAATCGGACAAAGCGACAGTTTTCACCCATAAGCGGCACTAGACAAAGACCGGGCCCACGCAGATTTGGTTGCCACGCAGATTTTAGTATCACACCGGTACATGTTTAAGCTATTGATATGTTTCTTCAATCTAAAATTCTAAGAAAAAAATACACTGATTTTTACAAGAAATAAAGGTAAAAATTAAGTACACAAGCTTCTTAACGTTCCTTAGCGAAATTTTCAGCCCACGTTGTTTCCTGAAGAGGCTTAAAACGTAGATATCATATTCATTGATTTTCGCATGGGCAGTTTTTCATCGTGGGAATGATCTTGCTTCATATATAATTATTTCACTACACAACTGACAACTGAGGTTTGTTGTGAAAAACATGTGTGCGTCTCGGTTCTTCGTTACACTCTTTTTTGTAAGAACAATTTTATAAGAACATAAGCCCAGGGGCGCCTACACAAGGGGGGCTAGAGGGGCAGCTGCCCCTCCTGCCCTCTTCGAAGAAGGGCAGAGGGGGCAAAAAGTGCCCTGAAATATGATGACCACTTTCACTACTCTCGTTATGTTAATATCTATTAGAAAATACTAGAAAGAAGATAACACCAGCTCAAAAATGCAAAGAATGAAAAGTTTGTCTGTGACAAGGTCGGCCACAAGGGGGAGAACGGCAAAGGTAATAGATGATAAACAAAAGACGTGTTCCCTCCGAAGTACTCCAGAAACCTAAGGAGAATAAATCGGTATAAAAACTTGGCGGGCACTCAAAATTTTACATCCAGCCTATTTATAACAGCCATGATTTTTAGAAAACCAAACATTGTGTATAGTGACAAGGCCATTTAATACCCTTTTTCATTCATGGATAATTTTGTCAACATTTTCTTTATGTTTAGAATCTTTGATGGTAAAAACCCCAACTGTATGGGTGGCACATATTCTAGTTAATATTTTATCATGTTACCCCAGCCTCGCCCCCTCCCACCTAGGAATGCTCGATTATGTTAATAGAAAAATTCAACGATTTGCCCTTGGCACCAACACTGCCCCACCTGCCCTAATCTTGTGCAGGCGTCCCTGCATAAGCCTCAAAATTGGTCAACATTTGAGAACAAATTAAAAAAACTGAGGCCGAGCTACTGTAAAATGCAATTTTTAACATAGTTTCCTCACAAAACGAGGATTTTGATTTTTTAGCCTGTATGTGTGTGGGTGCTTCAAATGAATGTCCCACTCACTTTGTTGGCAAATGAGGCCTTAACAGGAACTGAACATGAACGTTTTAAGCCTCTTTAGGAGGCCTAAAGCGAAAAAGCTAGCAATTGCACTGCTTAGAACCTACTTATTTAAGAACAAATTAAAAACAAACCAGCATCGGATTCTCAAAAAATTAAGAACAGTCAGCCTGAACTTAGATTGAGTAGTTCTTACAAAAGAAGAGTGTAAAGTAATAGAGATATTGAATTATTTTATCTTGGTTTCGTTCACAAAAATGACTGTTACTTTTGGTGTTTCAATCTTATCACTGTACTTTTGGATTTTAATATCTAAATTTTCAAAAAACCATAGCATATCTTCTATGCCACCGTGAAATTTTGGACAGCTGTCTACGAGAGACCAAAATCTAGGTTAAAATTTGAATTTAAAAAGTGTCATGCAAGCTTGGCCAATGGGAAAAATTTCGATACACCATCTGCTTTTGATTTCCACAAAATACAAGATTGAAAGTTATAATCGGTCGAAGTAAAGAAATCAAATATTTGCTTGTCTTAGCGGGACAATTTTTCTTTTTGGTGTTTCAATGTCAATTTACCTCAACAGGTGGAGGAAATACAAGGCCTAATGACAAGAAAAAAAGCTGGGGCGTACTTCATTCTTGAACGCTTATTTCCCCTTACTCTCTTTCCTTTAACATAGAAGAAATTTATTTTCCTTAAGCCACGCCACAAATGTCAGGGAACCTGCCCATCAAGAATCAATTCCAACAAGAGGGTGGATTAAGTCGCACAGATAGTCGTAGCAAAGATCTCATCTCATTAGCTTAATGGTAGATTGCACATTCGTTTTAAGATCTATCTCTTCATAGTTTCATTTCGTTTGTTTAAGGAAGTATCCAATTGTGTTAAATTAGATTGTCTGTGGTTCATTCTCTGATATTTTGATTCTATGAAGAATAGTAATTATGAATATTTAACAGATCTATCAAAGATGGTTTTTCGCTGTTAAAGTTAGAATTATACAATTGTTTAAAAACATTGCAATAAAATTCAAACAATCATGCAAAAAAATTTGAAATAATAATGCTTCTAATAAATGACAAACTCCTCCATTGTACATGGTATGCCCCACCACGTTGAAATTCAAAAATTAACCATTACATCGCGTAGTATTTCAAACAAGACGCTGGTATTATGTTGTATATGAAAAAAGAGACATGGAGTTGCATTTCAAACATATAAAGCTAAACAACTCATACAATCGCTAAAGGGAAGGGGTGCCTTTCTCACCCACCTTTTTAGGCCGCGTATCGTCATAAGCCTTTCCAAAAATATTCACGGGCACCTTATTTTGCCGGGGGACAATTTGTCTTAGCGGGACGTTATTTATCTTTACACTAGCAAATGAGCACTTATTTGTAGTCAGACAGTAGTGGTAAATATCTTTATACCAAACTGTTTAATTTTTGTTAAGGAAAGCAATCAAAAATATATGCATTTACTCGGAATTTTGTTTATAAAATACAAATCTGCTAGTTCGATTTTTGGCTTTGAAAAAAGCAAACCTTTAGTAAACTAAAGCTTTTCGTCTGACACTCTTCAGAGTTTAAAACGTCAGAACATAGATCTATATTCTATGTTCTGACGTTTTAAACTCTGAAGAGTGTTAGACGAAAAGCTTTAGTTAACTAAATTTTTGCTTTTTTCAAAGCCATTTACAAGTTTTGTACCACCAAAAGATATTTCGATATTTCATGCCCTCAATTTCATTCAAGCTAGTCTTTGAGGAAACGTTTAACGTTTAAACATGTGAATGCCACAGCTTTCTAAAAGCAATAGTTTCTAAAAGTACACAGGTTGGTGCCTGATGAAGAAACTGTCATTGGGAAAAGTGGTGCCTGATAAAGAGGTAAAGAGTAGTGATAAAAAATTAGTAAGTTTCTATATGGATAAGCTATGAGGAAAAGCCATTGGGAAAAGTCGTGCCTGAGAAAGAGGCTCTCGCATAAATAGTGTATGTGGATGAAAAGGAGGCCCAGTGATAACTTTTTCACAATTTGGAACATAAAAGCAAGTATGGAGGCCCAGGTTGGAGCTGACATAAAGTTGAGATTTGGCAGCAGAAAGTTCTACGATATCAGAATACCTTCTTACCAAGAGCTTGCAAATTTAGGATCAGAACAAGATGAGTCAGCCGTTAAACTTTTCAAATATATTGATGAAAACTGTATTGGTAGAGATCGCATGTTCGACAGTCCGTATGGATCGCTTCCAGGTAAAACCTAGTTAGTAATTGTAACCCAGTTAATATTGCATCTACCTTTGATTTGGTTGGGTCCGCTTTCAAAGTTTTCAAAGATAATTAGGTGATGATCTGGGACCAATTTTTGGGGAAATTGTAATTTCTTATAATATAAGTTGTTCGCCGTTCCGGGTTGATGTCGTGGATTAATTGTATCTGATTTCTCAAAAATGGACTTCAGAATTGAAATCTTCACCTATGATTAGTTTATACTGAAAAATTCATTTTGTTTGGAACATTCGGTAGCGATTTACTTTGTTTTGAATATTCAGATATTTCTTTAGATTTGACCCGAATTTGCTGCTGTAGTGAAAAAATTTCACTATATATAGTTGGTGGGCAATAGCTAAATTGGGATAGAATAAATGTCCTCATTGTTTGTTTGAGTTGTTCTGTGCTTAAGTAGCATGAAATGCGGGAGAGGGCTTGCAATTTTTGACTAGCCTTTTTGCACAGTGTTTTTATGTGTGGCTTAATTTTACGTCTATTACAATTCTTTTAATTGAAAAATTCTTGCAATGTCCAACTAGTTGTAGCCAGAAAAGCAGTATTCATAACAATAGCAAACAGTGGCAGACACCTGGGGGGGGCGAGGGGGGCGACCGCCCCTCCAATACTTTAGAGGACAATGGTCTTTTGTTCCAAAACAACGGGAAATGTGACATCATCCTATTAAAACAACAATAGGCTTGCCCCCCCCCCAAATATTGGACCAAGTGTCTGCCCCTGATAGCAAAACTCAGGAATTGGTCTAAATATAAAAAACCTTAATTTCTCTCCTTGGTAATATAAATACATACTTTTCCAGTGATTTATTTATATATATAATCTTTTCCAGTGACATACTGTGACTACACAGCATCTGGGAGGTATGTTGATATTATATGTGAAGTTACAAATAATGGACTTGTCATTAACACAAGTCATAATTTATTCTAAAATCTATATACATATAACAAAATAAAAGGTCAAAGAATGAAAAATATGATAAGATGATTTGCTTCTGCTGTGATTGATTAAATTATGATAGTATTTTTATTTTGTTTAAAACAGGGCACTAAGGTTTCTTGAAGATTTTATTCAAGATGAGGTTCTTCCTCATTATGGAAATACCCACACAACAACAAGTGTTACCTCTTTGCAGACAACACTGTTTAGACATGAGGCCAGGTAATATGCTTTTGAACGGGAAATGTGACATCATCCTATTAAAACAACAATAGGCTTGCCCCCCCCCCAAATATTGGACCAAGTGTCTGCCCCTGATAGCAAAACTCAGGAATTGGTCTAAATATAAAAAACCTTAATTTCTCTCCTTGGTAATATAAATACATACTTTTCCAGTGATTTATTTATATATATAATCTTTTCCAGTGACATACTGTGACTACACAGCATCTGGGAGGTATGTTGATATTATATGTGAAGTTACAAATAATGGACTTGTCATTAACACAAGTCATAATTTATTCTAAAATCTATATACATATAACAAAATAAAAGGTCAAAGAATGAAAAATATGATAAGATGATTTGCTTCTGCTGTGATTGATTAAATTATGATAGTATTTTTATTTTGTTTAAAACAGGGCACTAAGGTTTCTTGAAGATTTTATTCAAGATGAGGTTCTTCCTCATTATGGAAATACCCACACAACAACAAGTGTTACCTCTTTGCAGACAACGCTGTTTAGACATGAGGCCAGGTAATATGCTTTTGAAAATAATTTTAAAGTTAAAAACCACAAGATATAAGACATATCAATTTATAATCAAGAACTGATTTTCTTGTAAGGGTGAAATCATTCATTTTTTTAAAAAAGGGTGAGTAAACTGACTAAAAAGCAAAAATATCTTCTCATTCTTGGCTTATAAAATGAGTTTGAAATTTGATCTTCTGATTGAGGAGGGTGTCGCTAGCATAATCCAACAGGGTAGCTTTAGTCCGCAATGGTGCCGCCCTTGCTTGTCTTTTAATCGCAAAGGGTAGTGTGTACCATACAAAGGTTTTCCCATTCTTTTTTCATTTTCAAATTCCACTACATCCAAATGTAATAAAGAACAAAAAAATTAATCAAGCTACAATTTTTTAGCAACATTTTGTAAGATTGGTTTTAGTTTTCTCACTACTATTTTGATATTTTTCATAAAGATTTCTGAAAGCAGTAGAATAAAGATTATTATCTATTATAGCTGTGGCATTCTTATAGAGGTTGCTTGTGCATTCTTAGTGAGCCTGCTTTTTAGATAAATTTTCAATACTCTTCTTGTTATTCATCACAGAAAGAAATGTGCTTTTTAAGTGATGGTTTAAGAGCACTTTGGAGTTATTCTGTAGTCATTGGGAGAGGAGTAAAGTCTAGGAAGTCTTTGAAAAAAGAATTTGCAAAGTTAAAAAAAGCAACTTAAAATTTAGGCATGCATGCTGTCATTGAAGAGATAAATGAAGGAATTTATCAAAGAGTCATTGCTAGAAATGAGAGGAGAGTGAATCAAAATGTGGCAGCCATAATTATTGTATGGCTAATAAGTCATCAAGTTATTTATTGAATATCTAAATTAGTGATATGTATTGAAAGATGCTCATGAAACATGAAACTCTGAACCATTTTATTTGTAATGAGATTCATCATTTATTCATTATTTATTTGCTGTTTTGGCTAAAGCAATGCAACATGGGCATGTATTTTGCACAGCCTAAGCAGCTGCCAGCTCGACACTTTGTGAATTTTTTATCAAGTACCATGAATAGTAACGCATGCAGTGCCCTGGAGCACGTATTTGATTACTTTATTGACATCCCATTTCTACAGAAAGGCATTATCGATAGACGGATGATCGCATGAAGCGTGAAACTCTTAATTGCAACTTAGGGCTGTCCTGCTCAGCACACCAAAGCGTGTACAGCCATCGAACTCTTTAACAGAGTTATAAACAGTAACTTTCATTGACAGACGTCGTATTAATTGTCTTATAAAGTGTCCAGTCATGGAAATTTACGTTTCAAGCCTCATTACTTTTAAGTTCCTGCTTTAACACTACATTATTGGGGTAGGGCGTATTGTTGCGAAATTTTTCACTTTGAGATAAAGAGGAGCAGAATTCACGTTTGCGTAGATGTTACTATGGTATGGATATCCCCTAGTCCGTGAATAGGCTAGCTTTTCATGCACTCTGCACTATATATCGGCGCTCGATTGCAACTGAAATAGGTAGCTTATTTGCTTCACCTCACTTGTAAACCCATTCATGTGCAACTTCTTCTAGGGAGCAACCATAAGATGCATACATCTGTTTTACTCGATTTAAAAAGGGTCTATCACCGAAAAAGGTTTCTTCAGATGTACTTAGGTTTTGTCTTGAACTTTCCCTTTTCCCTGAATGCTTTCCTGAAACCAAGCTGTCCCTCTGTTTGAAAGAAATTGCGATATGAATTACCTTATACGAATGAATGAAACTTTATATAAAGATTCATGAATATGCCCATCCCCCCTCCCCCACCCATCTTTATATGTGTTTGAACAGGGATGATTGCTCTTTATCCCCCCGTTTAGTTCTTATTGCGAGCTCCATCTCTACAATACTGCTACAACTACAAATGATTTTCGTCTCTGTTGTCAGATCCTTTTCATTGCATGAGGGGGGATGGGGATGGGGCAAAGGCAAATCAAAGACGCATAACAAAAGTTTTTGCAAAAAGGTCTTTTGTTCTGCCATTGCCAGGTAGACCTCAAGCCCGTGGCCAGGCCTGTAGGGAAGGGGTGGCAAACGCAAACTACCTAAATCTGTTGCAGGCAGACGTTTCGGCAATTTTTCTTTTCAATTTTATGCTTAGCAGCAAAATATTTTTGATTGCCAGGCACCATCTTAAAGGCAATCTGTCACGACGTTGTTTGATTATAAGAGCGAAGGGATTTTTTATTGTTTCTAGTCCCCCTTTAATTTATCGCATTGTAAAAATATGGCAGAGTGCTGGAATTGTGTTTAGGCTATTGTTCCAGCTATTGTTCTCGTTAACCAATCCACAACGAGACAGATTGTCTTTAAGTCCTAAATGGATAATAACAGACCCCAATAAACAATTTTCCTTCCGTCAGTATTAGCTTAACTCAAATTATCATGACAATCCAATGATAACTACGAAAAACGCTATTAAAAAATTTAGAGACAATATGAGGCAAACAGCTAATATTCTCTTGATCCAGGGTGGCATTGTCACCCCATGCCACCCCTTGGCTACGGGCTCAATGAACCTACGCCTCCCTTGCGATCGAAGACCTGTGACTCGGCTGATAATTTGCTTTCGTTGAATTTGTATAATTATTCGTGCTGCCTACAAATTATTACGACCAATCATCAAGAAATTTCTTCCAAGTTGCTTTCTAAGAATATTCAAAACGATGTTACTTGCTTGGAATCAATTATAAGCATTTATATTTGCATTTATATTATAAGAATTTCATTTCAATTCAGGTTGTTTTTGTGAGTCCGTATGAGCATCATTCAAACTTGCTGTCATGGAAAGAAATTGGTGGCGAGGTAAGAAAGTTTTTTCTAAATCGTCAAAACCAAAGTTGCTTTTACACAAGCATTGACTGTAACATGACTACCCACACTTGAAATATTACGCCACATCATTTTGTTACTAGCGGTGTGGCTGTATTATCGTACTTGGGTGTTGGTCCCAGACCCCTTTAGCACTGTTTTCAATGTGGTACGGCTCTATACCGTAATGTATGGACTTTGCGCTTACACAGAGACGGTATGTAATGCGGTATGAAAGTATTGTTTTAGATAACCGAGTCCAGTACGGGTTGTTTTGGACATTCGCCCCTGATCAAAATGTGTCTTGTCGAATATTGTGATTGGCTTAGCAATATTATTGTTTTGCTGTCACAAATCAGAGCTGATGAATGTTTTTTTAGTCTGACATTTGAAAACAAAGTTTAATTAGTTTTATAAAACTTGCAGGTTGTTTGGACCAACGAGAATGATGACGGTTGCGTGGACCTGGAACACTTAGAAGAGAACCTAAAGGTAGTTTTTCACTGTTGCTCTCCACACTGCAGGGTTGGTCGTGAAAAACTGCTCATATAAAAGTTGTCACTGCATAAACCTGTAGGTACATTGCGACCAAAAAAGGAAGGGAAATTTCAATCTCAAACTTGAGTTTTCTTTTACAGAACTACCAGAGCTGCGACAGACCTCTGATCGGATGCTTTTCAGCTGCATCAAATGTTACAGGAATTTTAACAGACGTTGATGCTGTAGCAGCTTGTTTGCATCGACATGGAGCTTTGGCATTCTTTGATTATGCAACTGCAGGTATTAACTTCATCGTTGACACTTACGCGAATAGTCCGAAAATAGTCCCTCCCCCGAATATAAGCTTCCTATTCCTCATACGTAAACTCATTCCCGAATATAGGCCCTCCTGGATATTAGCCCTGGGCTTATATATGGAATCCAGCATAAGAAAGAAACACTATTTTATCCCTTCAACATGAATAAACGCCATTACCGATATGAAGTACAGAAGCAACTAGTTCCATTCTTCGATTTTATATAGTGCATTTCTTACATTTAATGCTGGTTTCCTAAATTATTTATGTGCAGGCTATCTCACTGCTTTTTCCCTTGAGTTACTGTGCCTTCTGGGGCCTTTCTAGCTTCACCAGCTTTTCTGCCCGTGATTTTCTAAAACATATTCATCCATTTTCCACAATGGTTGTACATAGCTTGATTATAAGTTTCTGGGAAACATGACCGATCTTTTCATTTAGACTTGAAAAACTAATTTTGCATCTACTTCTGACATTAACTAAATTCCGATTAAAATCCCCCCTCCCCCCCCGAACATAATCCCCAAGTATTAGCCCCGCAAAAACGGTCTTTAAACGGTTATAAGCTCTCGGTCTATACTCGAAATATTACGGTATTCAAAAGTCGGACATTTAATGGCAAAGGGGGAAAATAAGCATTTTTTGCATTTTTTACAATTCAGTAGTACCTGTCTTTACTACTGGAAGACCTGTCTTTACTACTGGAAGACCTGAGCCATTAATCTCCCTTGTCCCTTTTTTTCAACCTGTGTATCCATACAACTGTGCCTGTCATTTGCGATCAGTACAGTGCACATATTTATTCATGTTCACATTTTTTCTATCTTTCTAGCGCCGTATGTTGAAATAAATATGAATCCATTGTCACTCAGGTAATCATTAATTTCCTTTTTTGTCAAATCAACCGTCAAGTTGTTTGATTTGAAATGTAACTCTAGGCTCACCAGAAGGCAGCTGTGTTGATGCAGCGCTGGTATCTCAAAATTAAGATTTTTTAATAGTTTGTGGTTATTCATTGCAAGATCGGGAATTTTAAAAATGCATGTTTTTTCAGTACACACATATTCTTGTGCTTTAAATCTGAAACTATCGTTCTGCTGTCACCCTAATTCCGACAAAATGTTTGACAAAAGTTATCTTCTCCTTAACATATTTTTGTTATGAAGAGTGCCCAACGGTGTGTTGCTCGATGTCACGTAGAAGGTACTGCCCACATTTTGTTGTGGATAGCAGCGTAGCAGACAAATCTAACTGGTTGTTAGCAACATCCTCTTCTTGGGAATCCTCTAGGAAATCCATCAATCATATTGCTGAATTTTACACCTGGTTCTTTAAACGAGAGTTGGTTAAATTGCCCAAAATTAACCTTCGAAACTTGATTCTTTGTATTTTGGCAAGATTAATTTAACATCTTAATTAGAATCTATATGTCTTTCGAGTTCTGATTATATTTCATGCATTTATTGTGATAATCCATTTTTTCTTTTCACTACTGGCGACATGTTTAGAATCGGCAGTATCCAATTGTTATAAAGATTGAATATTTTTCACTTTATTCTGTACGATGGCTGATTTAATTGCCCGCTAACTTCTTTTTAGCTCAACAGAAGACTTGATCCACAAAGATGCTGTATTTGTCTCACCACATAAGTTTGTTGGTGGCCCAGGAACCCCTGGTGAGCATTAAAGTTTTGCCTGATTTTTCGGACATCATATCACACCTGTACTTGAACTGTAATTACTGATAAAGCTGATTCGTGTGTGGTCTATTATAGCTAAGAATATAATTGAAAAACTTAGAGAAAACTCAAAGACAATACACGACTGTTTTAGGCCATAGCTAAGCTCCAGTAATTTATCAAAAGTCCCGTATGAAAACATCATAACGAGGCGATACAACAACAATAACTATAACATGATTAAAATTGAGTTTCAGTCTTTTAATTTCATTAGCATAAATTTTATTATTTGGATTCAATTTCTATGGCCAAAATAACATTTTTGTATATCAATCTGGTGATACAAATGCTGCTTCTTTTTGACGAGCAAATTTTGTTTTCTATTAATTATATTTCGTCATTAAGTTTTCAAGTTATACGGCATATTTAGGAAGCTTACGCTTCTCTGGTAACTAAATTCTTCCTCAATTTATTGTAAATTATCTTTTTCAGGGCTTCTTATTGCAAAAAAGAATTTATTCAGGAATCCTGTACCTTCCCAATCTGGTGGCGGCACCGTATTTTATGTAAGTTCTAATTAAAATCATTTCGCCAGATCACTTTGACATGATAAACAAACATGTTTGAATTAAGATATTTGTGTTTTTTACAAATAACATTCAGATGTGATGCCTATTGAAATCTATGAATTTCTATAACGCACCTTGTTTGCTGTTATACGACTATTTTGTCAAATATTCGTCGTGCAGGTAACACATCACACTCAGAGGTACCTGAAGGAAATCGAAATGAGGGAAGAAGGAGGGACACCCGCCATTGTGGAATCCATACGTGCTGGATTGGTTTTCCAACTAAAGCAGGTAGATAACTAGTTATGTTTTCAATAATTTCACAATGGGCACACTTGGTTCTGTTAAACGAAGAATTTAGTAACTTTACCACTGTGTGTAGCCTTTTGTGGTTCATACGTCTTGTTAGGATATTGAGAGAATTGTATTTTGTTTGTATGAAACCTGTATCTGGAAAAAGCCCAAGGTCCTGATGACTACAAGTATACAGCAACTTTTTCAGTCAAGTGCCCTTCTTTCATGATCCTCTTATTTATTACACAGGCTCTGAGTCATAAAAACATAATGGAGAGAGAAGAAGAATTAGTAATGTATGTCATTTATTAATCAACACAGCGTTTTAAACGAATTTTACGTCACTTCGATCTTGTGTTTCCCTTTAATATGTACTTTACTTTTTTTATTGAGAAACCTCAACAGGTATCAAGAAATAAGCTCTCTAACTTTCGGTTCTTCCATCAAAGCTATTAATTCATTTGAGAGGGTTCGAAGATAGATTTTTTGTTGGATAGAATGCTTTAGTCTTTTTTCATAGAGCCGTATCTGCTCAAATGCTAAAAAATGGAGATATGCGTTAGTGAAGTAAGTTCAAAGATTAATGTCATTTGCACAATTCAGCTTAGAAACTATGTATATGATAACTCATCATATTGTATCATAAAGGAGGCAAATAATGGTGCAGAGAGTTTTTGAGTTCCATCGTTTTGCCTTCGGCGCAATGCCATTAAAGTTGTTTATTTACTTTATATTCTTTCTAATTGGTTTATAATCAGTTTTTGTGCTCTAAGTAATTTTTTTGAAAAATAGGCGCCTTTGTATTATTTAGGCTTCCACATTTGATTTACTGTAACAATTTGATTGAAGCTGTTTTTTCAACAGGCGGGCTCAAGCGTTTTGGAGAACAGTGCCAAATTTAATTATCTTGGGTGACGGTCCTGCAAAAAGGTTGCCAATATTCTCATTTGTCATACTTCACAAAGATTCTGGAAGACTTCTTCACCATAATTTTGTTTGCACTGTTTTGAATGACGTCTTCGGTATCCAGGCTCGAGGAGGGTGTGCTTGTGCTGGACCCTATGCTGAGGTAAATGAGCAGAACTTACTTTCACTTTCTGTATTGATTTCATAGTTAGCATGTACCATCAACTCATTTCCAGTAGATCTATGATTCAATGCTAAGGCTGAACAAAATGGCGTAAAGTTTATTTAGGCCAAGACCTTTTTATGTTCTGAAATTGCCCTGGACGTAAGGAGTAGTGTTAAACTGCTGACTATATAATCCAAGATTGTGATGATTTGTTAAAATATTTTTTAAGTTTGAATTGTGAATTAACTTATAAGAACAAGACCCAATTCGCGAGAGATGCCTTTTGCTATTGATAAATCCCCTTTCGATCTTCTTTTGGGCCTAGGTTTACCGCCGTTTTTTTATTTGTTTTGGTTTGATTTTGCCTGAATAATCGATCAACTTGCTAACTATTTGATACCAGGACTTGCTTGGAATGGACGAGAATGTTGCATTAAAGCTGGAAGATCTTATTCTGGAAGACCAGTACGTCTCTTTTCGGTTTATATTATGTATTTGTTCTGCTTAGGATAATTCGCTGAAATTTATCACTTTTTTATAAACAGTCGACAAATTTCATTTGGATTGATAATGTTTAGATATCTCAAGGTTTTTTCAAAAGTATTTTATTTATTTACCCAATCAGCAGTAACTTGATTGTGAGGTTTCTTTTTTTCTCGTTATTTTGTGTTTCCCCTTCTAGACAAAGGTCTTGCCTCTGTATTGTATGTAGGATAAGGGTAACTGTCCTTTGTAGGAAGTTGTCCGTTGTAGGGAGGTGTCCTTTATAGGGAAATTTTCTGCTATTAGAAAATGTTTGTGAAGGGAGGATTCATTGTTTTGAATGCATATCTATTTTAGATATGCCATTGTTAGAGATACGATTATTCATTGGATGGATTTCTCTATTCAACAATATCTCTTCAACAATAAAAATTGATATAGTTTTACTTTGACTTGTCAACACCATTAGATTTTTGAGTAACTATAACTTAACAGTTCTTTTTTATTAAAGGCGGTTGGACAGACATCATCTTCGTAGATACAGGGAATATTCCGAACGAGAATTATTGAGGTGAGCATGCTCATTATGTGGAGCATTCATTCGTAGCAAAAATCTATTAACAGTGCTCAGGGGTAGGCACCTTGCTTGATTGGAACCCACAGAGTTGAAAATACTGGCAACCACAAGTAATTTGTAGTTTCAGTAGACACTAAGTTACTGTAGACATACTTGAAACTGCGAGAAACTAAGTTAGTTGCTACAGCCAAGGGTGATATGTGTTTTTGCATTCCCAGATTAAAACATCCTTCTTGGTTGTCTCCTGATACATCTCTCAGGCTATTACCGTGTTTGCTTTTTACTTCCCTTGCAAACAGATAAACCAACAATGTAAGTGCTAGACCTCGAGTCTTTTCAAAAATTTCTTCTGGTGGGGATATAATGCTTAAGGGCATTATTCCTACTTATATGTAACCAAGGACCAGAGGAGAATATTGCATCAAACATAGAGTGATTGGCAGCAAAAGGCATAACAAAAAGCGAATCAGGTGAAAGATTCCCAGGGCAAAACAAACGAGCATACAACACAAACAAGGATAATTCACATTAATCATCAAAATAATTTCATTGAGCATTGCTTAATTTTGAAACATCTTCAGGGACAAAATTTTTTATTGCAACTTTGCTTGGAATAAAAAATGTGCAAGAAGGTTTGAAAAAACCCATCATTAGAATATTAACGCTAAGATACTTCATCCATACACTTCATCTTATCTAATAGTGATCCACTTCTTTTTTATTTTCTTATGATTTTTTTCAAATTTCAGCATTTTGTAAGTTGCTCACTTTCTTCGTATTTAGGTTAATATATCTCAATCTTGTTTCATGTTAACCAGGCATCCTTTAAAGCTGCAAACTCTAAAGCCTTTACTTATGAAAGTTTATCTTTAAAATATCAAGGTTTATGCATGGAAATTTCTTTTAAGGCCTGGCTTTGCACGGCTGAATCTGCCGTTCTTTATGTCAAATGAGGGAATCGAATTTATTCTAAAGGCCGTTTCCATGGTCGCTGAGCATGGGTGGAAGCTACTTCCAGATGTAAGATTCTCTCTTCTTTGCTTCCAAAAATCTTGACCAATTCTTGTTCTATTTTTATGCCAATTAACACACACTTGACACTTACGCTTTAAATTTTACTTTTAAATATTACCGCGCATCTGTCTAGATGACACTGTACATTAGATGGTTTTTAGCTTTAATTCATAAGAACAAATTTCATCCGGCGAAGAAAATTCAATTGATGATCAGGTTTTGTCATAAACTGTCCTGTGCATGGACAGTAAAATCATTTTCATCCCGCTAAGCATATTCATGTTGGAAAATTTTCTCACTTCACTAGTTGATATCCTGGTAAATGGGCTACGTTGCCTTACATATAACAGAAAACAAATTTATATATGTGACAAAGGAAAGAGGCGATATTTTGGCTAAGTTTTAATTCCGGTAGGCAGGATGGAATTTTCCGGTATGAAGAGGCTCTAATGCTCAGGTTTTGTTCTAGTACAACATGAACCCCTCAACTGGTGAATGGAGACATTGGAAGAACATGGTACGTATTTCATCAGACTTTGTTGCCTTATGTGTATCTAAGATAATTTTGATGTTTAGCAAAAAGGCCTCCAAATATTTTTCGAAACCAATGATTTTGATGGCTTGTTCTTAATTACTGTCCGTATCAAAGCTATTATCTAGAAAATTTCGATATTATTTTATCGTTGAAGCCATTCGGTATGGATCCTATGTTGAAGCCATTCGGTATTACAAGGTCAACTAAAAGTGGAAACCGCTATTTTTATATAGGGCCGTAGAGGAATGTTTTTTCACCCTCTCAGGAGGCACCTACCCTGGGACTCGCTAAATAGGCCCGTTATTTGTGCTGATATATTTTAAAAAATAAAACAAATTAAAGTAGTTTCCTTTGCACCAGTTTGGTAATGATAAAAAGACTAAACTGTCTTCACACGTTAAACCTTTGTGAAAACATGTAGGGGACTGGCTTCACCTGTTTGGTTGCAGTTAAATGCAAAGTTTTCATGATGTTTAGGTTAGACATTTCAATTGTGGCTCGTTATCCAAAGTCGAACCCTTAATCCATTGAGTTTTCACACAAGCAAACCTTCGTTTATTCCAGTATCAAGTAGACTTTCTCTCAAATTGACATCTATTTTTAGGCCTTCAAGGACCGAAAGTGGCTCAGTGGTATCAACTATAGAAAAGGTCAAGTTGATTATCCTTTAAGCCCGAAAAGAAAGGAATGTACACCATCTTATCAGGTTAGACCATAATCTTAAAACTTATTGGATCAATTATTAACATCGATGTTTATTGCTCAGTTTTTTCACTCCTTTGCTAAAAATACCGGATTCAGACATTCCTAATGACGTATAGTGGTCTTATGGATACATCACTTCTTATATTTATTTGAAAAATTTCGCCTATTAAAGTTTTGTTCACTTTATTGATAGCTGCATTCATTGCATTTTAGTATCAATTGTCATATTTCGACTTTCGACATTCTGATTCAAATGATTAGAATTATCACGAAGCCTGATTTGTTTTTAGACAAGACTTAACAATGCCGAGAGGATTTTCGAAGCTGCACAATCAAAAAAGGTATGTTTGCAATAAAATATTGAACAAGGGAACAAGGTAATGTAATGGAGTACTGGATAGATACATGAAAAGACAATGAAAATAGATTGATTAATCAGAAGCTATTTCATAAAATAATTAAGAAGGTATGTGATAAAATGATGATAATTGTCAGGAAATACTTGAGCAAAATCTTACATTCCAACGAAATCGATATTTGAGAATTAGCGGCTATTAAAACGTACTTGGATAAACTCAACCTCGATCTAGGTCTCCGATTATTTTTGCATTTTTTTAAGTTACAGTTTCAATGTGAGCATGCTCATTGTGTCCTTCTGCTCGTATTCCCCTGCTCATTTTGTTATCCTTGACCTTGAGGTGATACCTTTAGCACAGGTCCTGATTTCTTCAGGTAAATATTTTTGGTATAATAGTCGAGAATGATGCTGATGCAATGGTTTTCATAGTCTCGTTTCTGTTGTAAAACAATTCTCAAACAAAATTCAGTGTAGTCTATAACTTCAAAAGTCAGTAGAGTGAGTAATACAGTGCACTAGAGATAGGGGGGTAGGCAACATCACCAAAATGGGAAGGGGGCAAGGAAGAGATTTCTCCTGCCAAGTTAACGAACTTTGTACGAGGTTCCAGATTTTTAAAAAAGGCAAAAACAAACAGTAATTTTCAACTATTAGGAATATATCAGTAATGGCAAATTTTGCTCTGAAAGGCTAAACTTGTAGACTCTGAAGACATATATATCTTAGACTGTGATTATGAAATGCAATATAAATAAGACGCAAATACCAGATGACTTCAAATGGTTCTTGCAAATTATTGGAACTGGTTGCATCTTTCTCTGTTATTTAGCTATAAATCGCCAGACACTTGGCTCAATGTTGCGATTTCTTGTATAAGCAATGAACAAGTGAAAACGTCCGTTAAACTCAATTCTGTAACAAGTTATATTTCAATTGTCAGATTTCGAATATTTAAAATCTTTCCAAACCCTCTTGCCCTTCTAAAAGCTTAAGACAATAACAAATCTCTCATTTTATTTTCTGTCTGTTGATATTACACTACGCAAATATAAACAAAAAATATATAAAATTCAAGAGGGTGCATCGAAAAGAACCTATTAAATGTTTCGAGGTTGCAGATCGGCTTATTTCATCAAAAATATATACATGTATTCTACACAAATAGGCGAGACAGAAATTAATTTCAATCCCAAAAAGGTTTAGAGCAAGTTAAAAAAATTATAGGTGTCTTGTGGTATGGAAACTGTCGAGCATTTTGGAAACAAAATATGCCGTTCGCAAACACCAGGCCTAAAAACTTCTTACTCCGAGCGAATGAAGCCGAATGAATTTGATAATCGCAATTATAAATAGGCAACTCAGGTTTTGTTGTTTGTCATTTTTTTTGTAACTTGGTCTTTTTGTCGCCAGCTTTGAGTGAATAAATTATGGTTTTTTAGCGCCGTGTAGCGCCATCTTTTCAATTTAATCCATTGCCTGTTACTCCTCTTTTAGGTTAACAGAAAACTAGGTGATCAGAGCCTATTTTTGGGAGAAGATGGCGAAGAGTACAGATGGTTCCTTTTGCCAAGTGAAGCTTCTTTATACCTGGCGGGCAAAGAACCCACAACTAAACAATTCCAGATGCCTTTCTTTCCACGTGCGAGCGTCAAAGAGAGTAAAATGAAGTCAAAACGACCCTCCCGATCAGCGTACAATCCTCATGTCTGTGCCACCTGTGGAGGAGCGAGGTCGTTGACTAATGATTTGCAAGATGCAAACATTGCCAAGGACGTTGCTGCTGATGGAAGATTTTCATTCGAGAAAAAGAAGGAGGGTTAGTATAATGAGCATATCACGTTTTGTATGATCAGAAGTAAAAAGCTTTACCGATGCAAATACCATTCTGTCAGTTATCATTTTGTATTTTCATAAAAAAAATTTTTCGTCGTTTCTGTCTGTGAATTTACAATGTTAATCAACACATTAATGAAATTAGCTAAAAACGCGTCTCTATTTTCTTTGTCTAAGGATTGTTTCAAAATTTCTGTACCCGTTTGTTGGTACAGGTCGATAAGCACGAGATTTTTTCAGGCCATTCAACCGATTATGACATTGCTATCAAATCTATTTACGTTGTCTCTAAAGGATATTTATAGCAGTGTGTAATGATTTTGTATTGCTTTTTTGCATTTATGTTCTCGATTTGAAACATGTTTCAAGAGATACAATTCTTGACCAAAGCTTTCTTATTTTTGCACTCTATGCCCTCTTCAGATCTTGTTGATTCGGAGGAGTTTCACGGCCACAGTGCTCTGTAAGGTGGTTCTGTTGGGTAGTAAACTGTCTCGCGAATAATTTCCAGAAGGGATTCATCGTCTTATTATCATTTCAGTTTTGGATGTTAAAAGATATAGATTTACAAAAACAGCGATTTAGTCACTGGATGTTCTAGAAGCGTTGAATCTGGTGTCGCTTAAGGGTAACAGTTAAATTATCTTCTCTCTTGTTTTAAGCTCTTGTTGCCAAATTTTAATGTAAGATTCGATCCTATGCTCTTTTAAATCATAGAATCACAAACTGGAACTCTAGGAGACAGTGGTATTTGTTCTGATGAAGCAATAGCAGCAAATTTGTCGGATGATTTAAAAAATGACACCAGGGTAAAGACAGTCCCGGCTGGGGATATTGCTGATGGCTGTGAAAGCAGAGATTTTGAGAAAAGCATCAAGAAAACGTCAAGCCCAACCAGCAACAGCAGTGATTCACCAAAATTGCATTTCAAGCTAGACCACAGCATAGTGAATGCTGTCGGAGACACCAATGAAGAAGCGCCAATCAAATACAAAGTAACCCCTGATGAAGCGTCTACTCAGAAGCCCATATGCAGCCAGAGTGGAAGAGACGGGCTAGTGGAAACAACAGGTGTAGAGAAGAAATTAAATGGAAAGCATATACGATTCCAACATCCGCCAAAATCAATATTCACTCCAGTTATTCAGGTGTTATATCACTTAGGTTTACAGATATAATCAAATATTGCTTTCTCGCCGTCTTTTAATGGTAGTCTTGTGTACTATGATAACATATCCACCCGTTTAGTCAAGGCTAGGATAATACTTTTTCATTGTAGGCAATCGAAGAGTTTTCAATGATAAATGACGGAGACAGAGTTCTTTTATGTCTCTCTGGTGGTAAAGATTCTCTTTCGATGTTGCATGCAATTCGACAATATCAGTTTTACGCCAGGCCAAAGGTATTTTGCTTTTATATAACTTCTGTCATGTAAAGATGCTTGCAATACTCTATCGATTTCGAAGTTTCGCCATGAATTGAGATCTAAGAACGGTCGGAACGGATTTCATATTTTTGGGCAGGGTGGGAGAAGCCTCTGTTGGTTTCTTTTCAGTGTTGGTTTTAAAGGAAAATAACGTTTTACAGATTATCAGGGGTTATCACCTCACCCCTGCTTCTGAAGAACCTGGGCCTAGTTTGCCTTTTTTGTAAAAATTTATTCGTCAACCATGCATCTCTTCATGCAGTAATGGCAATCTTTACGTTAAGTAAGTTCTTACGTTGCGTTGCGTTGCGTTGCGTTGCGTTATGTATGACCAAAAAATAGCAATTGTTTTTTTCTCCGATTTTTAAAGCAGATCATTTTGTGTTCAAATTATATATCACAAAACATCCCGTCAAAGCAGTGGTACAAATCAAAGTTGATCAAAGATGGTCGAAGATTCAAAAGTTGCTAATCAAAACAGGAACAGAAGGATCGTTTTGTCGTTTGACGTCGGCAACAGATTAGGAATTTTGTCATAAATTTTTGCATGGGCAAACTTAGGGATTAGGATTATCGTCGCTTTTGCTACTCTTCTGATGCATTGATAAACAATATTAGGCATACCTTAATATTAATATATTTTCCAGCCCCTCTTGGTTAGTTTTGATATGTTTCTTGTTTTTATATATCTTTAAAATGTTTCTTTTTTAGGGAATCAGTTTTGAATTTGGAGCAATGACAGTTGATCCAAAAAGCAGTTCATACGACCCGAGTCCACTCAAAGAATACTTAGCCAATCTTCAAGTTCCATATTTTTATGAAGAGCAAGGTATCCTGTGAATTCGAGTCTAAATTTTGGCTTCATTCACGCTCTATCTGGAAGTGATCGGCTCGAAACCCTTCAGAGTCAAACGTAGCGAGTAGCTCGTAGTTGCGGCAATAAATACCCCAATAATTATGTTCATATCACGCCAAAACCGTTGCATGAAAGATCTCGTAATGTGAACAGAAACAACAGTGAACAATATTTTTGCTGTACAGAATTTGAAAAAGCAAACATTTTACGACATACTAAAAGGTTTTTACGTCTGACACTCCTCAGAGCTTTATATATTTTCCATCGTGTTCTTTCGGAACCTTATTCTGACGTTTTATGCTCTGAGGAGTGTCAGACGAAAAAGCTTTCAAAGCCAGAAACAACGGTATGAAATTCAAGCAGGAGCAGAGACAGCAAAAGGTGTAGTTTGAGCGACTCCATGCACTTGAGTATTTTTAGGCTATTTCAAGCTGAATGGGTAATTTATTAGAGTCATTACCTCGACAGCAGTTGTGTACAGCTCTGCAGTGTGTTGAATTAACAACTTTGTAATACTGTAAGCAAATACTTGCAGCTGGGGGGGGGGGGGGGGGGCGTGTAAACTTGTATTTTGAAAATGTTCAATATTCTTGTCATAATCAGAGGACATGTTCTACCGTGCGATATCTTTTAAACACGGGCTGTTAGTTTATTTTCTCAAGAGACAGCTAATTGGCCAATCAAAAGTCTGACTGCGCGTTAGCATCAACATGTTTTTCAGCTAATGGCGTATAAAATGCCTGTTGCATGGTGATAGTTTTAAGCGTTAAACTCGGAGTAGCAGCTTAGGACCGTCCTGCTCTCTTCACCAAAAGCTCTTCCTAAACCTTGTCGAGCACTTTATGACAGACCTGTAAACAACAATTTTCATTAAAACTCATTTAGTGCGTCTAAATGAGAGCCTTTTATCGTCCTCCCATGGATCACGAAAGGTTTCAGTATATGCAAGGGTAATCATTGTTAAGTATGAGGAAGGAATGTCTTGGCACTGGTTGGTGTGCCGCGGAGCACGATGGGTCCAGCTCTACAACTACCATACACTATTCCATTTTATTAGCCTATTTCATATTTCATTATAGCTGTATTGAAATTATCAAAAATAAAATTTGACTGCTTTTTCAGACATAATTTCCCAAGCGGCGAACCTCGCAGTTTGTGAATCGATATGCGCATTCTGTTCACGAATGAAAAGAGGTCGGATGTATGCTTGCGCCAGACGTGAGGGTTACAATGTTTTGGCGATCGGACAACACCTGGATGACATCGCCGAGAGGTTTGTTAACTGTCTATATATGTTGCTATATATTAAAAATATTTTAATCTTTACTTCTCATTTGTGCCAGAATGTTTTACGCTTTTGACCTATTGATATGTTCTCCATCTACAGCTTCTTGATGTCAGCGTTTCATAATGGGCTGCTAAGAACAATGAAAGCTAGCTACACTGTCGCGTATGTTTTTTCCTTTCTTATTCCATTTTTTCTGTAGTACCTTACGTTCCTTCAAAGAAAATGATATGCTGGGCAGTTTCAATCTCTGTTACTTGTGTCGAACCGAATCTTTCCTCTATACATAATTTGAAAGGATCTAATCTGTGTAGGGGTTTTCGCTAACAAGTAGCAAGAAGCTTATAGGCTGGAAAATTTGTTTATAAACTATATAAATATTGAAGTGCAGCATGCCGGAAAACTTCAATACTGATAGTTGTGAGACTGCGAGCTTTGTAAGATAAGTTGATCTCAAGGCCAATTTTTTTATTTATTTGCACGCCCTGTATGCATAGATCTGTTTTTATAGTTGAAGAAGTAGCAATTTGACAGCTAGAGATCTATACTTAGTCTAGAATGGAATGAAAAATGGCATGCAAAAATGAAAATGATGGGCTTTGCCAATCGACTCTATGTCATTTACAAATAGATTTTGGTACTTTTGCCTCACAGTTTATTGAAAATGAGTCATGTCCATGTAAATTCATTGTAGGGATGGCGATCTGAAAGTCATTCGTCCACTCCTATATGTACGCGAGAGAGATTTAAGGCAATTTGCCGAACAGGTAAAGTATGTCTTCACTGGTCAGAAATGAAGTCCGTATCGCTACGATCCAATTACGCATTAAACGTACGCATAATTTAGACTTGGCTCCTCTCTCAAAGTTTTAAGCCGCCTGATCTTATGACGGAAGTGGTTTTAGTAGATTTCCTTTTTATTTCATCGAATTTAATAAATGGTCTTATAACGATAGTTGTCTACACGGCATTTCTCTCTTACACCACACTTCATTAAGGGGCAAATAAGCCAATAGTAATTTTTGCTTTGACTTCTTTATCAGAATTGAATATATAATTTCTTCTTAAAGAGAGCTGGAACAACAGAAGTCATTTTACAGCCTAGAGAATTGAAGGTCGATATGTATTCTCTCCTGCGCGATGGATCGCTATTATTAGTTTAGCTTGAGATACCCCACTGCTCAGAATCATCAACAATTTTAGACTTTTAAAAGTTAATTGAGATGCCTGGGGTTGTGTTACCCTACCAAAACTAGAATAGGAATGAAAATATCAGCAACTTCCTAGAACGCCATCTTTTTGCTTGTGCTTTCAAATGAAAATCTCTCTGGATTTTGATCCAATAATCCACTGAAATAGATTAATTTTTTTCACTAGTTATAGCAGAATTTTTATTCTGTTTGCTCATTTGTTAGGCAAAGCTGCCTGTTATACCAGAAAATTGTCCGGCATGTTTTGAAGCACCAAAGGTATGTACCCTAAATCTACTTTGTTTTACACGAGCATTTCCTAAATCACGCAAGCATTTCCTAAATCGTTCCTACCTCAGTGATGGACTTGCCATCAACATGATTATGAAGTGAAAAAACTCTAAGTGGTTTTACAATGCATCTAGCAAGTTCTCTAGTTGTCTGGTGCCAGTTAAGCTCTGCTCTGTACCTTTGACAATTATTCGATAGTGATTTTTTATATACAGCAATATTATGGTCCTTTTCAGGAGAGACACCGAACCAAGCAGCTTCTCGCACAACAAGAAATCTTATTCCCTAATCTTTTCTCAAGCATCCAGACTGCATTGAAGCCTCTTTTCTCTAAGAGCAGGACAGGTTTGGAGTCAAATAAGAACAATTCCGATAATTTTGATGACTTTTTGGTATAGAGAAATTAATTAAACATTCATCTTGGGTTGTTTTACTGCACTGATGGAAAATGTTGACGGTGCCCTGTCTAGGTGATCGGCAATACAAAAAAGCAGAAGCATCTAGGTAATTAAGCATAATCAGCAAAATATTTGCTCGTTCTAGAAGGATTTTTTACGCAGGATGCAGTAAATGTAAGAAAAGAACAAGACATCTCTCTAAAAAAATAAATACCGTTTTTATGATAATGTACTTTTTTATAGCCTGGCTCTAATTTTATCAAAAGCAACTATCTCACAATTTTTAAACATTAATAGTATTTAAAATTGCAGAATCGAAACAGCAGAAGTTAACCTTGCGTTTGGAATGTTTTTTAAAGCAAACTGCCATGAATGCTTCGAATTTGCTCTTCTTTTTCATTTCTGAAAAAAATTTCCCCATTATGATGTTAAAGACTCTCTCTTAAAAGATCAAGTTACTTTGAATCAGAGCATGAACTATTAAAGGTCATATAAAAAGGAAATTAGGTAAATATTAGAAAATCGATAATGCTTATTCAGCTGCCAATTTTATCATATATTTATCTATACTAGGTAGTATTATAACAATTATTTATATAATCGCTCTGCATTTTAAAATCTAGCTTTGAAATATTAGGAGCATTTTCAACTTTATGTTGTTTCTAGCCGTTCGTATTTGAGCTATTTTAAGATAGCGTTTAATTTCTTGGTATTTTTACTCTTAATTTTTTATCAAAGATGTCTCTAACTTTTTTCACATATTTTTGGCTTAAAAGAATCTTTTTCTTTTGCTTTCAATTCAATTCAAAGTTTATTTAGATAAAAATTGTCATACAAATTACAATGCTTTAAGCCTTTATTTAATCAATATGATAATATCAAGTACAAAGTTAAACGCTTAAAAGCCATTTTAATCAAACCATGACAGGAAATTACCTGCATATCAGCTGAATTATTTCTTTGTTAAGCTATTGACGTTAGTTTTGGCATTTGGTAGGCTTCAAATTGTAGCATGTTGTACACATTTGCAGAAGTGCTTTTTCTTATGTATCAAATTTTTAATCTATAAAAGATATTCTCGTTTTGAATTGATTTTTGTTTTGTCAACTGGAACTAGTTTGACAAATTGAAAGACTTCGTTTCGTGAACTTTATCTTGATTTTTTGCATTGATGACCAATTTCAGTTATATTTTGTTGGCATATTTTGGGGTTAGCCAACGGTTTATGCGCTATTTTAAAAAACTTCCCTTTGCTAATGCTAGTAAACATGGTGTTGATTAACCGAAAGACAGAGACAATAATCTCATAAATAGGGGTCTCTGTCAAAATAACAGCTATGATTCAGTAGATGTTCAATTTGTACCGTACGATCATTGATCTTTTGTTAGTGCAAACCATTTGCCTGAGGTTAAGTTCAACAAATTCTTTAACGACAGCTCTTATTTGAAATTTGCCTTGGTTTTGGGCTACCCAAGACAAGCTGATCAGTGGCACAGTTGAAAAGTTGCAGCTGGGGGCTATAGTGCGTTGCCTTTTATCATATCATATTTTTTGGACCTGAATTATGAAATGCTGATTGTTCAGTTCAATGCGGTAGACGCGAGTCCATCACAACCCAAATTAATACTGTATTCAAAGTTCAACATTTTCCTGATTTTTCTCTTTGTGCGACAGCAATTTTATTGTCACAAACCGGTTCTTTATAAAAGGACCATAAGTTCATTTTCCTGAATGTAAAAAATTATTGAAAGGAGGTGTCTAGATACCTGATTTAATTTTTGATACCTATGCATAGGAGAGCAGCGAAAAGTTTACTCTGTCCATCACAACACTATCACTTATATGGCATAAGATTTTATTTATCCCAAAAATTATGCTTGTGATGACCGAACGCTTTTTATGTATTTTGATCCGTTCGCGAATTAGAGACAGCTACCCACATTTTCGCTAAGTAACTACGCTTCACATCTCCATTCGTCAAAGGTTTTATAAGCTCTGCTCTTGATATTTTTAATTGACTGCGTAATCCAAATTATAATAATAATAATGAAAACGAATATTTATACAGGATAAACACTTCAACAATTACAACATCGCTGTTATCACTGTGTGTCCGGTAACGAGATCCAACTGTGACTACTTCTTTTGATATAAAATTTGAATTTGAATCTACAAAGTTGAAGTTGGAGTCGTACAAGGTTCCCATCTTGGTCCAGGACTTTTTACGATTAATGTTCATGACCTCCTAGAGCCTAATGTATTGGGCCATATTCATATACACGCTATGCATAAATATAACTATATGAATGGTGTCAAGAAATTAACTCTGCACTCAGCAAAACCGAAGTTAAGCTTATAAGTTTGGAGATTAGGCTACAGTATGCTCCACTGATATTGCCTCGTACATGTGCATTAATATTTAGAACGATGACGGATTGAAATGGAAGAAGCAAGTTATACTGTTTGCAAAGAGTACAGCGCATTTCTCAAAATTCTGAAATGCTCAAGAAACTTTCCTAGCTATGATTGGAGGAAATTTTACTACAAAAGTATTATCGCTGGAACACTGACTGTATTACTGCATTGGGAGAAACTATTGCCAACCTAAATCAGCTGGAAGAAGTACAATCAAAGCAGTAAGATTTATTCACATAATTGCGTATATTGTTAAAAAGCCTGAAGTTCTTGGTATTGCTAATGGGGAATCACTCCTATTAATTGGTAATCGTAGACTATCTGCTTTAATTTATGAGCCACCAAACGAAAAACTTCCTGGTAATTTTAAGAAAATTATTTAAATTTTCGTAATTTTTGCTACCTAACTTCCAAAGGGAAGTTTTAGGACACTAAGTAAGTCAAAGAATTCCAAGTTAAGAAACATTGAAGGTAGAAATTTTAAATGCTCAATCAAAATTAAAAACCATAACATTTCAGAAAGGATTGTATTATAATACTACTAGACACTACCTATCTCTAAAATGGACATTTATTTTAATAGACAGTTTTTATCAGCTTTTCTCTTTGTAAATCATTAGCATTGCTATCAGTTTTATTTGACATTGCTTCTTTGTTTCTTAAATTTCTGGCCCATATCAGCCAAACCCAGATAACGCAAACAGCGTCCCTAATAAAGTAAGTATGCATATGGTGGAAAAGTCTTTTATAGAGTCACTACCTCAAAACAGGAGGCATAAGTGGCTCTAAAGCTTTGGTCGGATTTATTTCACGTGACACTGGTGAACCCTTTAAGTTTCCGCAATCCCTCTTTTTTGCAACCGCGGTGTTTAGGAAAAATCACCAGACTAAGTAGTAACTTTCCTTGAAGACATGCTAAAAGTTATTCTATTCGATTTTATTCCTCAAAGATTTTCGGTTACGAAGTTTTCATTCTTTTGCGAGGTAAATTTTTCACCACGGTCCTCACACAACACAACCCCTCCCTTTCTGCCTATTCTTTCAATTGTTATTGACAATAACACATGGAAATTTGCAATAACAATAGTGATGTGCAGCATTCTACCTGCAAATGCGAAGGAGAACGGCGAGACGCCATTATGGAGCGCGCCATTCGCAGATGATTGCTTCACTTTCTTCTTATTACACTAAGGCGAGTTTCACGTCACTTTGCAATGACCTGGCCAGAAGGGAAGCGCAGGTTGAAAGCGCACTATCGTAGATGTCTTCGTTATTAACTTCGCAAACACTTATGGGATGATTTCGAAACAAGCCTCAAGTAAAAGAATATGTTCGCATGGCGAAGGTTGGTTGATTGGATCTCTTCTGTATGTTTTTTCCTGTTCACGGCCTATACCTTGCGGTCTCATCAGCTCACCTTCTCAAATATTGAAGGAATATCACATACGTCTATTTATTGATCTGGAAAAGTTACTATATAAGATTTGAAAGCTGTTTCTAAATGGCCACAACACTTTTTAATATTAGCGATGAAATCGATAATTTTAGGTGGCTGTTAAAAAATTCAAATTGAAGAATGAAGGCCTATCTGGTTTTGTAGTCGGCTGCGCACGGGGATTTGGCATGATGGTCTCTGTTCTTGCGTTAGCTTAATTTCAAGAAGCAATTGAATGTCTTTGGTGGTGATAGTTATTCACAAGTTTTTCCGCTAAATAGTCATTGCTTCATTTAAGCTTTTATGGCCTAGACTAGAGCTAGCTCAAACTGTTCGCGAATATATCTTGCATTTGCCCAGGATTGCACTTTGATATATAGCAAACGAGAACTTACGCTAAGTCTTGGTCTTTTGCACAGAATTTTTATAGTATCAACAGAAAATACGTATAGGTATCCTGTTTTCCATTTTAGATCGATAAGGATTTTATTTTAATCCTTGATCCCGTCGATATAGATTCCTACAAATAAATTTTTATGTTCAGGGTTAAAAAAATAATACTAAGCCCATACCCTAACTTATAAACAATTTTATTTGATGCTTAAACTATTTTGCTATCCATCTTATGATTTTACATCAGCTTCTTTGTAAAAACATTCACCTTTCGAATAGGCAAAAACTGTTGAGACTTCTGGTTTCATTGTCAAATTTTATATTATTTTGAGTACTTAGATTGTTATTATCTTGAATCTTAAGTTAGGCTTATTTTGGCTTTTTTGGAGTGCAAAATATATTTCTATCTTTGTTTTCCAAAATTCTGTCTTTATTTTGAAAAACTTTTCACGTGAGACAAGCACAGTAAGAAAAATGGTATTGGTATTGAGTCTTTAAGAGAATAACTGATATAAAAGTGGCCAACATACACATCTATTAATAGGCAACCAATCATGCTAGAATTCCCTTTTGTCACCAGACCTGCCATGCAATTAAAGGCTTCAAACTGAATTCTTTGTCATGCGCAGATAATATATTATCCGCATAATCAAAGGTGGTCACTTTTAAAATGGAATCTGAAAACATCTTATCTGCACAGATATTTTGCTAATAGAAAAAATTAATTTTTACATAGATTCAGTTCAGCCAAAGGAAACTAAATAATTCTTGTCAGTTAGTGGCTGTTAATCTGAGTATATATATATTTTAGTATTTATTCTTGTTTACCTCATCTTACCTTTATTGTTGATTCAGGATACTTAACCCATTAGAAGTTTTCAAAAAGTCATATATATAAAGAAGTATCATTAATCAAATCTGGGCAAAATGTATACCAGAATTTATTTTCTCTGTGCAAAACACAGAAAAAGCAGTCTAGGGCATTCTGTCGCCTCTGTGATTGGCTTATTCTAGCTTGATAGCCTTACCTTTAAAAGTCATTCGTCTGCCTTTTTAGCATCTGACATTAGTTATTGTGGGTGAACATGACAAAAAATGCCTAATCTTTGTATCATTGAAACTTAGAAGTTTGACACCAAAACAAAATTCCCACCAACTTGCTCATTGAGAGTGTGCTATTTTGGATATTCATTCTGCTTAGTTATTTGTGCATTTAACCAATGATGCATGAATATTGTGGCAATGAAAAGAGATTCTGCGAACATTTGGGGAAAGACTCCCTTTATGTCTTCGGAAAATGCTCAATGCCAATTCAAATTGAATAGAATTTCAAATTTGTTTTCAAAGGCTTGGATATATATCCCTCCCCGGATTCTCATTTAACAACCTTAAAAGGATATCCATAGCTGCAGGACTGGAAGGACAAATTTCTAGAGATACTGCATTGTAAAGTTATTGGAGGTGAGAGAGAAATGTAGGGGGCTTACAACTGGTTTGTCCATGTTTGAAGTGCGCTCTAATGTTCTAGGGAAAGGGGAAGTAGTGATCGAAAAAGAAATTGAAGAATAGATAAAAAATTGGGTAAATGCCAGTAAAATGTTTGGTTTTTTAAAAAATCTTGGCAGGCAAGAAACAGTTTATGTTGTCTGTCTCAGTTTCCAACATTTTAATCTGCTTATCAAAGAAGATATCTATCATCAGCAAACAGTTTTTTAGGTATTGTTTTTGTTTTATTTTAAGAATGGCTAATAAAGAGAAAGATGTAAATGAATGCCATTGCTAAGACTGAAATGAAAAACTTTCTAAACAGCTCTCATCTACCAGTTTATTTGGAAGGGAGAATTTACAAGACCTTTAATCAAAGTCAATCCATTAGATGATCCCAATTAGTCTCCACCCTGGAAAATTTGCTAGTATTAAGCTCCCCTAGCATGGCATCTATTTCAGAATATGAGCTCAGTACATGTTAAATTATATATTCAATGAATAAAAAAAACTGAAAGATAAATATGAGCCAATGACACAACAAGAACAGCAAGGCTGTTGCTAGCAGGGGGTCTTGGCAAATTTTTGAAAAGAAGAGTTTTGTCGGGTTTTGCTTTCAAAGGTCCCAAAGCAATAGCTTAAGCAAAAAGGTGGACGAGAAGAAGATAAGACCAAGAAAAAAAATCATCCAAAAGCCCCAGTAGGTACAGATAGCACTTTTGGTGTCACAGAGACGCAATGCCCCAATAAATTTCAAATGACTCCCATGTTGGCAGCCAGGGTCTATAACCTAGCAGACAACTGTCTGCATATCCAGGGTCGCCTAATTTTCGCCTAAAGTTTAGGGAGAGGTTAAAGTTTATTGAAAAACTCTGAACGCTGATTCTGGAGGGACTGGAAGTTTCTGGGAGGTCCTGGAGGTACAATTGCAAGAAATGACTAAAATAAGTATTCTGAAATGCATTTTAAGATAATCTAAAGGGCATGGTAGCACAAAAATTTCTGCTTGCTCCCCTCACAGGGGGCCTTGTCTTTCAGTTGTGCCCCCCATGGCCCTCGAAACCACTTGGCAACCCTGCCTGTGAGATCTGCTCATACAAACTAAGGTTCTTTTTAAACGTGCTGAACCTTCTGAATAAATGAAGGAATCTCATTGTTGAAAACTTGACTTCTAGAGAAAAATCAAAGAAGATACTGTCAGGTACTCAGGCAAGGAAAATTACACCGCGAAAATCTAAGCGCTAATATGAATTTACGTGCCAGTGTGATTCTGGCTACGTAGGACGCACAACCCAAAGATTGGGGGATAGGATAAAACAGCATGTTCCTTCCAACATACGAAACAAAACTGCCCCTCAAAGAGAACAGCCTCCTCGATCTTGTAGGTCTAGAAACACTGTTAAAACAAGTGATTCTGCCATTGGTCAACATCTTTTAGACAACCCAGATTGTGCAAAACTCTATAATGACGACATGTTTCGGATAATTGGCAGAGCCCGGTCGTCCTTTCATCTAGCAGTTTTGGAGTCAATCTACATAAAAACGAAAAAGCCGCCATTGTGTAGACAAAAGGAGTTCGTTTTCTCTCTTGGACTCCATTGGTAATTTTTCTTTAGGCTCGCGGCACTGATTGGTCAACTATACCGGTCTTGTGCTTGCGTTTTTCTGATTGGCCTATTTCAATCCACAACTGGGTATATATTTTTCCATCGTGTTTTTTTGGAACCTATTCTGACGTTTTATGCTCTGAGGAGTGTCAGACGAAAAAGCTTTTAGTATGTCGTAAAATGTTTGCTTTTTTCAAAGCCATTTTCAAATTCTGTACCGCAAAAAAATTGTTCGAAAATCTAAGCAATGATTGACTATCAAGAACATACTCTTTGATAAATCAAATCAACTGCATCAAAATTCCATGCCAAAAAAATCATTGTTTTAGGTCACACTCTATTCTGTCAGAGGTAAAATTGAAAAATGTGAAAAAGTTTTGAAAGCCATTCTAATATAGCTTTCAAATTTAAAAGCCCCCAAGTTATTTCATTCAAGCATCCCCAAATTGTTCTAATAAGAAACATCTCAATTTAACCTGTCCCCAACTTTAAGGGTTACACTCTGTACTTGATTAAGAAGTGAAATTTTCTATGCATAGGGCTGCTCTCTTGTGCGCTTTAGTGTTAGCAAAATGTTGCAGGATAGATAGTAATGGAACTTTTTGAAGTTGATATAAATCAGGTCTCTTTGTTTGTAACATTAGTAGGATATTCAAAAAAGTTTTGCTTTGCATATAATTTTGAATAAAATGTGTTGCTGTGTTCACAAGTATCAAGGTCTCTTTCTGACGAAGTTGCTTTGATTCAACCACATAACTTTGACAAAAGCTCAGCAGACAAGACAATCTATGTATAATATTGACTTCTTTGTGGCAAACAATGTGGAAATCATTCTCGCCAATGCATGCTGCTATTACTGAAATTTTTCATTGACAATGCAAAAAAACTATATATATGATAAAAATATCCTAATTATTCTGGTATTTAACATTTGTCTCAAGATTAGCATTTCTAGAGTTTTTCCGGAAAAGAAAAAGAGATGATCAAATGTCTAATAAAAAAAACTAAAACACCATTTTTCCTTCATTTATCATTGATATTCACTGAAAAAGAGTCATTCCAGTAAATTGTTTGACAGCTGCCTGCATATTCCGAAAAGATATGTATATTATTCTTGTTTTGTTATTAAGTACATTTAATTGGATTGATATAACTCATTTGATATAACCGCTATTTTTAACTCTAGAATCTGAAACAAGAAAGAGATCAAAGCCAAGGTATTTAAAATTACTTTGTTTTCCAGTATTTCTGGTGTGTTCATACTTAATTGGTTGACATCATATAAGTTATTTATATTTTAGCAGGAAACCACTGAACCATGGCATGAAAATATTGAGTGTTATTATTGGTTACATTAAATTTGAATTGGTTATTCACTTTATCTCCTACCCCACTCATTTTGAACTGTTACATCCATTAACATGGAAGGTGTTATTTGCTGATTTATTTATTTATATATTTTTAGTTGTTATGCTTTCTATATAAATTCATTTGTTTCTTAATAGCAATAGTAATGACAGTCTCAGATACCTAAGCACACAGTAAGAGTTAACATTCAAAAATCTTACTTACAAGGAAAAACTTTATTTCAATTATTTTGCACTCTGCTATCATTATAGCTCAGTTTGGTTAGATTAAAAATTTCCATCATTTTTGTCTCAGACTGTCTAATACATTTTCTCTCTAAGTTTATGAGGCCCAATGTCAATATGAAAAACAATCAACAAGGCCTAATCCTGTTGCATTTTAAAGTAGTGTGAATTTAATGAATTTCTTTGGGATAATTCTTTATCGCTTTTGCATGCTTGACATTGCTTATCGCCATATGTTAGTTTTCCCATTACATTTAATAGTTTTTTTTAGCTTGTAGGCTAAAAGCAGACACACTTATTGCTTTTGCATGTGTTTGCATGTGGTATAGTGCTTTCTGTCACTTTATTGGTTTTAAAGTTGTACATGCATTTAGCATTAAGATAATCTGTGAGAGGTTTGACTGTTTTTGTTTCATTTTAGTCTGGATATTGCTGACTGGAAAGATGAAATTCAGTTCAGAAGTAAGAATTTATGTTTATTTAAATGATTTGATTATTTATATTATATTATCAAGTTACAAAAATCTTGAATTTTTCTTTGAGTCAAAATTTTAGGCATGTAAGTGGTTTTGATAGAGAAGGTGCTACTCAACCTTAAAAGAGTTTTTGATATGATGGTTATTGGAACAATCCATGAAGATATGGCGCTTTCGTTGGAAAAATATAGCAGGCGTGCTTACTACCGCACACCTGACAACATGCAGGCGTGTGATGGCATGTGACATTTTTTGCAAAAATCTATGGTTATCATAATAGATCTATGCAGAAATTGCTAACACGACAATGATGACACCAATAATTTTGATTAAATTTATTTCGCTGAATCCTTAGCATCACTACTAACATTTTAACAAAAAAACATGTTATTTCTGAAGACTTGGGCAAGTTTCTACATAGTTTTCATCAGCTTTGATAATATATCCTTAGCAGAGTCAGTGGGGGCTTGGTATTCATCTGGTTGTAATGACTGTTTTTGCGTATGTGCCCGAGGGCCCTTGGTTAACAAGCATCACAGCTATTTTATGCACCTCGCCAGATGTCGATAATCCATAAAGATAATGCATTAAATATTATGATGGGCCATTTTACATTAAATTAAATCATATCTAGATTTAAAGCATAGCGAAATTTGACAAAAGGGCTATATGGCAAAATCCGCAAATCTGCTACTTTTTCTTGCATAATTGGCAAATCTGCTACTTTTGCTAAATTAGCAATCAAAAATGAAAATCTTGTTCACAACACTTAATGTTCCTTATAAAATTTGGAGATAAAAATGTCTGTTATTGTCTTCTGTTCTGTGTGGCATGAAGTAACAGTACCATGGAAAGATTTACATTTAAACCCATCTCGAAAACCAACAAAACCAATCATTGATAGAGAATTTCACTCTCAATATAAAAGAAGGCATGTGATACTTTGCCCCCTCGAAAGCATGCAATCGCCTGGTGCACGCCTTTCGGACGAAAGCCTGTATATATATGATATTTCCATTCTTGAATGTAGCAATGAATGACAGTTTTGCTGTTTTTTGTAAAGGAACGAGTTAAACCTGAGACAATTTCTCTGTATCAATGTACTTTGGTGCATTTAGAAACAACTACATATGTGTGAGATATAACTTATAAATAAAAATTTATTATTTAAACTGTATTCCTTACCTCCAAGGTCCTGCATCTCCAGCAGCCACCCAGCTCAAAACAGATAACAATGGTAGAAAACCAGCAGAGGTATGCTGATTTCACTGAAATGTGTCTTGGTTTTCATCTTAAAAAACTTGTATACTATATAATATTTTTGTTGGTCCTGCTTCAAAATATCAAAAGCTGGTACAAATGATAAAGTTGTACAACAAAAGTAAGTTTAAAATTTAGGAAAGATTTCTTTTTCCCTTAATCGAAACACAATGTAGTGAATATTAAATCATTAATTTATGTGTCAATTGTTTTGTGATATTGAAATTTGCTGTTTTACCAGTCTTTTGTTTTTTGTTTGATGTTATATTTGCAAAGCTGTACATGCTTTTGTGTGTAGAACAGGACAGTTCTAAGTTACTTTGTTTTGTACATATTGATTATTTTGTATATATATATAGCTGTTTATGATTGGCGTTTATATTGTACCTAGTCTTTTTATTATTAACAAAATCATCATAGCCTTCAATTTTGCTTCATTTCATAAATTTATTTATATTTTGCCAAAGACAAAACAAAGGAATGGCTCAATGGTTTTCCCTATTTAGTCGAAAGATTTTTTCTTACTGAAACCACCTCTATTTGACCTTTTTGTATATACAGTGTAAATTTTATCCTGACTTTTTCCAATGCTATTTATTTTATATTTTGCAGGTTTTCAGAACCGACTTTATTACTGCAATGAAGGTCACTGATAACGTCAACTTTTCATCTGGAAAGACTTATGAACTCACAGACCCATGGAGGCAAGAATGGGAGAAAGGTGTTCAGGTCAATAGATTCTTTGTGCATTCTAATTTTGGATTAACATAAAATTAATTTTAGTTCCACATGCAATGAAAGTCTTAACAACACTTTATAGATGGAGGGTCTTTGCAACTTGTCTTTTGTTCATAAATATTCTAGATTGCGTGTGGTACAATACAATAGAAAATAACTATTAATGTTAATAAATTGTACCAGGAATAAATAAGAGATTATTAAATAACAGCGTTTCAACGCTTGATAGAGGGCCTATGCTCTAAATATCCTTATTCAATAATCTCTAATTTATTCCTGGTACAATTTATTTACATTCATAGTTATTTTTTATTGTCTTTTGTTCAAGTTGTAATGGTTTGTTTAACCATTTGAAATTTTACCATACTTCTTTCCTAGTTTTATAATATTGACCTAACCATCCCAACTTAAGCTGGCCTTTTTAAGTACAAGTCAATGCTGCTTGTGTTTGTGTATACTTGTTCCGATTCATGTTATCCTTTAGCAGCTAATTAGAAGTTATGTTGAAAATTCTTTCAGGTTCCTGTAAACCCAGATGCATTACCAAAGACTTCACTTAGGTCAGCAAAATATTTTTCTTTGAAATTTGATTGGTTCACATAGTTGTCACATAGTAAACCTTGTCACTCTTAGTGAGAGTCTAGAGGTTGCGGAGGTCACCTGCATTTCCATTAGCACAATTCCTTTCAGGATGTGGCAAAATTTGTCAACATTGAAAACCAGCAAAGCTCGTGTACTGGCTTAATGAAACATGATTTAAGGCTGTGAATTCTTTTACCCCTTGGTTCATTGTTATATTTTATCTTTTTAAAACAGCTGCATCTTGTTGAGTAATCCACTTTTATGATATCTACTTTAGAAATAAGAAGCAATCTTGACAGATGGTATTGAGCTTCACCGTAACATTCTAGAGAATGAAACTTGGGTCTTTAGTTTTAATGTAAATGCAAGTTAAGATTTCAACCAAATTGTCTAAAGAAATTAGACTAGAAGAGTTCGTTTGGTGGTCTAATTGTTTTTTACTTTTTGTAGAAAAAAAGAGAATCCACAACAAGAAAAGAGATACAGTGCATTTTCGTTGTAAGTTTGCATTTTCCAGATGTTATTTTTTTCACTATGGTACATGTAAAAATCGATGCCAGCCAATGCCAAAATGACTTTTGCAGCATTCCACATTTTTTACATATGTATTTGCAGGCAACTTATACTTTATAATTTTCTCAAGGATTCTTGTTTTTTATTCAGTAGGAAAAGGAAAGCTGTAGTATGTCATAGAATGTTGGCTTTTTCAACGCAATTTTTAATTCTGTCAGTAGGAAAAAAGTGGCAGTAGGAGAAATAAATCATGGTTAATTTAGTACAAACTTTCAAGCCACGCCCTCTCCTATATTTTTGTTATTTCCTTTAGATTTTCAATGTTGATATCCTTATCTATTTCTGAATTAAGTATTTAAAAACCGCAGGCCTAAAGCAAGAATAACACATGAAAACCCGGAACTCGTTCATTCAAGTGAAAAGACAACTGTTTGTCTGTATGATCTTGACGATTCTGACGTGGAGTGGCTTAAAACAATGAAGGGTTCTGTGAAGAGAGGAAGTAAGTGGTTTTCAACCTCAAGATTACACACTTTGAAATATAATTCATGCGGTTCTTATTATCTCGAAACTCTTCTTCTATTTTTATTATTCTAAGTTTGTCGTAATGGTTAACTAAGTTTTATTATTCTACATCTTTTAATTAAAATGTAGCCAGAATCACACTAGCACGTCCTACGTAGCCAGAATCACACTGGCACGTAAATTCATATACAACAGAACTTTTTTGCGTGGCAGGAACGCAGTCCTTTTGAATGGACGGAAGGGCCTTTCGGATTATTGGTAAAGCCCGATCGTCGTTCCATCTAGCAGTTTTGTGATCTATCTACATAAGCACGAAAAAACCGCTACTGTGTAGACAAAAGGAGTTCCTTTTTTACCTTAGGACTCCATTGGTAACATTGTCAATAGGCAAGCGGCACTGATTGGTCAACCTCAACAGTCATGTGCTCGTGTTTCTGATTGGCCTATTTCGATCCACAACTGGGTATATATATTTCCTAGCGTAGAGTTTTCGGTCTATGTTCTGACGTTTTAAACTCTGAAGAGTGTCAGACGAAAAGCTTTAGTTTACTAAATGTTTGTTTTTTTCAAAGCCATTTTCGATTTTTTCACCACCAAAAGATTTTTTTCGTTTTTTTATTAGTATAACTTTTTCTATTTATTCAATCATAAGGTAACATTGATGAATCTGCAATGGAGAAAGCCATTACCTACTTTGAGAGAAAGGTATTTCTATCATTTATATATACCAGTCAATCATAATATTCTTCAGTCACATTTTAACTAAATTTTCTGATTGCCCCATCCCATTGCCAATCGCATTCACCTAGGCAGAGTTTGTTAACTGCAGTTGATCTTGACATCAATCTATGATGGATGCATAGTTGCCCGGTGTGGAGAGACGTCGTGACTTCCCCTTGATATGGCCCTTCACCTTTTACGGATTACTAGGATCTTTTGAACTGTATCCCGCTGTAGTGACCGTTTTCAATATCCTGGAAGCTCCGTATACCTGTTAAGATAAGAGTCTTGAGTTTTGGTTGGAGAGTGAAGAAAGCGGTTAATATCCATGACCCCATTGACAGCATCTATCGGCAAATTGTGCTTGTTGTTTTCTTTAATTAACTGCTCAAATATTTATTGTGGCTGCTGTTTCTGCGTTTTCTAAAGTACTAGCCCAGAGCTAGCATTTCGCTTCTGATTCTGAGCACTATTGAGCCATGGCTTTTTAGCTATTAGAAGAAGCATTGTAAAAAAGGAAGCAAGTCGATAAAAAGGCACTTTATTTCTTTGCTCAGTGTTTCGAAAATATGGCGCATGCTGTTGCAACTAAGAAAGGCCTAAGCATTGAGTATGATGACACAACAATCTGTGACGTCTGTTTGTCGGTAGGTATACAATATTTATCTTTGCCTATTGGATATTCGTTGTAAATCAACTTTCATGTTTTAGCTGTATCCTGTTCGCCCCTTCGTGAATTATTTACCACCTTCTTCAAGCTGTCTTCATTTATACCCCTGATTTGTTGTATTAGCATATCGAATTTACTCCTATCCTGCAATCACATGTATGCTTAATTGTTTGTTTTGCTTTTAGCCTGATACAGAAGATAGCAATGAAATTGTATTCTGTGATGCCTGCAATATGTGCGTTCACCAGGTATTGTATTCTATGTGTTTTTAGGTGGTTTCCAGTAAAGATGCCTTCAATCTTCTCGCTTTGTGATGCTTTTCACTCGCTACTGTGACTCTTTGGGCTGGTAAAAGTATGTCGTTCCTACCGATTACAGCTCCTCCTAACCCGTTACGTAATTTTTAACTATGAGATTTTCTTGTTAGGCCTGCTATGGAGTCCAGGACATCCCAACAGGCACCTGGCTGTGCAGACCTTGTTCAAGGGGTGTTCTCTCGCCCCATTGCGTTATATGTCCAAACAAAGGAGGAGCAATGAAAAGAGTGAAGTAAGTTGGATGTAGTAGTAAATGAGTACAAGTATAATGTGTTACCTAATTTTGCATTTTAACATTTTTCCAAAGCTTTTCCCTGTCCTTTTAAATTGAATGAAATTTAAGTACATTTTGAACCAAGTGTCCATTCGATATCATTTCACTTGCTAGAATGGAATTATCAGGAGGTTACCTATGAATTTTGATTTCAGCGATATTTTTGTTAGTGCTTTTTACAATGAAATTTTGGTATTTTCAGAAATTCATTTGAGTGGATCCACGTGATTTGTGCCTGGTGGGTACCTGAGGTTAAAATCGAAGATACAGATAATGTTGAGAAAATGACAGTCGATAAAATACCAGTAAGTTTATTTTGCTTCAGTTTTTTTAGCAGTAGATCGTACAGATGCTCGTAGCATCCACTGTATGTCGTTTTGACTAACGGCTTTTTTTCTCTTCTGGGTTTTGAAATGTATTAAATTTTCATTTTCAAAATATTGTATCTTGAACCCTTTTTTGCAGGCTAGTCGTAAAAATCTTTGCTGTTCTCTTTGCCGAGAGAAAGTTGGTGCTTGTATTCAATGCTCTGTAAGTTTTTATATTTATTTATATATATCTTAAATTATTAGTGGTATATAAGCCAATTAACATTTTTTCTTATCTGAAAGTCATTTCTTTTTATACTTTGTTCTTACTCGAGGTCTGAAAAAGGTACGGCCAAACTGTTGTCATATGACAGTGCTACACGAGCGGAAAATGTTCTTCATTAGTTTTTGTGAGATTAAAAATTGACATGCCCAAGCTTGTAGCATTAGACTGTGTATCTCAAAATTTGAATGTTAACCAGCATTGAATTGAATTGTTAGATTATGAAACGTTGTCACACACGATGATAGTTTAATTCGAAATGTTTGAAATGTCAACCATCTTTGTGACAGTTCTTGATCGATTTTGTGGCTTTATGACATGACGACTAAACTAGGTAACATGCTGTGAATATTCGTGAAAAACGAATGTCTTATGACAATGTATTATAGTTCAGCCTTATCTTAATAACTCCCCTAATATTTTAAATTGTACCGTTCTTTGTGAATCACCACCCAGTTATATGCAACATCCTCTATTGAACCTGGCACAGGGGCGGCTGGGAGTAAATTTTTTTTGGTATTACTTTTTCAAACGTATGGAAAATGCACGAAAAAGGAAAATTAAAAATTTCTTTATGAAGGAATTTTGAACCTCCTCAGCTGGAGGGATATAGGGGTTTTGCAACACCCCCCCCCCAATTTGGCCCAGCCATACGTTGGGGGAAATATGCATATCTTCAATTGACTATAAACAACAAACAAAAAGTCACTAAAAGACATAAATTGGTCGGGTATACACATTTTTGTAAGCAGCTAAGAATCTGAGCGAATGCTGAAAGTTTTAAGTTTATTGGCAATTTTAGTGCTGTATCTCCTAGAAAATAAATGCAGATACTTCCTTGCTAGCATATCAAAAAGTAATCTATGAAGAGCCTGATTTCCTGTTGGTCTTTTTAAACAAACTGGAGGGCTGTAACATTTGTCTGAAGGGCTTTCGAGTGGTGATTAGTCGTGAAAAATATTTGGCGGCCCCTTCCTCTGAGCCACCATGTGGGCCCGTTATTAGAATCGCGATTGTAATAACGGAAACCGCTGCGTGAAAGCCCTCTGAATACATTCAAGGTTCAGTTCAGTTCATCATTCATTTCAAATGCCTTTACATAAGCAACTTGCAACATTTTGAATAGCTACAGTTTACAAATGTACAAATAAAATTTGAAAGGATGCAGGCTAAAAATTTATTATAGAAAAATAAATGACGAGATATATCTGGCACGGTCTTTCAGTTCGAGACGTTGCTAGTGAGTTAATTCCACCTGTTTCAAAATAATTAGAGATACAAAATAATAACACTTTGAACACCCAGACGATGGTCATTCACTTGATCTTTCACAACACGATTCATTTTGAAACAGCTAACTTACAAGCAAAATCATAAAACAGCACTGGCAAAAGGTAAATGGCCGCGTTATTAGAATCCCAGCAGTAATAACGGGGCTGCTAGGCTCCTTTATTTCAAGGACCAAGAACAATTGAATTTTACGTCATCGGTGAGTCCCGTGACAAAGACTTTGCTGTTTCCGTTATTAGAAACGCGAAAGTAATAATGAGACCGGGAGCCTCGAACTAGCTTTGAACGATTTGAAATACCATTGAAAAACATAATAGGCTTCCTGTGATTAAGGATTAGCAGGTAATTATCGTCCCCTCCAGATGAATAGAGAACAAATACCATACGCCATTGGTTGTGTCTAGCAGATGAATGCACCAAACTGATAAAGACTTTGGAAAAAGTGTTATTACAGTAATAACGGTAATAACACTGCCCGCCGCCCCTGACCTGGCAACAATAATGTTTTGGCAGCACATTGACAAAACTTTTAGAGCAGCGTTGTTACCGGACAGATCTTGCCTGTCTAATTTTCGTTTTTTAACATATACTTTATTTCGATATTTCACCCTTATTGAAGTTGTTATAATGTCATTCAGGTTAAAAGATGCGTAGTAGCGTATCATGTGACCTGTGCTGTGAAGGAGGGCCTCGAAATGAAGACCGTCATGATGCACGAGAAAGACGATGTTCAGCATATTGTGAGTTCTTTCAACTGATACCGAGGCTATTATGTATTTATTTAGCGACAGTTTACTCTGTCGAATCAAAATCGGTTCGCCCATTTTAAAAAAACTTAATTAAACAACTATCTCAAAACCTCACCATTGAACAGCAAATTATTTTGCGAAGAACATAACAAGTGCTAACGATGGATAGACCAATTTGGGTCTTTTTAACGCCCTCTAGTTTTTGTTTTTGCTGTCGTTATCCTAAAAAGTACAACCTAAATTGCACTAAAAAATGATTTTATCCTATTCCCAGTGAATACCCAAACATAGGTGCAGCTAATCCTGGTTTGACTTTTCAAGTGTGGCTGAAGTCTTATAGAGAGATAGGCTGCCTGTTGAATTCCAGGATATCAATCCTCCCCTAATATCCCTAATATCTAGCTTGTAGCTTCTTTTATGATAGTAGGTACAATTTGCCTTATGTTACGTTTTTTTCATTTTCAGTCATATTGTAAACGACACTGCATTCCGCAACCACAAGAAAACGTCAAACAGCGAGCTGGGGACGAGGTGGAGAACCAAAGACTGAAAGAGTAAGTGCATTAACACTATAGACTAAGTTCTTGTTGCAATCCTTTTTCCTGTCTTTGCGTAAATTTTTGTACTTTTTGCTTTTTTTGTAATTGACCGTTTTGCATCACGCTTTCATGGAACTCGGCTTCATTACAGGTTACAAAAACTGCAAGACAAATTCTACGGTTTGGTTGACCTGAGAAGTTCTGCACGAGAGCTGCGGCTAGGACGAGATATAACTCAAAAGCTGCTCAGCTATTGGATTCTTAAGAGACAGGTGGGTTGGTGCTTAGATTTTGCCTAGCTGACTGGTGTTCTAGACCTTTTTGATCTAGACATTTGGGGATTAGTAGGAACTAAAAAAATTTGATGTTATGTTCACTATATATCCTTGTATGGTATTTATCTGGCTCACTCACGATTGTCACAGCTCCAATCAGTTGCTATCAAATTTTGTGTGATCTTGTTGAGAAATCCAATAAGAAAAGTTAAACCATCCCATCTTCTCCCTTTTCGTAGAAACTGGCATTAGGAACAACACATTTTGCATTTTTGCCCCTGTCTCTGTGTCTCCATGAACTCTCGTGGTTTCTGTGAATGTTGTTATATAGATGTTATTTTGTTTCATTTGAAAAGTTTTTTTGTCGCTTGCTTTTGTCGCCTGTTTTTGTTGCTTGTTTTTCAACAAATGTGCTATGTCTATTTAAAGGCAAACCAAAGCCGGCCTTTGATGCCATTAACCACCGAACAGCAAGAGAAGTTGAGTGGAAAACAAGGCATCTATCTTATTCAAGAGCAAATCAACGTTGAGATGGAGAGATATGGCCTTCTCCGGCAGGACCTTGAAAGGGTATGCAAGCGTTCAAAGTTTTGAAGTCTTTTTTTTAAATCATGTAGCCATAGCTAAAAGAAAAAGGCACAGTTTTAAAGGCACGCTGCTGCACTGTTTATTGGTCAGTCAAAACAATGACATTTCTTTGCCAAAGCAGAACAATGCGTCAAGCTCACCCAATTCCCTGTGCGTCAAAATTTAACTCATAAGGACCAATGACCATTGTGACAGCGTGCCATTGAATTTAAAAGCCAGGGTTGGCCCTTGAATTTTGTGAGAAATATATCCGGGTTTCTTCTTGTTGTCTAAGAGAAGACAAGTGTCCGTTATGTGCATACAAATATATCGGTGGTGGTGTTTGTATCAACATTTTGAAATCAAACCAGACAAGAGTAAATATTAGGCGTTCCTTTTCTTTCACTTTTTTAGTTATATTTTGGGGCTGATCAGTTTTTGTAGCCCTTTGGTAATCTAGCAATTTCAGCTGTGATTGAATAATCTAATAAATTCAGCTGTGATTGAATTTATTACAATTCGTTGACAGTCTTCTTTTAATTTGGTGCAGTTTTTTTTCCTGTCGCTCAGTCACTCTGGACAAGAATAAAAATTTCACGTGCTTTTATTGAATTAAAGTCAGTACTCCTTTATTATAGTTACGAAACCTGTGTTACTTAATAATTCGTCGGGAGAGAGGCAAAAGAGAAGTGCACAAAGCATCGCAGGAAGTCTTCTACAAACAGGAAACGATTTTAAGTACAGAAGGAGAGTCGATGGGCGATGAAGAGTTCAGAAGGATATCATCAGGAAATACGTTGATGCGGTTTACGAAATTTCCCTATTACGCTCCCGATGGGCCTCCATACGCTGATCACGCGGAAACACCACACGATGAAGAGATGTTGTGGAAAATGACGAAACTTTGAATAGTGAGACAACTGTCTCGAATGCTGGTGAGAAAGGAGAGATAACGGATGAATTAAATTCCAGTGAACCAGATGAATATATATGCATTGAAAAGTATCAGTTCGAAAATGGTAAAATGGAAGTAAGTACGCATTTAGATCTTTCACCGGGTAAAACAGATACGGTCAGAAACAATAGTAGCACGGCATCTGATACAAACCCGCCCGTTGCTGTCGTCACAGAACAACAAAGGAAAAGATCAGTCGAAGAAAAGATCGAAACGAGCTATTCATTCCAGTGTAAAAGTGACACAGAAAATACGATCGAAAAAAGTGTTCATGGAATAGAAACTGTAATGGCAGAGACTATCGATAAGAATATTATTCATCTAGATACTGGCATAGAAGCTGCGTCTGCAGAATCATCTTCACAGTGTAAAAGTTCGTCTCCGTCACGAAAACCCAGACAAAGACGTAACTTGTCTCACAGCCCTTCAAGGGTCTTGAGATCAAGTCGACGCTCTGTTGTTAACGGAAAAGGGAGCAGGCATTGTGTTGCCAAGAATAAAAAAGAATGTGAGACAGAACCTGCCGATATAAGGAGCGAACCTTCAAGGTTATCAGGACCCAACGACGAAAGTGTTAGCTGTGCATCTCATGGGCCGATAACGGAACATTCGAAAAAGTCTGAAGCAGGAATGTCTTTTCTTACTGAAGTTTCAGTAAAAGGCGATTCATTAGTTGACTCGCAATTAGATAAAACAGAAACCACGGCTTTATGCCAACAAATTAGGCTATTTTCAGAAGTGACAGGGGATTTGAATCGTAACAAAACTTTTGGAAACAATGTTATTGAAAATCAAATGGAGGAATGTGATGGCTGTAATTTCGGTACAAGAGGCGACAACGCTTCAACGTTGCGCGGCCGTTCCAATGATACTGTTACCCGAAGCTCGACCCTCTCTACGCCTAATACTGACGATATTGTGGGTAGATTGCAATGCAGTGGAGCTCGTGTTCTCTCTCCAAGTTCGAAAATGCTACCTAAAGACGATTTAGAACTTTTACGTCTCAACAACGGACCATCAGACTTTAATAATGATTTTAAAAAAGACGACACATATCTTTATTTCATAAAGGTGCAAAACGCTCTTCGATTAGCAGTGAGTTAAATGGCATCTCTGATTTAAACGAACCCAAAAAGCCGCTTGTAAATGGTCTTGGAAATAGCGCGAGCAGGCTTGGGGCGATTCTTTGCAATAATCTGAAAAACTCTGATGAAAATAGCATGGAAGATAAACCATTAAACTCACTACACTGCAAGGATATTCTTGCTAATAAGAAAACAAATGATCGAATTTTTAAGCTAAATGAAATCAACCAAATAAACTGCATAGATGACTTCCATCTTTTGAAAAGTTGTCCTATTGGAAATTGTCGCCAAGACCACAAACCACCGCGACCCAAGCTTAATTTTATTGCTGAAAATCAAGAGATGGACAGACACTCTGAAACAGAAGACAAAATGGTTAACGGGAAAACTGGCTCTCTGAAACTAGGACAGTCGTTAAAAAATCCTGTTGTTGTACTAAGTGAGATACCCAATATTGCATTTTATAAAAAAGTAAGTCCATGTACATTGAACGGTATGAGTGAATCTCCTAAGAAAACACGAAGGTATTCAGATTTACCAAGTCCTGCTTTTCCTCGAACTGTCATTGACGATTTAGTCGCGTGCCCGCAGAGGCTCACAAGAGGCCGTACGCAGCTCATGATGTCAGGAGATGACGGAAGAAAATCCCGTAAAGCTTCCAAACGGAGGAGAAAATCGATGTTCGAACTGGGAACAGGCAGGGATATGGTGCTGGAACTGTCTTCCTCTGATACCGAATCGCCTATTTCACCGCAAAGGCTGACAAGAAGACGCTTACGATGGTTGGGATCTGGGGGATCGAATTCAAACGAGATGGAAGTTATTGATGAACTGGATTGTTCTCGTGATGATTTTCATATCAACGTGAACAAGAAAGCATCAGCTAGCGATCCAAACACAGATGCGCTTATAGGACAGGCTGCGAAACGTATTCACGTGGACGAAATAACTGGTAGTCCAACAAGACTAACGAGAGCACGTGTCAGATCATTAGGCCTAGATCAGGGATTCGAGATTTAGTATGTACTCAATGCTATTTTATTACTTTCTTGATCCTTTTTTACTATTCAGTTTCCTTGAAGGCCCATAGCATTTCCAGCCAACGCTGATATCCAATTCCTGTACTATTTTGCATCAATAACTGACAGATGAGATAGCATTACCTTTATAAGGAGTTTCGTATGCAGCTAGCTCAGTAGTATTCACCTCCCTTTACTAGTTTTTACAAATATTGTCTTTTAGCTTTATGACGTAGGTTTCAATCGTCAAATGTGTATAGAAAGGCGGAAAATGAATAATGAAAATCGAATATCAACCATCCTAACTCCATATTTATCGAACAGACGACTGTCTTCAGATGGTTGCAAGCCATCCCTTGACTTCATTAACTGCTTTCTATCTTGTTAAAAGTTTCTTTTTTGTTTTGCATTTCATTGATAATGATCCCTTGTAACTGACTGTTGCCATATCACGCCATTGTCCGTCCTAATGAATTCAGATTTAACCTAAACTCCCAATCTAAGAAATCTTTGTGTTTGTGTCTTTAACAATCGTACAAGTTTGTACTTTTACATCAAATTTTGTTGCTTTTAGGATAAAATGTATAATTACAGCGCGAAGATTTTCGCATTTGTATTTTACTGCGGCTGTACTTCAGCCTGAAAATATTAGTATTACGTAGAATGTGAAAATTATTTTAATTTCCTTCTCTCTTGCATACCCTTTGATTCGATTGTATTAAAATGTTTATAGAGCAAAGGTAGCGAGCGCAACTCTGGTTGCGTGGATTTTCATTGGCACGTTGGGTATCTCATTGTTTCCAATTTACAAAATATACATAAGACCAATATCAAATGTCGATTTGTCCATACACTGCAAAATTTACATCGAGACATTTCGAATATTTTGTCCGCAAAAATACCTTTGTTCAAGTGCAAAAACGCCGAGAATTTGCCTCAACCTTCCGAAAAATATTAGAGAAATTTTCATCCAAAAAAATTTCTTCTGCAAATCATAGCTTGTGTAAGGTACTGAATTAAAAAAAAACCGGAAGAAAACAAGTTTCTTTTTAAGATGCGCAGTATTCCGTACACATAAACTTCACAGGTCTAACGGCGGGTTTTGTTATTTCGTCTATGGCCATGGCCATTAAAGCTTTTTTGAAAAAACAAACTCTATACTATAGTGACGAGCATATCTGCTTCCCACTCTAAGGTCCTTAATACATGATGATTCTTTTTTGGGGTCAAAGAGATTTTTTTCTGAATACAATCGATAGCAAAATGACAATTATCACCTTGTAATAATGTATCGTTGTATTACCAAAATGAGCAAGCTAATTATCATTGTGTACATCAGCCAGGCCTATGTAAATCTTTTAGGATGTCACTACTTTTCTATGTTAAAACTTTTGTACAATGCAACCCCTTCATTTAAGAGAAACTTTACAGAAATTTCACACCTGCAAGATCAAAGGACAAATGAAATAAGGGATATGAATGACTGCATATAAAAATTAATAAACAGGGGGGGTCCAAATAAGCTCGGGGAGGTTAGAAAAAATTAATAAGCGTCCCCTCCTTTTCTTTTAAGGATCTTAGAGTAAGTATCCCTTAAAGTACCCTGATCCTGCAATATGAAATCAACTTTTCTATTATCTCAAAAATCTCAAATAAAAACTATGATACGCTATCTCATCACGAGGTCCGTGATTTTAGAGCATTGGCTAATAATCTTCAAATGTTTAGAACATTGGGGATACTTCTTGCGTATATTACGGGTTGAGGGGGGAGGGATTGGCTAAACATGGAAAAGGCCACAACCAATATTATTTTTGTATTATTTTAGAAAGAGTTTTGAAAATTAGTTGGGCTTCCAGGGTGGCTGTTGGCACCCAAATTTGAGGATAACAGTAGCTCGAGACAACACGGGACAACGCAACTTTTCTTAACATAGTCTTAACTTCCATGTCAAGTGTCTGCACTAAGCAGGGTCGTTTTTAGGTCATTGATCTCTTCATGACCCTATTTTCCTAAGAAAATACGAAAAATAAATATCACCAATGTTTGTGCTAGCTTTGTGCTTATGAATTTTTGCATAGGGCTAATTTCAAGGGGTTATAAAAATCCACATGAAATAGACCATTTTCTAAAGCTTTGAAGTTCACTGTGAGAAATGAAATATTATGCAAGTGCCTATTGGCAATTGTTAGGTGTTGTAGAAATTCTACATATGCATAAAAATCTATACTATTCACCCCCACTCTCCCTTTTACGAGTCGTACTCGCCAAGTGACCCCCCGCCCTTTGGGCACGTACACTTTGAAAGGACTTATTTGGATCTGTATTACAGAAATATTGTGCAAGATAACCGTGCAAAAGTTGTGTTTTTGACATAAACACAGCTTTTTAAAATTAATGCATTTATATAAGTAATTATGGCAGAGTTTTAAGTGAACCCAAATCGACACCTCTACCTTTAAATTGACAGTCAATGTAGTTTTTAAAAAAACTGTAAATCTGAGTGTGTAGTTGAACTCTGTTAGCCTCCCTCTTCTACCTGAATGTAAACATATGCTTTTTGTTGGACCCCCTCCCCCTTCATGCATACATATTATGTGTAAGACCCCAACTGTTATTTTTTAAAGAATACTATTTATCATAGTGATCAAGGGTGAAGGCTTTTTAAAAATTATCACCTGGTGTGGATTTATTTGGAGAACCTGTGAGGGGAAAATAGAGTATTCACAGTATTAAAAATAATAGGATTATTTTCAGTTTCCATATACATAAATCAGCTCATTTTTGTGGTCTAATTTAACCCTAGGAGGTCTCTTGTCCACTTCAGGAATTTGCAGAGATCACTTCAGAGATTTAGTGCAACTTCTAAAAAAAGGCAGTTCAGTATGTTTTTACACTTTGGCTTCCAGATACTGTCACATCAGTGGCACTGATGTTTGTAAATTCTATAACTCATTGTAAAGCTAGAGATTTTGCAAGAGTTCAGGATTAATTGAAGACACAAGGCTTGATTTATGACATTAGTTTGTGTTATTTTTCTTAGAGTAATAGTGATGGTACATCATATATGCTCAAGCAATTTAGATAAAAATGCAAGAAGGAGTCCAGGTTTTTAGTCAAATTTTATTTACACATCATCTACTCATCAGATTCAACATTCTTTGTTTGCAGTCCTAAAACAAAAAATAAACATTGCTTAGACATGAAAAAAATTATTACCCAAATTGTGGTGCATGTTTGTAACCAAGGGTCGGAAAATTATGCAAAAGGACAGGCCCACTGACAGGGAGGCAAGTGGGAAATTACCTAGGGTCTGTAAGCAAAGATGGGCCCACTGGTAATTGAACTGTCTCTAACATGATCCATAATATAATGATTTTAAGAAAAACAAATCACATCGCTCTTGATTAAAAACCACCCTTTTTGAAAAACAAGATATGTCAGTTCTGTGATTTCTTTTAAAGAACATCGCAAAACAAGCAACTGCTGAAAATGAGAGATAAACATGCCAGCTGAGGCTAAGCAATATTCTTAAAATAATTTTAACAATTTGATGATTTTGAGCCTGAATATTCTTGTATATATTATAAAAAATATTCTCATAAAAAAGTGCATTGAAAGCAAAGGTGCATATCACATTGAAAGCAAATGTACGTGCATATCAGACAAATATTTCAGTTCTCTTGAAACTTCTTTAATGATGAAATACCTTTGAAAGAATCGACTCTGACATGAGTGACAAGAGTGTATAATTTGTGTGTTGAATCCTCATCTTCATTTCTTCGTCTTGCAAGACGCACCCTGACTCTGAAGGGAACATTCCTGCAAAAAATTGAATAAGAAACATTTTACTATGTAAAAAACACTACTTTACTTTAAGAATTATGGTGGTAGTGACTATGATGGTGGTGATACTTGTTTTCAAATGAAATGCTATTGTGGACTCTGAAAAAATCATATTTGCTACTTCTCATTTTTGGCACCATGTCTGAAGCTTTATACATGCAATTCTATCATGCTGATCTATTTACTTTTTTAATAGTTGGTACATTGCAAAAAATTCAAAGGATAGTTGCTAACAAGAGCAAAATACCCACATACAACTAGTAGCTCCTACAAGGGTTTCATAAAGATTACACAATGTGGAAAACTTTCTTTCCAATACAAGAAATGTGCAAAAGTAGTTAAAACTATAAAATTCAATGCTATAACAATCATGTGCGAACAACATATTTAGGCAAAATAGTCAATCAAAATTGAAAGATGTTCTTAAACTTTGAACTACTTTGAACCTTTCGACATAGTTCAATTGTTGCATGCAAATCTAACAATGTTTTTAATCCTGTTGTTTCTTTGACTGAAAGCAAGTAATCAAACCTAATTATTATAAATCAACCAAACCAATCCATTTGGTTGCATCTTTCTTGTTGTAAATTTGCACAGGTTTAAAGAGACATGTTTATATCCTTAACAATTGTGTCATGAAAATTGAAATTAAATTGAAGGTTAAAACTGATAGTGTTTTCCTGACAATAATTTCCGAATAAGACTCACTCAAAACTTACTTCTGCTGCCAAGACGCATTGTAGACACTAAAAACTAAAAAAATTGTACTTGCCTGACACCCTTTGACCAAATATGTTTATTAAGTCCAGTGTCGATTCTGACATCAGGAGTCCCCATCATCTTTTCTGCAAATTTACGGATCTCCTTTATGGCACGCGGTGCCCTCCTTTTGAATCCACTGAAGAGGAAAATTTAACCAAGATAAATAAGGTAGCCAACATAAAAACTTCAAATCATTTCAGCTGTGATGCATCATCGACAGCTTCGAATCTTTCAATACTTTGAAGTTTAACAAACTCATTTGATCGAGGACAAATTTACATGACATTACAAGCTATATATTCATAATACACAATGATCCGAAGTATGATAAACACCGGTCTCTAGCACAACATGCTAAGAGCTTATTAAAAATATTCAGCTTTTAAAAAAATCAACTCTAATACATCCAAATTATACTTACATTCCATGGATTCGTTTGTGGACATGAACTGTGTACTCACGGGTAGCAACTTCGTTGATGGCAACACGGCCTTTTTTCTTCTCACCCTTATTTTTTGCCATTTCCTAAAAATAAAAAAATGCCTATTTGAAAAGTTTAGCAAAACTACGGTGACTTCAGGGAAGTGATTGAAAGTTTAGGAGTGGATGTAAAGGCAAACTCGACTCACTACTCACCACGGAATTGATGTAATTTAGAAAGGCCTATTTCAGGGAACCTCTCTCTGGATATTTTGATTTATTACCAGACTCCTGACACAGCAGAAATGCTGACGCACTTTCAAGTCAGCAAGGTTTATAAAAGGCCGTCCGTAATTAAAGTGTATAGTTTTGCAGCGTTTGGATTTTGCTGACTTTTCTTTAGATTAAGGAAATTTTATTGAAAAATGGAGTTCCCAGAGCTTGGAAAACATTGTTCACTGGAAAACTGCAAACAACTCGGTAGGTAAAACTTAACTTTGGGCCCATAACACTAAAAACATTTTAGGCCCCTGCCCCCATCGTACGATCGTATTGATCGATGAGATAGGCCAGACGATTCGGTAGATTCGATATCAGTTCAGTTCTGATATGTTGTGGAGCATAACATAACAAGCTACTTATCTTTAGCCCCTGTATAATTCACCATTTTCAGTGCTTTATACCAGATGTATTTTATACATCTTTCCAAGCTAGGAAAAACACCAGTCAATATGGTCTTAAATCAGTACGTTACTATGGAGCAAAATGCTGGAATGACCTCCCTGTAGAAATAAAAAGGTCACCATCAGTCAAGATGTTTCGTCAGAAACTCAAACTTTTCTGTTTGAGCATAACTATTGAATCAGGTTATTGATAGTCAATATTTACCCATAGTTTTTTAAAATTTATCTGAAAAGAGGGGGTGCTCTCTCCTCAATTACCTTAGCTATTAAGAGAGTTCCTCCTTAAGAATTCTCCTTCATACAAATCCTCTGGTGTAATGTATCTTTATCCCTTTATGCGTGTTATTGTCTTATTAATTTATATGTAGTTATTTATTATTGTAAGTTTTTAATTTTGAGAGTATGTAGTGGAATTTAAAAATGAATGAACTGAACTGATTTATTTTTCTCGGGCAAACCTTTAGAAATATTACCTACCCTTACCTTTTTATCAAATTCTAGAATAATCATGTGGACAATTTTTTTACAAGAGAGGTAGTTAGTTACCCTCCACCCCAACCTCTGGTATTGCCACTGAATTCAGGTGTCATTCAAGAATTAAAAAGGTTGATTGTGTAGTTTAGTGAGAGTTGCCAGAAACTAGATATTTGGCCTTTTAGTGGTTGATTTTTTTATTGACTAGGCTTTGTATCTTTGGCTTTATTGCAGGATTTTTCTTTGCTGATAAAATTATAAGGATAATTATTGTGCAAACTGAGGGTAATCAATGTAAACAAGCAAATATGGCTTTTAGACCCCGTTTACACGAGAGCGGATCCGAACCTGAGCAGATCCAAACCTGGTGGATCACTATACTTTTGGATCCGCTATCCAAACACTTTTGGGATTGCATTCAGAGGTGATCCCGTATGGATCCGATCTGGACCAGATCCTGTGTGAACGGGTGGATCAGATCCGTCTATGTTATTTGTCAAAAGTGAGACAAAATATTTTTTAATTCAAGGTAGTTTGAATATGTAATCCATGGCTTTTTGTTGCCAGAAAACCGACATCAAGTTGATAGACAAAACTTTTAATAATTGAAAAATTATTAAGAAACTTTGATGATATGTCGTCATACTTTGTCCTCGTATTTTTTCAATCCTGCCCAACTGCAAGCTTTGCAGTTTTGTAGTCCAATACTACTTTTAAAAGAAGCGCAGTTTTTTCTTCAGTCCAAGAAAATTTACCCTTTTTTGCGTTACCTCCCTCCATATTCAGGTTGAACTGTGTTTTCATCACGCACAAAGTTCTGAAAACGTCATGTATGCGGCAATTTTTGAAAAGCGCATGCACGTAACCAATTGAGTTCATCTGGATCTGTTCTTGTGTAACACAAATGGTTCTGGATCGGATCCCGTGTAAACACATTGCCATTTCAGATATTGGATCAAAAAGTATGCGGATACTTTTGGATCCGATCTGGTCCAGGTCTCATGTAAACGGGGTCTTAATATCTCAATAGGTAAAGCACATAACACTTCATCAACATACAATCTATCATTTACAAGATGTATGTTTAATACATATCAAGTATTCTACCAAAAGCTTTGAAAACCGATTAATTTTGTGCTTGCCTCCTAGATTTTTTGCCAGTTGACTGTGATCTTTGTAAGAAAGTTTTCTGGTGGGTATTTAAATGATGCCATCTTATGATGTGTATTGTTAATTAACATTTAATCATATGTAGGACAGCATGAAAGTTTGAGCATTTGAATTTTGGCCATTGTGAACATTTAGAATAATATTTCTTACAATTTAACATTATACACTGTTGTATAAAATATAATTAGCTCAATGAATTTGCATCAAATCGTACTTGGGACAATGAATTGCATTAATAAAAATTTTTGTTTAGCAAGGATCATGTTGGATATGAGCAGCACGCATGTACTGAGAAATATCAAAAAGTGAGAGCAACCTTTGCATTACATATACATTATGATATGAAAAAATTTGACATGAAATTTGTTTTTTGCTCCAAAGTATGAAAACTTTGCTAATGTCCTGTCTATGCAAGTATGTTTTCAAATAAGAATGATAGTTTTATGTGTTTCCTTACCATCTACATGGGAACTAAAAAGAAAGTGGAATCTTTTGTTGATTACAAACATGTTAATCCTTAATCACAATCAGTTAGAAAATCTTTGTGTTTAGCTGTTGCCCTTATATATGTTTTTTAATAATATTATTTTATAACAGAACACAATTTTCTACTATTCACTGCTTTAGATTCATATTTTTAATCACCCAATACTGCCCCCAAGGAATGGAATATTATAAGTTCATAGTGCTACCATTCCTTCACTATCTAGAGAAGATCATTTTTTCCATCAGAATTCCAAAATATAGCATAACCTTGAGAGCTAGGTTCCTGGAAAATTTTCAGAATTGGCAGAAAAATTATAAAGATATTTTACCAGTAAAATCTAAAAATTGAACACATTGTGAGAATATATAATCATTTCTTTGCGAAATCAATTAAGCTTAGTAATAGGCTTATAGCTAGCCAAACCTCTACTTATTAGGTAACATGTTGTGTTTACCTGCATTAATTTTTATTTTCTGCCACATATAATGAACCTTGCTAAATGCCTTTAAGGTAAATGTCATCAGCCTAAATTATTTAGATATGATTTGAAAATAAACACTGAATAATTTTGGTCACCTCAAATGATGTCAGCCAGAAAAATGTGTAAAATTAAACTTGAAGAAGTATGAATTTCCAAATTACCAAATCTGTTTTTATTCATGTTTTAGGATAGAAGAGTTCCTGTCTGCCCATTGTGCAACCAACCAGTTTCAATTAAGCCAGGAGAGATTCCTGACAGAAGGGTAAGCTTAAACTTCTTTAAAATCTAATCTATATGTTTAAAAATTTACCAAAAATTCCAACTGTATTTCTGTGGCAGATCTAAACTACATTATGGCAAAGTATTCAATAGTTCCCATATAATAAAAAAAATTGTATGTCCATTTCTCAGAGTAATTAGGCAACTGTTGATTGCATTAAGATGTCTTAGGATTGCATGAAACATAAAGCACTGCATTGCACCTTACAATCACCCTGTTCTGTAGGCCAAAACATGTACAGCTCTGCCTTTACTGCATTGAGCAGTATATGACTGACTGGTAAAAGTAATTTCTCTTCCCTACATCTATCTGAATATTAAAGCACTTTGAATTTTTTAATTTTTTTATATTTTCATTTAGGTGAATGATCATATAGAAAGTGACTGTAAATCTGATCTGGCTTTAGCAAAGAGAAAGGTATTTTGCTCAGTCTTGAATTGTTGTTTATGAGTTGAAAGGCCTAAAATTCCATCTTTGTTTTTAGAAAATCAGGAATCAAAGTCTTAGAAATGGTTGTTATTATTTGGTGGCCAAAATCTGTCCAAGTTTTTTTATATTTTTTAAGTCTAACTATAAAATGTTTAGTACCTAATATGTAGTACCTAATATGCAGTATGAAATAGATAATTCATCAAGTATGATAGGCCAAATACTGCAAGGTACCTAAATTGTTTTTCATTTTTTTATAATACATTCCAGACATACACCAATAAATGCTCAGTGAAAGGATGCAAACAAAGGGAGGTGAGAGCTAGAATCAGTCAATAAAAGTCAATTTGCTATGCAAGATGCTGTTTTAAACTTTTGTTTCTAGTTAGTTTTTTGCTGTTGATATCAGGGAATGACAATTTATTTTTCTCCCTGCAACTGGAGGAAAATCATGCATAAATTTCCTGTAGGAATGGGAAGATAAACGAAAAAAGGGTAAGGTTCCAACAACTGTAATGATGTGTCACCTGTTTTTTATAAGTAAAAGGAGAAACTACATTATAAAGGTTTAAGCAATTTTACTACCACTACAAAATCAATTTCTGTTTTGGTGACTGAAAATTATTCTTCATCCATGAATGTCTAAATTGAACTGAAATAGGGGCTTAACTATGATATTAATTTCCTAACTTGTGAGAATATTCTTAGGCCAGATAAAAGACTATATTTTCAAAAACATTCTCAAGGGTTCTCAGGTAGGAAAATCAATTTAACCTGTACATAAGATATAATACTTTTGTCTTCATGTTTTTTCCTTTTGATGAACATGAAAGAAACAATGGTACTTTTTACAAGAGGGTATTTTGTAAAATATTTCCTGCAGAACATTATGCAGGAATAAATTTCCTGCGACCACCCGGTTGCATGGTCGGGTGGGTTTTCATGCTCTGGTTGATATGGTTATTTTTCAAACAGTAAGAAGTGTTTTTCTGACTTCGCTAAAAGTAATAGCATAAACCACCTCTGCATAGTTGCCCACTTTGAAAACCATAGTAACTGGTTTTGTAAATCTAGTTCCAATAGAAAGAAGAAAGAAACACCACTGGATGTTGTAGGCAACTTACCCCCATTATATACATTTCATGAAAAGGTTTTGTATGTACTGAAAATTTGCACTATGCAGCTTCTGGTTAAATGTATCATACAATAGACAATATCAAACAAGTATCATACAATTTATGTGTTTTTATCAGCTCGTTCCTGTCACCTGTGCAACTTGTAGAAAGAACTTTTGCTTGCGTCATCGACATGAGAACGATCATGAATGCATAGATCTGACTGCAACATCTTCAAAAGGGTGAGTCATTTGCAAAAACAAACTTGTAGTGAAATCAACCGCTCTAAGGTATCCTTTGTAAAGATTTCTTTACAATTTTTAAAGCTGGGAATCTGTGAGGAAAGTTTTATCAGACTTAGCGAGAAGCTGAGCCTGAAGGTAGAAGCTGAGCGAGAAGGTAGAAAATTATAGATTTAGATAGGATTCAGGTGGGCTAGAATTCGAATTGTCGGTGGGGCTTTTGACGAGCATTTCATATAACAATACAGATAAGTTAATGATCTTATAAGAAATATTTTACTTCTGAAATAAGAAGTTATCAAAATATGAATTTCACGATATGCTTATTGGCCTTTGGATATGATTTCTTCAATTGCATTGCTTGCATATATTTATTATTAATGAAAAGTACTTTTGTACCGATTTGTTATAAAGTGCCCTATGCCATATAGGCAGAACTGTACACGCTTTTGGTGTAAAGAATAGGACGTTTCTAAGTTGCTACTCTGAGTTTCACGCTGTTTATCAATGCGATCATCAGGCACAACTCTCTCTATTGGTATTCACTTGTTTATGAACAAATTTATATGTTTTAAGGTTGATTTTATTCTGATCTCAAACTGTCACTCTCTATGTTATTTTTAAAATCACCTATTATCAGCTGTCAAACTTATTGTCGTTGAAACGTTGCAAATGGTGTTCATGTATTCTTATACTCACTTAGGGTGATGAAGTCCTCTGCTGCTCAAGCTGCTGGGTACGTATGTATATTCACTTAGCTTATCAACTCTTTCAATAATTCCAAGCAATATCATACGAATTAACTGTTTTATCTGATTATACAATAAAACATTGCCATTTCTTTCTTATACAACAATGTATTAGTTGAATGTTCTGTGTTAAAGGGGAATAACCAACTCGATACGATGTTAAGATCGTTAAATATTTTATGTGTAGTTGATTGTGTTGTTAAAAATGGCTTACCTTGAAATAATTTGTTGCTGTTCTCCATCAAGGCAAGCAGCAGCTGCAAGATTTGAATCATATAATACCTCTAGAAGAAAGCAAGCACCCATGCGTTCGACTGCCTCTGCTACTAGTAATACCTCAAACAGGTATATTTCAATCTTTTCCTGCTCTGGTATCATAAATGCCTCCTGTTCCTTTTGTCTATTTGTATTTGAAAACGAATACTGTTTTTCTGTCTGACCTGGCCATATGCAAAAGATGTTTTCTCTGAGCAAAACCTACCACCGATTCGTATGTTTTCGAGGACAGAGATTTCGTGCTCTCTTATGGACGAAGCGGTTTTTAAATTAGTCCTAGCTCGCAGATACAAAAAATGCCAAGGCCGTTTTTTTTAATTATCCAAGCCATTTACTTGTTGACCGCTTATTTTTTGTGCGGATTGAGATTTTTAAAAAAGGGACACAAATTTATCGGTTTTCAGAAAAGTAAAATATATATGGACAGCATCGGTCTTAGGCCACTTTTAGACAGTGACGTAGTTTGCTTTTAAAAGCAAAATAGACTAAATTTCCCTTTTGAAGTCTAAAGGTTATTTCAACACTTATCTTTTAGGGCTATATCGTAACTATGCTACCCGGAACGCCTCCCCCTTTTTAAAGCGCTTTGATTTTAGTTTATATACTTTAAATCTTTAACGGAAGAAGAATTTACTAAGAAGAATTTTTTGATGTCTCTCTTTTAGTAACAAGCAGCTACGGAACCAGTCGAGTTCACAAGGCCATTCGCAGACAACGATACAAAACCACCAAGGGGGAATGGTAATTCAACGTCTTTCATAAACATTCATTATCACCTTATATTCACTTTTTGAAGTCAAAAATTACCTGATAATAGTTGTAGATTTTTCTCCACAACTATTTGATTTTGTTAATTTGATAAAAAAACGTTTCCTAACATCAAGCTTTGAGCTTCAATTTATCTTTCCGTGCAATCTATTTCTTGTAGCAGTACTGCTTCTTGATGTTTGATTTCTCAATCATGCTTTTAATGCATAGGTAATCGATGTGTAAGCCCGCCTTGTCAAGTTTTTTTCGTTGTTATTTGACAGACCGAGGATGAGGCCCTTGCTTTCGCATTGCAAGCATCTCTTGCGGATACTCATCAGCCAAAGGAGGAGGAGCATTCGAGTAACGCAGTTAACAGTGATGAAGACTCGGCTCTTGCCCGCGCAATAGCGCAATCAGAAATCGACGAAAGAAATAGACAAAGGGAGGCTTCTCAGGTGGGTCTTTCACTTTGAAAGATCAGCTATGGTTTTCCCGGGTCTTAATCTTTTTCTAAATTAATTTTTCAATTTTCCCACCAGGGAGCTACATCATATCAGCTCCTTCCGGCTACCAGGCTTTTTAACCTGCTTAACCTACTTTGTTAAATATAAATAAGGCACACAGTCGTAGTCTCTGCATGAAGTTAATATTCCGAGCATTTCTTTCTACCGAAACAAAGAATTATTGAATAACTCAACAAAATGATTTTTTTCATAACATAGCAAGGCCATTATTTATAATTCCCGAAAGCTCAGTTGTGACCAAGATGTATTTACAAATAAATAAAAAAAATTGATTTAAACATTTCGCGTTCGAATTTCTAACGCTAGGCTTTCCAGCTCATGATATCTGAGTTATTCCATTCTTTTCTTCACAGAATCGGACAGAGAAAACCCATTGCAGTGTCACGTGACCTAGCGATGTGGCTTTTATGTCAATCAGGTATATATCGTCGAGCAGATTTATAATTGTTACAAGGCGCCATTGATTGACTCTTCATAAGATTATTGCTAATTCTTATATTAAATGTATTTTATAAAATATTTAATTTATGATTTTTTGCATTACCTGTATATCTTAATTGAAAAACGGAAATGTTCTTCGAAAAGCTTTTCTGCGAAGTTTGATAGCTGACAAGAGCTCGTATGGACCACCTTATTTATCTATGTATGTTCCAATCGATTATGTGGCACGCCAGTCTTTTAGAAAACAACCAGGTCTGGTATTTTGCAATCAAAGTATACTATCAGAATGTGCCATTGACAACCATGTTCTGTAAATTTTAAACTACAAACAGCAAATTTGAGATAACAAAACTGCGAACTTTAAATTATAATCAAAATTTTTAGATCACAAAGCAAAAAATTGTTTGGATCACAAAGGAAACTTCTTACTACAAACTACAAACTTACTAAAATTGTTAGATTGTTAATTTTTTGTTTACCCTCAGAAGCAAAATGCTTTCGAATTAAAGTTTGAAAAGAATTTTCGACAGATCCTTTTGTGCAATTGAGTACTCTAATAATACTACAAACTAATTCCTCTTCTCCAATAAACCCTTTGGAATAAGAATCCCTCTTGTTTTAAATAACTCATTCCCTAACGCTTTTGCGATTTTAGCGAATTGATGAGATATTACACCCCTCTAAAGGCCTTCCACTATTTTCGAATCTGGTACCCTGGGTAGCTGTGAGGGTGAAGGGGGGGGGGCACCTAGACATATGAAATATTCACCTTGAAATTCTCTACCACATAGATAAATTGTTCAATTTGCAAACGAATTCCTTACCAATTTCCTTGATTACAACCTGTTAGGCAGGGCCCAGAGAACATGGCAGGCAGATGGTCGAAGTCCGTGCGGAAGACTAGGAAAAATAGCCACGCCCAAACCCCCCATGTCTTCGTTTTATGGGGACGGCTATCATAGTTTGATGGTTTTATTCGAAGGAAGGATGAATACATTTCTGGATTGTTCTATCAGAATTTAACAAAACAGGTCGAGTCGAGTTACAAAAGGGTGCTGTCCCGGCGGGCTCAGTCAGTTGGTCAAACGAATATTGTACGAGTTCCGAAAAACTCGGAGAAAGGATGGTCTGAAAGTTAGAATTCTATGACATAGCATCTTGAAAATAGGGTTGATTTTTTCGAGATGTAGTGAAGTAAGCAATATGTTGTGTAGTGAAGTAAGTGATACGTTGCATTTATGGTTTTACAGCTGTCTGATTTTGTTAATTTATATCAACAGCCATAAGGGATCGTTGTAAAAATCATCTATAGTGAATTCTGCTCTTTAATATGCTTTTTGACATGAGGTTAAGAAATATAATGGTTCTTACATTAATTGGTTTCAAAAATACTTGCTCAAGATTGAGTATTCTCAGTGAAAAGGGTTTGAAAAAAATGGCAAAGTCAGACAAAAAAGACATTTTACGCAACCCAGAATCAGAGATTAGGGCCTAGTTTCTACTTTCATGATCACACATGATATACAGTGGACCAACTGACTTAGCCCGCCGGGGTGCTGTCGGCATTTGGATAAACTAGGCCCCGCATTCTTGACTAGTACAAACTTACGTTTATTCTATAGTGACTTTCTTAGTGTCAACATGCATTTCTTGTCTCTTGTTTTATCTCTTTTCGCAGTTTTAGAGAAGCAGAAAGTTAAAAGCAGCAGTCACATCGAACAGGGTTTTGGTGCCTTAAAAAAATTAAATGGTTTGCCTCTGCTAGTCCTAGATTAGAATTATTTGCAGCACAAACTCTCGTTGATCCTTGTGGCTAATATGCCAAATTGTTAAGCATAGACGTAGGAAACATTTGAAAAATGGGGGGAGAGCACCTAGAACATCTCCCTGTGTTCATGTTTTAGTGGTGTTGACTCTATTTATCAATGGAAAGTGTTGTCTATACATTTAATGCCATAGATGCCGATGATACCTGCATCGTAGAGGATTTGGGAGCGGCTCACTTTATTTTTGAACCTTGCACAATAAATTGTACTTAAAAATTAGCAATCGTGAGTTCATAGTTTAACTTTTATCTTACCTCTCTCACCTTCTGTTATTCGCCTTCCCCAGGCTTCAAAATTGAGAGAACTACTTTAATATGCCACGTGGCAAGTTTCCCGCAAGACGCCTAATATGCGATTGTTACAACGACGAGACATAATGATCAGTGAATATCACATCAGAAATATTCATCAATTGTAGGTGACCAGATCATTCAAAAATAAGGCTTTCCTTAAATATTGTTAATTGGCATCAAGGTTCTATTAATACACCGGCTTTCAATTACTTTGAACATGGTCTTGAAAATCAAGCAGTTAAGTGTTCGCTAGGGTTTTGTATTCAGTTTATAAATTGATCTTTTACAGTTTTGCATCAGGTCCTGCTCCAAAAAAATTTGTCAACACCAGAAGGATAGGCTAGAGTCGCAGCGCATAGAATTGATTTGACGGGGATGGAAGGCTAAATGTTTTTGGTAGCTCAAATAGCAAAATGCCAATTTGAGAGTTATGTGGGCTCAGCCCCTTCAACCCCCGCTTCCACAGTCTCTGAAAATATGTAAATATGGTTTTATAATAGGGTGAGTCTGGCACCTTGGGAAATCTTGATCATTAAATCATTAAAAAACTGGGGTATTTGTAAATATATTTTGGAACACTTTTATTTTAGTCTGTCTCAGTATTAGTTTCACGATTTAAAGGGTAACAGAGACACAAGTTCTAGGCCAAACGATATGTCAAGGCAAAGTTGAAGTGCGTGAATAATGAATGAATAGAATACATTATTGCTAAAAATGAAATGTAAAAATTATTACATGTTTACAATTTCAAGTTTTGCGTGGCTATATTAATTTCCTTGATAAGCTCAAAAGACCTTTCAATGCACGCAAAGAACTGGTTAATCAAAGAACAGATCTTGCATTAATCATCAATTTAGTTTCTGCAAACATTAATTTGTTGGTCGTTTGTTAGAATTGCAATGTTTTTCCTTTAAAACCAATTAGCTTTCTTAAAACTGGACTTGCTACAAGTCTCTCTCTATCCATTTAGTAATCTGAAAAATATAGAAAAGGAAAAAAAGAAAAAATATAAGGGAAGGAGAGAGTCTCTCTCGTTCCCTCCCGTTTTTTCTTTTTTTTCCTTTTCTTTATTTTTCAGAGGGAGAGACTTGTAGCAAGTCCATCTTATAGCCAGAATCTGTCGGAACAGCAAGACATTCTTGGCAAAGAAATCAAGCTTTAACTGATTAGCCAGCCCCTCGAAAGTAATTGTACAGACTAATAAATGTGGTTGGAAAAATTCTTAAGACTTGACTCCATTAATTAGAACATCCAGTGAGCTGAGCTGAGAATAATCATATTGATGGACTTATGTAGCTAAACAATTGATGGTAATGTTGGGAGGTGAGAAAATATTTTTGAACCAGTAAATCAGAGCTACTTGGCAACAAGGCTTCCTTGAAGAAAATGGAAAAGGTGCTGGATGTCCGGCGGGCTCAGACAGACAGCTCCAATGTATATAATGTGTGTTCCTAAAAGTAGAAACAGGATCCTAATTGCTGACTGTGGGTTACGTAAAATGTACCCTTTTCTCTGACTTTGCCAAAAAAAATTTAACCCTTTGCACTGAGAATACTCAAGCTTGAGCAAGTATTCTTGAAACCAATTCATGAACCATTCCATTTCTTAACCTTATTTCGAAAGGTATATTAAAGAGCAGAATTCACAAAAATTGATTTCAACAACGATCCCTTGTGGTTTTGATATAAATTAACAAGATAAGACAGCTATAAAACTATAGATGCAACATATTGCTTACTTCACAACGCTGTGTTCAATGTTTTTTATGAAGAAAAGGAAAAGTTGCTTCAAATTCCAAATAATACCATGCAATCAGTACAAACTAGCAAAGACCTAAAATTTTTATCTGGGATTAGAACACAAGACAAGGCTAGATGATACTGCAAAATTAGTGGTACTCAAATAGCCATCGATTCACCAAAGAAATTATCTGTAACATCATATCATTAAATTCCTACCCTTTTGTGGTTCCTCTGACTGAGCAAAAAAGGAACCCTATTTTCAAGATTCTATGTCCCAGAATTCAACTTTTCAGACCACTTTTTCTCAAAGAGTTTCGGAACTCACATAATCTACGTGTGACTACCTGATTGAGCCCGCCGGGACTGGATAGTGTGAGAGAAAATGTGCAAGTAACGATAAGCAATTAGTTTTTTTTGCAAAATTTCAACATATCACCATGAGATCAGTGATATCATATTTCTTAGAATTTGCTTTGCTTTGAAAAGGCCATCATCATTGCTCTCATCGCACTGTCTAGAAAATGGCCCTGTCAAGAAATAGAGCCATAAAGGACTCATTGCTTACATAAAATCATCATTAATCATACATAAGAAACTCATGATTTATTATCGTTCAACCACTTAACAAGCAACCACTGAACAAGCCAACAGAACATGTTTCATGCATTTTCGATTACTCGGGAGTTTAGCAGATGCATTATGTACTATCTTACATCTTTTCCCGTCGAAATATATTTTTTCCCCGCAAAGAATTTTAGTGACCACCGTTGAAAACACATGATTTGAGAATTTTCTCCGCCGAATTTTCAATACCCATTGGGGGCATTACTGAGGAGGGGGGTGTAATGATGGAAGGAAAACATATTTTTGATCATATTCTTGCATAATCTTGATGTACTTTCATTCCCTGTCAAATGGTATGATAGCTGATAAGAGTATCTCTCAGACTTGTTCGAGCTATTCAAAAATAGAATATTGGGTAGTCATGGGCAATGCCGGACGCTGGGCAATCACGGACAAATCTACTAAGAAATATTTTTTGAATCTGTCGTGATCATTTGATGAAAATCTTTTTAAAAAGCATGTTTTGGTACCTTTTATGTTTACTTTTTCCCCTTTTTGAGCTCCTTTGCTGTATGCGCTAATGAATAAATGTGTTTTGGATGCATGTCGGTGAAGTGAATGGCCCTAAATTTCCTCTATTTTCTACTCTTCGAAATCGAGAGGTCGCTCTCTCCAATGATCAGGGAATGCTCAATGTTTTTTATTTGACCTCATGCTATGATTGATTGCACGATTGATAAATATATTTGGATTGGATAACAAGGGTATCCTCATCGCATGGCACGATATTGAGATTCCCCAGCATTTCTGGACCAAGTAGATTGCACGTGCGCATGGGCAATGCCGGACAGCTAATGGGATGATTCCCTGAAAAATGGCGTGGCCAGAAAATTTTGATAAAACCCATACTGATGGAATAAATTAGCCCTATTCCCGGCAAGAGATAACAGTTTTCCAGTTTAATATTGTTCTGTGCAAGATCACAATTGATAATACGAGATCGGATAAAATCCCGGCTTTTTCGTCAGAGCTAATTATTGTCAAACCTTTGATTATACATGTTTTCAACTAATAAAGACATTTCTCGGGAAAGTATTACCATTTTTCACCTCAGAAGTAAACTCTTGCCTTATCCCTAGCCCCCTGGCCTTATTTTGTATTTTCATTTAGATCACCAAAACTGTGTTGTGTTTAATCTGACTGCCCACCATTACCCATGGATGCCCCATATTAATTAATCACATTGAGTGATTAGCGTTGATTTAAAAAAAACAACAAACTATGTAAATGTAATGTAAAAATAAATTCATCAGAAAATTTCGTTATAGATATGGTATAGATATCGAAAAGAAATAGTGGTATTGACAGATTGGTAAAATAATTGAATGTGTCCGACATTACCCATGACCGCCGTTAGCGGCGAAACCATACAAAATAAAATTGATATATAATTACAATTTTTTAATTTTCGATTAATTTACTCTTTTAATGATTAATATATAGACCATAGTGGCTGGATATTTTCAATACTGAACTAATGCAAAGCAAATGTTTAGTTTACAAAAGAGTTGGATTACTTTGCTTCACAACCATTTCACCCTTTTGGTATCCATCTTGTGTTGTGATGTGTTAGTGTACATTCGCAGGTAGCTGATTGGTTCATTGCACAGCTGAATAGATCCAGACCTCTTGTCCACGTTCGCCCAGCGCGCATGCATAATGAGCTTGACAAGGTATTGCCATTGCAGTCACATGGCGTCGAAAACCTCGGAAATTATGTGCTACAAAGTGCAATTTACCAACTGAAATAATGGATACATAAATAGATTTCACTGGTTTTACTTGCTTGTTAGATCAAGCATTGATTTATATTTTCATTCTTGTTATTTGTTTTGAGTATACAATATTCTGGGTGTTAATTCTAATAGAAGTAGGCCGTTCCCTCATTTCGAAGGAGAGCAAGGTGGTAATATTTGATCATGAGTAGTGTGGAAGTTGCTCCTCTGACAGAGGCGAAGCCGTTAGAAGATGGAGATTTGACTTCAAAAAATGACGAACTACCATCATCTCCCGAAGCCGATGACGAGAAGATGGATCAGGGCAAGGACGGGAAGAAAAGCCCCGAGTCTGCGCGTGCACCGGCCACTGGCAAGAATCCATGGGGAAAAATGAAATCTCAGCTAGGCCAAGGTATCGTTCAAAACTCTTATGTGTTTTTTTACAATAAGAACCCAAATACCAGGAAAATCTTTGATTTTCTCTCTACTGTATTTCCTATTCTTTGTTATGAAACTCATGAGATTGACAGCCGCTCTTATTTTTCAGAAGAGAATCAGTCTGATGCTCAACCGAAAACCGACGGACCTGAAATTCAAGAAACGATCAAAGGCCATGGAAAGGTACCTATGGGGTTTCATATAAGTTCTAGCAATTTTTCTCTATGCCATTTGTTAAATAGAGTAATTTTTCTGTCATCATTATGAAATGTCCGAGTATTGATTTCAATCGGGCGATTATGGCCTATCAGATGTAAATTGAATTGAGTTACCTGCAGGTCTATAATGGTGTCTCTCACAACTAGACCGTCGTATATCAAATATATGAAACTTACAAAGCTTAAATGTTGCATCATATTATCTTTTGTATTGTACCATTAAATTTATGTTGTGAAGTTTTGAAGGCAGAATCACAGTTTGAAGACATTTATTATGTGCTCGCAAAACACTTTCAATGAACTTCGGGTGGCATTCCTTGTTTACATTTCCAGTAGTTCGACCATGTGCTATAGACCATATATTTGCTTTTGCATATGTTTTTCGAGATTTTACTTGACATTCTTTTTCGTTAGGTCTCAGAGCTTGCAGACATATCTAACTGGCCAAGCCTGGGGGAAGCATCCAGCAACAGACCTCCACAGGTATCATACAAAACTTGAGTTTCTTCTTAAACCAAATTATATGCTGTGTGCTCTCAACTCTTTCGTATTTTGCCTTTCAAAATCGTTGTGTTGAAGGCTTTCTAGTTGTTACCAAAACCAAAACAGTAGGAAGGTAATACAGTTGGTCTGTGTCTAGTTATTACTCACTGTCAGGTTACTTTGTGTGCATGGTCTAACAATAGACAGATGTTATTTCATTCCATATCAAGAGGGATATTATTGTGATAAAAGCTATTAAAGTGTTTTTATTTTTAGATCCATTATGATAATGTAAAATCAAGAAAATTTCAATTCTTGAAATTTAAATTTTTGTATATCTTCATAAGCTGATAATTGCATTAACTATGGACTTGAAAAAATATTACAGCCATCCTGTTTTATGCAACTAAGAATGTACAAATCTGAATATATGACAACAAGCAATATATGATAGCTAGTAAAAAGTAACTGCACTAATGATTGTGGCAATTTATGTTCACATAAATTTGATCAGGTCTGTTGTTTTGAAATTTTTATGAAATTCTCACAGCCTACTTTATTTTAGACTGACTAAATATTTGATTATGCAATCAGTTAATGGTACAATAAGGCATAAGCTCTCAAAAACCAGTACTTGTGTGCTCTCCAACATAATTCAATTCAGTGGACTTTTGTTTCCATGGGAACAACAAGTTATTTTGTGTGGCACAATTGGGCCAAACAATTTATTTGTTAATTAGATTTCTGCCAATGTGAGGCTCGGTATGTAGGATATATTAATAAATGATCAATCAATCAAATGAAACAGCTTGTTCCCACAAGTATCAGGCAAAAACAGTCCTCAAAAGAGAACAGTCACAGTGAATTTGAAAAAGCAAAAATGCCCAAATAAAATGTGATTCAGCAATTGATCAAAATTTGCTCACAAATCCAGAGTGTGCAAAAATATGACATGACAAAATTTCAAGATCTACTGGTCAGCAAGGTTGTCTTTTCATTAGGAGTTTTGGAGAGAGTTCATTATGGACTTTCAGCTACTCTCGGGTGCTTAATACAAGGGGGTTCTTAGTAGTTGGGGGGTTGGGAAATTTAAAAAAAAATTATAAGCAGCTGGTCTTAATAAACAGGGGAGTGGGAAATTTGTAAAAACGGATTTTTACATTAATTTAGGAGACAAGTGCATTTTATATGTTAGGACTCTTCAAGAAACAAATTTTAACAAGTGAAACACAACAAAAACAACTAAAACAAATCTCTCTTCAAACAAACCATATAAAAACCGTTATTCTACTGCATATGCATGAAAATCATAATGAGCCTTGCACAAAGAATCAACTAAGCACTCATCTTTATTCCTCTCAGGTTACTTTCAATCTACACCCAGATATTAAAGGCATTGAGTCATGATAAATAGACTGGGTATACCCTAAGTGCCAAAATCTGCTGAGTCATGATTTCCATGACTGCGATGCTATTGGTTGACCTTGAACTGGTCACATGAACTCACCTCGTACTGATTAACATAACAGTTTCCATCAATAGCAAGTTGTCAACAACGGATGCCAATATCACATGAAACAGCAGCGATCAGGCCAAAACCAAATGACCCCCTATAGAGAAAGCCTATTTACCATGACTCAATGACTTTAATATTCAAGCTTACTTTCAGTCAGTATTGGACATTTATACCAGGAGCAGACACTTGGTCAAATATTGAGGGGGGGGGCAAGCCTATTGTTTTGATAAAATGATGTCACATTTTCCATTGTTTTAGAACAAAATTCCATTGTCTTCCAAATTATTAAGGAGGGATGACCCCCCAGTTTTCCATCACTGATTTATACCTTGAAGAGTGTCAGACGAAAAGTACTTCAGTATGCTATGTTTCTGCTATGACATGCGTTCTTGAAATTTTGCTGTAGCAAAAACTAATTTGTTAAAAATTGATAAGTGTGATCAATGCCTCTGTTGACAAAATTCAGTTAAGGAAGCCACTTGCATTCCAAGTGGTAGTATGGTTGTAGCCTAAAGCCTGGTTCATAGTTCTGAACTTATTAGCTTACGCTAAATTCTGCACAAGGGTAAGCTTTGAAGCATACGCCTTTTCATCTTGCATTTCCAAAAAGCGTAAACATGTACGTTTTCCGCATGTCCATGCGGGAAGCTTGAAACGATACGCCATAAGCTTTTTCGGTTCATAGTTTCCAGACATGCTGTCGAGGAATGTTCCTCTTGCCCTTCTACTTGTACGGAGAAAAAATAAAAAGAACAGCAAACATGCTGGTATATTCTACCTACAAATACTTTACGAACCGTTTGCGGGAATTGTGCCGTTATTGTCAACGATTCGCGTTTGATGTCAATGATTCCGGTATAAATAGCCATTTTTCTCGCTCCTGTCCAATAATTTAATATTTGTCCCGATTTCTTACCCTGGGTTCCAGACCGACAGTTCTCTAGCAAGGAATCATACATGTGGGCGTATTTGTGTATCTCTTCACAAAGTTTTCCTTCAAAATCGGCCATTGCTAAGAAATTTTCCGTACGGAAGGCAAAAAAAGTTGAAGATTTCTCAACTCGATAAGTTCAAGGCATACGGGTTTGCGGAAAACAGAATGAACTTCCGTATGCAAGACCTATGCCTCTGATATGGGGCGAAATTTAGCGTACGCTAGCTCTTTGGCAAGCTGACACCAGACAAGCTGGCGCCTCCCGCAGAGAAATAAGGCGTACGGGTAAAAGTTTTGATGTAATGCATCGACTATGAACTGGGCTTAAGAGTAAATGGGAGTCAAGTGCACCTCCTGTGGTTATTGTCACATGAATAACTCAGAAAGGAGTCTCAACACATGCCATCACATGTGATTTACTTTATGCTATCAGTAGCACTCAGCAAGGTTATTCTATTGTATGCCTGTAACATTGTTTTCTCCAGCCTTTTCATTTACCAATGCTTGCTATAAGTGGATTGTAGCACAACTTCTGGACAGTTACATGCGTTATAAGTTTATTGTGTGACTGTTGTACCAACTGTAGAATAAACTTTAGTGTGTAGAATAAGATGGTTCAAAAATTACAAGTTCCACTGTGCAGTCTTGGCTTCATAATTTCAAGATATCTATGTTCTAAAGTTTATGATGTTTCCTTCAGGTTTCAATTATTGTTTAGTATCTAAGTTCATTCAAACTATTAAATTACTTCCTGACACATTCCCTGGTGCAACAGCTCAATATTCTAGAAAGTCTTAACTAGGCTTGAAAGTCAGCTCAGTATTGCTCCAAATGTCTGTGAAAAATAAATCTGCAAGAAAATGAAAAAGTTCTACCCCAGTTTGGATTCTCTGCATTGAAAATTGAGGAATTTTTGTTTTCTGCCGATCGGTTGAAAAACTTAATGTAACCCCATACCATAATTTAAAGAATGAAATCAAATGAGCATTTGTGTCAATAATGTGCAGAGGTGCTGCAGTGACTTACAAAGGAAAAGAGTGTATATAGTAGTATATTTTATGGCTAAAGTTGGATGAATGTATTTGAAAAATGGTACCTCAAATTCATATGAACCTAGCTTCAGTGGATCCATGAACATTTATCCCTGTTCTCTCTGTGTGAAGACCAATGATGTTGTTAGTGGATAAAAGTTATAGAAAGAGGAGGGTATAAAAGTATAAATATTTCTCCAAAAGTACATAAGGAACAAGCCATTTGACTGAATACTGTGTAATGGTAAAAGTGTAATTTTCCTTTTCAAGGATTTGATCCCAAAAGCACTAATAAATGAAAGCTAGTTCTGACAAATTTTAAGCTTAGCATTACCTGTAACTGAAATTTTTTTTTTGTAAAAACAGCATGCTTGTAAGGTCAACTTCAGGTCCTGGTTATATCTTGTTGTTAAACACATATTAGTGAAAAAATCACTATTTACAAATATAATTCACATCCCTTAGAATTTTTACAAATGTAACTTGTCAAATTCTATATAAAATCATTTTCATTCATCATAACAATAAGAAACTTATCATTGATATTTTGGTAAGCATTTCAAAGACATTTCAATTATGATTAAACTATGTGTCAATGGCCTCCACTTGTTCCATGTCCATAAAGTCCAGACTTTGGGTGACCTTTGGAAAAACGTTTGGATGGTCAAACTGACTTTGAGCATTTAAGGATGGTTTACATTTTTGTAAAAGAGAGATTTCCTTTAATGGCAGACCAGAAAAACTTGCTTGAATCGGATAATACATCTCCTAAAGTTGCCTAGAGATCTTGCAAACTTTAGTACAGTTGCTGATAAATTTGTTGCATATAAAAATATGTGGAATTTTTAGTTTCCCTCTCTCACTATTTGTCTGAATGAAAATAAATCTAATGTTTACAGAAATGCTCTATTCTTTCATGAAAAATTTAAATTCCTGAAAAACAGTGAGATGGCCTTGATTGATTAAGGTTCTGTTAGATGTTCAGCAATAATTATTGTCTCTGTTTAGGAGCTAGTGGGCCTTACCAAATCAAAGCATTATTATTTTAATAGTGTCTGTCATTGTTTGTACATGCCTTTCAGAATTTGTTGATAAAATTTATGCAAAGATGATCTTTGTCCCGTCTTGTCTCCTTGTAGTAAGATTGTTGAAAGTGTGATAGACCATTTCCTAATTCAGAGAGCCATGACTTGAGTGTGGCAAAACAAGGTCCATCGCTAATTAAGGAAATTCAGATTTTCATTCTAAAAGTATTCTTCTCTAAATTTGAAAAAAGTTTTCCAACCAAAACAATGGAAAAACAGCTTCTATCAGCCATGCTGGTTTACACCACCTGAACTGTTTGGAGTAGCTGCCAAACAATATAATTCCAAAAAAGCGTAGCAAACTCTGAGTTGATCTATTTAGACAGTTTGAGCTGTTTCATTGTTGAGCTATCAAAGCTATCCTTAGAGTTGAGATACTCTTGCACAGATAACTGCTAAATTTATGGACCAAGGGAGTTGTCAGTGTGATTTTTAGTTTTAAGCATTGTCAATCTAGTGCATATAGAAGCAACTCTGTAAAGAATTTCAAATTTTCTGCCATCTGGAGTACCCCAATATCAAAAGTACACTTAGAACATTTCTTCAACACGCATCCAAAATAAGAAATGTGTTTCAGTTAAAAGACAGTCTCCAAAATTTGTCCCTGGTTTTTGATGTTTCAAATTTTGGTCTCAATTTGACATAGTATGAATGTTTCAAAAGGATACATTGCAATGTGTTTCCTGACAAGTGCACCTTCAGTAGTCACAACCTTGATTGACAGCTGTAATGTAGTTCAACGTAGTTCAAGTCTGGTTGAACTTTAGAAAGCACAATATAGCTGACAATTTTGTAAGCCATATCATTTTGCTGTTTTCTAGGCCTAAGCATCTTTATTCCATAATGTCCATGGTAATAGTTTTACTATGTCAAAGTGATTGGCCTGAATTATTTTCTAAGGCTTTACATGGTCCTGAACTGCATGGCTGCATAAAATAATTTCTTTCTGGGAACTTGTTACACAAGAAAAAAAACGTTTGCATCTTGTGTGTCTTCAAGGTGATGGAATTTTCATCTTCCAAAAACTTTTATTTGACCAGCAGTACCACACCATACAAACTAATCATTTGCATGTAACTTGTAACTTTCAATGGCATTCAACTTATTTTTGGCAGTCTCTTGGTGTTCCATAGTGGTGCAATAGGTTGAAGTCATATAATTATTATTTAGATTTGCTATTAGAAAAGTCTTTGTAAAAAAGTACAGTTTCTGTTCCTACATTTTTGACATAATTATTTGAAAATCTAATGAATTGTTCTATTCTTTTGCTCTTTAAGTGCCAGTAATGTGCAAATTTCATCTGTCTAAAATATCTTTTTTGTGTTATTAAAAAAGGCAGTTGACAAAGTCCCAATAGCTCCCAAGGCAGGGAATGGAAATGGAAGCAGCAAAAAAGAAAACAGACCAGAAGAAGTTCAACCTCCAGAGCAAATAACTTCTCCAAAAGGAACCCCAAAGCGAAAAGGTAACATTAACTGATTTTGTTAAATCTTTCACTTTTAATTAAATTTACTTTTGATGAATTAAGTTAAAAGCAAGCAGTTATGATTGAATAGATTTGATTTTTCAATATGATACTGGTAGTGCACCCATCACTAGGCAGTTTAACTTGTATCTGTAAGTTTGAACATAATTAAAACATTTTTTTCTTGTGAATGAGATACCAATTGACTGTTGTATCATTCAATGTCCAACTCTTAGATTCCAAAGGATTGTTCTACAGTTATAACAGTCAGATTCTAATTAGTTTAAGTAAAGGTTATTTCAGTTGTTCATTTAGATTCCCTAGAAATAAAAAATTAAATTTAAAGTTATCTATGACCTTAGAAGTTTTTCAGATTTAGATGTTTATCAGATTCTCAAGATCTAAAATTTAAGAATACTTCTTTATTTTGAAGATGGAAGTCAATTTCTAGAACAGCTGTGTATACAGCGAAAGAGTAAGGTGCAATGTATTTCTTATCTGCCTTTTAAGGATTGAAACAGAAATGGGTACCATTGAGTATTGATCCTCCAACATACTCTAACTCTGGGTCAAGTCTCAGTCCAAGAGGTGATAGATCACCCGAAGATAGAAGCCAGGGTCGTGGCAGAGACTTTAGGTCGTTCAACAACGCTGGACCATATAGAGGAAGAGGAAGAGCTAGAGGTCGAGGGAGAGGACGAGGACGTGGAAGAGGTACTGTCAAAGCATCATCATCATCATTGTTATTATTTTTTAGTTAGCAGGCTCCTTCTTCCTGCCGATGACCAACTTTTGTACATTGATGTTACTCCATCATATACAGCTTTTTTGATGAAAATGAAAGCTATAGGCATCAGTTGTTTTGTTTTGTTATTAGCATGGTCTAGTCTTTAACAACTTTCAATTATTTTATTTTTAATTTATTAGGGATGTGTCAATTATTCTATTCTTAGTCAATTAGGGATATTACTTAAGGAATCAATATTATTAAAGTAGTACTAAAAGCTTGTGATTTGAACTGCTTTAAGCTTGAAAAGGTATAGGTTTCTTGGCTTGAAGAAATTTTTTGCTAGTTATCAGAAAGAGAGCCTAAATTATGCTGTAGAAAAAAATTTTCAAGTTTTTTTCGCATTCATGGGCTATTTTATTGTCCTTTCATTGCTTTGTGGATTGTGCCACAATAATTTTTCACATAAAATCAGTGTCAAATCAGTGATGTCTTTTTTTGAAAAAAATTGTACTTCTTTCATGATTTGAAGTAAGGCATAAAAAATAGTGAGTTTGTTGCAGTTCTTTAAAGGTGAAAGGTCTCTTGATGATATTTTGCTGTTTCTCGTATTTCAGGCGGCTATGACTATGGAGGTGGATATGGTGGTATTCCCATGGCAACCTATGTTGATGGACTTTTTATACCCCAACCTTATGTTGCTCAGTATTATTATGAAAATGCAGTTGGAATGCAGCAACCACCACCACCTGCTGGCAGCTCTGAGGATGAGATCTTGAAAGAAATGATAAAAAAGCAAATGTAAGTTTAATATCAGTTATGATTAAAAGCATGTATAGATCATTTTTATAAATCTTTCATTAAATTGACATACTTTGTTTTATTTAAATGTATCATACTTCTTGTTGTGCAAATCTTGCTTCTTTTTGCTTGTTTAAGTAAGATAGTAAACTGCCACACAAGTGATCTTTAATTCATTGTGTTTTTAATTATAGAGAGTATTACTTCTCAGATGAAAACCTCATTGGTGATTTCTATTTGCGACAGCAGGTTTGAATTTTTATGTTATTAAGTTCATAATTAAATGTTGCATTTTAAGTCATATTACCCTATAAATTTTGGAAATCAAGTCAAAAAACCAAAATATACAATGTATTATATATAGAAGTATACAATGTATTATATATGGAAAAGCAAACTGATTTCTGTAGTCTTCCAAATACCGCAATATCACTTTCCATACTGTAAACTGACAGCAAAGTCTTGCCTGCAGGTAGTCCTTTCCAAAACATGTCGCTTGCACAATTGTTTCAATTATATGCACAATTTTTCACATCACCATAGCAACAAACGACGAAACATGGCAATCTTTATAACACAACAGGAACAGCTAATGTTCCAGCTATTCGTTTTTACGCTTCAGGTTGTCATTTGCTTTGGTAGTTAATTTCAAAATTTCTACAAGGAGCCCAAATCTTGATTTATTAGGCCGTTTGCTGTCAATGAAAAACGTTAGAATTAAGTCTTACGATGAAAATGCTTGTGGACTGCTTTCTACAGAAGACGATAAAGCTTGTGAACTGCTGTCTATAGTAATACTAGAGTGTAATAACATTGAATAAAAATAGGAAACAGAATATTGACTACATCTCATTAAATCTTCAGAAGTATCATACTCTATCACAATATCCTGATAATTTTCTAAAGATTCCGAGATTCGAAGTTGTTTTTTAGTAAGCAGCCTCAAGCCTTGTAATTCTCTGAATCCTTGCTGCTGCTATTTATCATTTCTTTGATCTAGATTTTGATGAATAGCACGTGATCATATGTTATGACAGATATTTATTGGTGATAATGTTAGAAATGCAAGTACTTCCGCTTTGTCGCTGAGGCTTCCTCGTTTAGATGATTATCACTTTCTGCTTGTCTTTGAATTCTTTTATACCATTTGTTACCAGATTAAACTTTGAGTTTTCAAACCTTTGAAGTGTCATTCAGATACTTATTCACTCTTTGTTTACAAATACCTGTTAATTAACAGTTGTAATAACATGAAATATAAACAAGTCTCAGAAAACAAAGGTCCACGTGGAATCTTTGATAGTTTTTAAGAAGCATGTAGTAACACCTGCCAAAGTCACAGAGTTTTGATAAGACATCATTTTACGTCTCTTGCAACCACAAATACGTATATTAGCAAATATTTTAACATGATTTATATTAATTGGTGAAAACCTCAAGAAAAAACATTTCATTTCCAATCCATTCACGTCTTTGTGCTATTCATAGTATACCCGTAAAGGGGACAACTTTAAGCAGGATGTGTTTACATAAAACATGTGTGGTGCTAACATTGACACCTCTTGCAAAATTATGGTCAGTTTGCGTATCCTCCTGCTGTTCGTACGCCTGTTAAGATTTGCATTTATTTTTTCTACTACGTTCATTAGCGATTGACCTTTAAACATATAGATGCCTAAGAATGAAGGAATATATGTGGGAAAATGTAAAAGCCGAAGTTCCTGAAGTTCCAAGAAATTTTTCCTGAAATTTTGATTGTATGGCCTCGTTTTGGCTTACCTTTGCTTTTGTCCGGGCCCTCGATACCATGTGAGCTTTTGTACCCGTAGTTATTAAACATTTCTCTTTTTCTTGTCTAGATGGATGAAAACGGATGGATACCATTGGCAATGGTTGCCAGCTTCCGAAGAATACAACAATTAACACAAGATCTAAGCACTATCCTAGAGGTAACAATCCTTTTTGTAGGCCCTTACCCGTGATTCACAAAAACGATCTAGTCAAAGGCATTCTGCCCCCTCTTTGACTGCCTTTTAAGCGTCCGAAATTAGTTATTGTGGGTAAACATGACAAGAAAATGCCTAACCTCTACAATATCGAAACTGACTTTGACGTTTTACACCAAAACAAAATTCACAGCAACTCGCTCAGGGAGAGTACAATATGGTGGCTATTTATTCTGATTGGTTGTTTGTGCATTAAACCAACGATGCATGAATATCATGGCCATGAAAAGAGATATAAGAACAATGGCGGACATGCCTTTTAATGATTTTGATTGTGTAGTTTTAAACAGACAAGGTCTTGATGACAGTTATTGAATTGGCAGCCATCCAGACTAGCTATTTACAGGCTCATAAGTTATATACAAAAATATAGTTAGAGCACTTAACTTTAAACAATTAATCTGTGTTCTTGTTAGCATTGTGTGATTATTCTCTCGTAGTCTGTGAAAAGCAGTGATGTTGTTGAGTCAGATGGAGCCCGAGTGAGGCCTAAGGAGAACCCATCACAGTGGCCTATTGTCATTAGAAAAAATGCTGCTGGTGAGCCTTAGTGTAATCTGTTTGCCCTCTTTCACATTTTCACAAAGATATTCTATAAGCAATACGAGGCTACCAAATTTGAAGAGTTTTATTGATAAATGCTTTCTGATTTCAAATGCATTAGCTACTTTCTTTGCCCTCGTTAAACGTTATCGTGTACTTGCTTTGACTTTATACTATTTCACCTGCTCAATAACCAGAGGAAAAATTGAATGAGTTTTATTATGGATTTAGCAGGGGTGGAAAAAGTATTGGACCACAGGACCATTTGGTCCCGGGAATTATTTTGGCACTCCCAGAAGAAACCAAAAACATATATAATCAGGTACAAAAACTCTGGAAAGATTCGAATTCAAGAAAGAGAAAGAAACTTGGACATAGTATCGATCAATCATTATCTCAAAAATGTAAAATTATCCTGAATTTTAAAAAAGGCAACATAGCAAACTAACGTGTTTTTTTCTGACGCTCGTATAAACGTGAGGTAATTTCCAAAGGTAAATGGATATTTATATGCAGATGTGCATTGAAAGCAACACGGCGGGGGAGGGGTGCTGAGTGGCTTGTTTGATTGTTTCCTTACTTATTTGCTAACCCCTCTCCTAATTGAAAACCAAAGATCTTAAATGAAAAGACAATCTAGCTTGTCCAATGATTTTGCAAATGTCCAATTTTTGTCACTACACATTTTGTCCCACTCTGGGTAAACCAAATTTGACCGATCTGCAACTGCTTAGTATACGTAACGGGACTTAGAGTTAGATTGAAAGCTGAAGATATACATAAATTATACATAAACCTTTAATGATATATTGATCATTAGAAATTCTAATTTTGGTCAAATCAGAAACTTTAAACTCAAAATAATTTTAAGCCAACTTAAAAAACTTTGCTTTCCCTTTAGGTGAGAGTAAAGCCTACAAGTTGGCTCTTTTGCAGGCAGTTGACAGTAAGTGCAGATTCAAGTTGTTTGAGTAGATTTGTGAATTTTGCAGCTGTTGTGACCATTGTCTTGTTAGTTATCACTTTCGTTGCATAACAATGAGCATGAATAATCACACTAGGCCTCGAAAATATTCCGCCTTGTCGGGAATAAATTATAAAGGGCACGTGGAGGGCTTGTGGCGAGAATGATGGAGTAAAAGAAAATCCCAAATTCGATTAAAAAGGCTTAAAATGGCTTAGATTAAATGGCTTCATCATTGTGACGTCATTAAAAAGTATTAAGAATTTATAGTTGGTTTAGTTTATCGATTTTTGTGCACTCCTTGTCGCTAAGATTCTGCAATTTTGATTAATATATATACAGTATATGTATATATATCAAATTAAGCAGCTTGCGTCCTAATGTGTATTCTATTTTTCTATGAATAAAACTCAATTGGAATCTGAACCTGGCCTACTTCATTGACTTTTCTGCATATTTTTACTACCATATGCAATTAGGTCCTTATATTTTTACTACCATTTGCAATTAGGCCTACAATGCCCTTTTTACTTACCCTTTTTTACTTACCCTTTTTTCCTTACCCTTTTTTCCTCACCCTCTTTCTGCTCCGCTAGAATGTTAATCTTTCATAACTTCCCTGTTTAAGATTGTTAATGCCTGGGAGTGGATTGTGTTTTCGTTGAAATATTAAGACCTGTGGTAAAATGGTCTCGTTTCTGCTTAAAGCCATTACAGACCGGCCCTCCCTAATACCTAAGATTGTTAAAAGTCCTTTGTGAAAGTTCATTTCATTCACCACGATTTCAAGTAATCTTTTGTGATATTGTCTAAGCTACGTTTACTGTTAACATTTCCCAATCTCCATTAGGTGAAGAATTCATTCCGAATGGAGAGCATCACTGGCCAGCTAAAGCAAGCCAGGTTCATGGTGAATCGGTGGGATCTCCAACTGGTACAAGTCTGTTGAGTTCCCAGGTTGAATCTCATGCATTGTCGGAGGAAGCAAAGGTTTCTCATACATCAGACATTAAAATGTCAAGTGCTGATATGGAAGAGCAACCATCTGGAGGTATGCTTGAAATTTCCTTGTAAAATACCTTTTGGGGGTATTTTTAAGTTCTACTCGAATTTAATTCGATATTTGATCCTCGCTATAAACTGTAAGTAAATGAGCTTCAGATCAGATCCAAAGTATGAAATAGTGTGTAAACATGTATCAAGGGATAGATATTTGTAAAATTTTCAGCAGCAGTGGTACCCCTTTGTTAAGTCAAAGCACTTTATAGCGTTTTTCTATTGACCTGTAAATACCAGCAATGATATGTTCTTTCTTGATGTTAAACACTGTGTTTGGACACTTGGCAAACCATCTATATTGGAAATTGGGAAATCTGCTAAATTTTCTTTAATGATGTTCTCTTGCATTTTCCTGCATAACACTTCTTTTTATTTATTCATTTAAAGAGAAACTTTCGGAAAGCCCGAAAAAAATGCTCTTGGAAGATTACGAATGGAAAGAGGTGAAGCGAAGAAGTAGATCAAACTCTCTCAAGCGCGATGAAAAGGTGTGTAGTGGATTTGTGGATTTCGATTATTTATCATAGCGTAAGACTCTAAGATAATTGATGACCTGACTTGGGGTCTGCTTACTCAGAGTGGTGCAACATATAATATGAAATAGGCCAATAAGATATATGAAAATTGAGGTAATCTTTATGGTGTTTTTGCTAAAGTGTGTTGGTATCCAGAGCTTTCAGAATTCAGCATCGTATAAGCAGTGGAAAGCAGTCAGTGCCGGTGCTCTGAAACGTAGCCACAGTTGTCAATAGTCGTAGCTATCAGAAGGCTTGATCAGCTTCTAAAATATAGTTAAAATTGAGTCTTTTCTGGTACTCTTTTTGATCGTCTGCGCTTCTTTCTGTTTTCATTTTCAAGAGCTACTGCCTGCTCTTATATCTTCAAAACCCTTATATCTTTATGCAGAATTCGTTAATGATGGCGTTTTAAAGGATCAAGAATTAGGGGTTTTATTTATCGATTTCTTTATCAGAAGCAACAAATGGATATATTTACGGACTCCCGGGAAGAGCTAGACTTCAAATTTGATGAAGAACTTCATGTAAACGAGAGGAAAAGAACTGTGTCTAGTTCCTACGACTGGTAATTCATTTTTGTCTTTCATGTATTTTTTCTCGGTTCTATTGGACCTTCATTGCTGGCAATTAGACGAAACATAATTAGCCAAAGTTTACCATGTCTGAGTCAGGTAGTCACCTAGCTGTCTGATTCACCTAGCTGAAATGTTGGCATGGCCTGTCTAATGCCTGGTCCTTTAGCCAAATATGTCCCTCAAGCTTGAAAACTGAGCTGCAAAATAAAATTAATAACAATTTGAAAAAAAACAAACGTGATACGATCTTTTTTGCTCTTGATCGATTGTTTAAACGTACTGTATTTTAAATATATATATTTTTTAAGGTCTGAGGATTCGGAGGATGAAATGGACGATTTTGAAATCAGCAAATTGATGATTGTCACACAGACACCACCACCCCCGAAGAAACACGACAGAACTGGAAATCACATGAGTCGAGCCAAAATGACTGCTGAGCTAGCACAAGTTATAAACGATGGACTTTATTATTACGAGCAAGATTTCATTGACGAAGACGACGATAGCTATCTTCATAAAAAGGTGCTTTATTAATCTTTGTGTGCTTCCTCCAATTAAAAAAGCATTATTAAAAAGCTTCTTCGAATTTAAAATAAGTTCGATAAATCCCTTGACAATAAGCGAAATCTAGAAGCAAGTGTAAAAACGCCTTTGTACTAGTTCAGATTAGATTGGATTCTATGGACGCTATTTGTTTACCAACAGCGTTTTATTTATTTTATTAGGATTCTATGTTTATAAATTCAATAAAAAGTCTATTATTAACATACAGTGCTATTTATTAAACCGAAATTAATGCTTGTTTACTTTGTAATCAGAGGCTCATCAAGTATTGGACCTGAAAGCTACGTTCCAAAAACGTTTCGGGGATTTAAACAAGCCCCAGATATTTTTTTCAGAAATATCTACTACACATGTACAAGATGTTTTTTGTGTCCAAAATTCCTGTGATAGAAAATTGGTCATTGCTTTGGATAATTCCTATTTTCTGACAACACAGTATTTCTTATTTTTTTCGCTGAAAGTTTGAAATTTTCGATTGTTTACTTCACTAGTTGGAATTGTCTTCCTCGTGGAAAACAGTAGACGTGGTTAGCGAAAGGGACTTTCTGAAGCAAAGAGGAGAAGAACCTCAGGTCCATCGCACAAGGTCGGTTACTTTCACTCCATCTATCGCGGTTCCTGACACGAGCAAATCATCTGCAATGCCAGAAATCACACCGAATATCTTGTCAACATCACCTTTTAACCTAAATGCACCCGAGTTTAGGCCTAGAGCAAACACTTTGCCAACAAAAACAATGGCTCACTCTTTGCCTACCAATATACCATCTCATATGGAGAAGCACGCTGACAAGCGACCGAAGAGAAACCTACATGGGAAGCGACACGAAACTGCTAGATTTTATCCTGCCATTTCAAAGGAGAATCTAAGCGATAAGGTATGTAACTTTTATTGGCAATGGAATAACTGGCAATTGAGAACTCATTTCTGAGACCATTCAATATTTACGTTTACTGTTTTAATGTTGCGTTTTCCTCGTGTTTTATCTTTCTTACAAGAATTTAATTTTCAGACGTTTATTCCATCTGTATCGGTATTTTCCCTTGCTAGGTCGTGGATTTTAGTCTAACAATCCTTTGCTTTTTGTTTCCAGCCACCAAGGTATCACAAAACGAAGTACGGCGCCAATCCACCTGTCGAACATCACGTCGGTTGGGTTTTTGGAACTGCAGCTGAAAATGCCAAAAGGTTTCTAGATATATATATATAAATATATTTATGTTTGTACATTCCAAATATCTTGTCGTATGTACCAAGTCAATTTTTATTAAAATCACCTCGCTATCGTTTTAGGTTTCTGCCCCTATCTCCTAGAATCTTCAAATGAGTTTCCTTTTCTATAATCGGCGCATATCTGCCAGGTTGAATATGGTAATCTGAAAAAAAACTGTACATATTTCATCATTGCTTGGATATGATCGATAGCTCTTTATTACGCGTTATTGCTTGGTTTTGATTCATTGCTTCGCTGCTTTGATTCATTGATTCATTGTTTTTGATGGTTTGATTAATGGCCGCTTATGATTAGCTGCTTTCCTTATTGATCAGCTTTTTTCGTTCTATTTATATATTTAATTATCTGTTTTGATTAATGGTTTCGTTACTGTTGGATACCTTTATTAATAGTTGGTTGTTTTGACTGTTTTTTATTGATTTCTTATAGTTGTCTTCTTTCGTTAATGATTTGTAATGATTGACTTATTTTCATTGGTTGCTTATGTTTAACTATTTCATCAATGATCGTAATTAATTGATTGATTATTGACTGTTTCATCACTGATTGCTTATAAATGGCTTCTTTTGTTATTTTATTGTTGTCTGTTTCATTATTGATTGATTGATTGATTGATTGGTTGATTGATTGATTGATTGATTGATTGATTGATTGATTGATTGATTATGATTGACTGTTTCAGCCACGGCCACCGCCATGGGCCCCAGCCTCACGAGCTGGACCATACCGTCTCCCCTGGCAGCCATAGCAGTAGCTACGGAAGCAGTTTTGGCGCAGACTCCATTCCTAACTTCCAGCATCCATCTCACATGCTCTTAAAAGATAATGGCTTTGTTCAACAAGTTTATTCCAAATATCATCACAAATGTACAAAAGGTGATTGATTTTGTTGAATGAAAAGTTTGTACGTTGAATCACGTTAAGCCATGCCATGCCTTTCATTAATTCGGACTGATTTTCAGTTTCAATCGGATTTTCCCACCTCACTTGAGTCTACAGCCGTGCCTCAGACAAGTTGAGTCATTCCTTTTCCTCCGTTAAAGGTCCGACTTAACGGGATTCAACTGTACTGAACTTTCTTGTTGCAATTTCCAACGCCGTTTTTCAGACTATTCACTTAACAACTACTAGCAAACTTTGTAAGCCAAAAAACACGTATTTGCAATTGTTTTTGCTATACGCAAACTTCAAATGGTATTGGTATAAGCTAGCCTTACCTATTTTCGTGCTGTTTGCTCGACTCTTAAGTTAAAGTTATTTGAAGTCTTTTCATTGTATTTTCAATTATTGAGTGTTACTAGAAGGTTAGACAGACATCTGACGTATGAAAAGCGAACGAAAGGTACTCCTTACTCATCGAAGTGACTTTTTTCATATAAATGGATAAAGACGTGCCTTTAAGATAAAGATCTAAAATTGAAAGAATATAGTGTTTTTTTCTTTTGATCTTAAATTTGCTCTATATTTATATGAAAATTAATATTCAAATGGCTGCTTTTGCAATTTTCACGCTTTATGCATTTGTGTTAAATTAATAAATTTTATTTCTTTCGCAGACCGAAGTAAACTGGGTATTGGTCAATCACAAGAGATGAATACATTATTTAGGTTTTGGTCTTTCTTTTTAAGATCACATTTTAATAGGTAAGATTTGTTCATTTTCATAATAATTTTTATAATTCTCATAATAACCTTCTTGGCCTACTCAGTGTCTGGTATTTCATATCTGTTCCAGCTCTCTGTTTCATATCGCACCCTGCAGATTTGTTTGTAGTGCATTTTTCTCCAGATGTTTGTATATGTTTCGGCCATTTCTTTTTCTACAAAGCTAATCAACCTGCAGCCTGTAAGATATCTTTATACATACGTAGTGAATGAGTAGCTCTCCAGTATAAAGTGTTAACACCACCAAAGCTATTTTTATCATACTAGCTTTTAATTTATTGCTGTTTCATTTTATTACACATATGATGTATCCAAATGCTAATTTCTATTTAATTGTTTCAGTTGGTTTGGGTTGATCTGTTCTGTAAATGTTACTTTTCTCTGCCCAGCTACTGGCACGGCGATTGACGTGTTTTGGTCCTTTGCTTGTTGACTGTGACACCCGTTTAACATGCATTTAACAAATCAAAGAAAACTAGGTACAATCAATGCAGTTTTATTACCCAATAAATAAGCTAAACAATGGCTAAGCTAGATGCCTTTTTATTGCAGAAAAATGTACCAAGAATTCAAAAATCTAGCCGTTGAAGATGCATCAGCTGGATATAGGTAAGCTCTGTTATTCCGAGCGCTCTTGGTGTAAAAATGTTTGCGACCCATTAGGGAAGAGAAGTTGGTTGAATTAAAAATGTTCGATTGTCAATGCTGTTCTTTTTTGCTGATTTTTGTAAAAAAAAGCAACCGGGTTCAAAAGCTCTGGCTTGCAAAGCTAGCAAACAGTGTTATTTTAGGAATTAGTTACATGAATTGATTAAAAAAATGAATCAGTCCAAAGATAAAAATTTTAGAAATTTAATATAGTCATACCCGTTTTAAATGACTGCATGCCTTGTTAGTCATATGTGCCTGTTATTCGTTACTTAACAGTTTTATTTAACCATTTGGACTAAGGATTTTTTAACTTGGCACAGTGTATTGATTTGTGCAAATTTTCCACAGGTATGGTCTGGAATGTCTCTTCAGATTTTACAGTTACGGGCTTGAAAAGAAGTTTAAGCAAGAGCTCTTTAAAGATTTCCAAGAAGAAACTTTGCGAGATTACCACAATGGTGAGAAAGTTTGCAGATAAAATGCATCATAGTAACATTTCACTTACCTGCTTTGCTTTATTTTTTTTATATAAAAAACATGTAAAAAAAGAAAAACATATGGTAAGTGCAGTCTGTTTGGGTCACTGTGATAATTTATAGTCATACCTGTAGCTTATAGGAAGACGTTTCATCGCACAAGCAACCGAGTTGCATTAGCAAGTGATGAACAAGTGATGCAAGCGATAGTGAGTGACATAGCGAGGCTGGCAAAATATGATGTAACCAAGGCCAGATAAGAGACACGGGCTGCTTAAATCCTTGCTCAGTTGTATTTCATTGTAATTAGGCCCTTAAGGCAAAAGCGCTCGTTTTAAAATAAGGAAACAAATCACAGCTAAATCATTTGTGATTGCACAAATCTAAACCATTTGAAATAACCCATTACTTAGCCCAGCTATCCTCAATCATGCGATAATCCAGCACGACGATTAAGTTACTCCACAGATTTCTGAACACTGAGCATATATCAGATTTTTTGAACAAGCATCCTCTGGGACGATATCATGTCACAGTACCTATATATTTGATGGTGTAAAATTTTGATGCACGCTTAAGAACAAAAATGGATTCGAAAATTCTCTCAAAAGCTTCTAAGAAGTTTCAAAATTTACTTTTCTACACTGCATTTCCTAGGTGACCTCTACGGTTTGGAAAAGTTTTGGGCTTTCTTGAAATACTACAAGGTACGTTGTGTCTTTGCTGCAGTTTCTTAGTGTAACACGATATGGTGTATTGTCAGTTCTTCATCTTTGCATTACTTCTAAGCCACAGCTGCTTAATTCTTTTGCCTAGAAAGTCTTTGATCCGTTTAGATTGCATTTATTGCACGTACACATTTCAAACGTGGTTTAATTATTATATTATTTTTATAGGGGAAAGCGAAATTTGAAATTAATGATGAGCTCAAGAAGTTGATCAGCAAATTCAAGTCAATTGACGACTTTAGACTTGAGGTATGCCTATTTTAACCATCATTTTCCTTGGAAAATGTTTATATTTGAAACTGTTGGTGTTGCCTATGGAGTTGAGATGGGTAGACATCCGAGAGAAGAGTTAGCATGACTGCCTTTTCTTTGTTGTTTGAAGGCAGGTCAATAGTTTGTTGAATTATAAACTTGAAAACTATGCATATGAATGGAATTTACTATTTTGCCTGGAAATGAATGGCAAAAACTCACAGATATAAGCTCTCTCTTTCTCCAAGAGCTAGCTGTCATCGAGCTGAATTATGAATTTAGATATTTTGATAGAAAATGTGGATTTTCATTATATAAACATATAAATATTTGTATTAGGGGCATTCTGCTTAAGTACCCCTTAGATTTGGTTTCTTGATACATTTTAAGCCCGACAATTTGCAAAATATTCACTTTGAATACGCAAGACAGAATAAAGATACCGTTTGCAAAATATTCAAGTTTCACCGGAAATGTTTTTACAGGCGCAGCGCCTCGGAGCCGAGAAACGCAAACAGAAAGATGGAGACCAAGGGCAAAGCTTGGCAGCCTCTTCTGGGAACAAAAGGTCCGGCAAGGAAGTTGTTAAGGATAATGATAAGAGAGCAGAAAAAAGTGAAGATGGACTCAAAAAAGATTCCAAAGACATTAAGAAAGTTGAACCAGCCAGAAAAACCGGAAGCAAGGACCATCATAAAAAAATGCCTGAAGGTGGAAAAACATCAACCGCGCCAAGGGCATCAGATGCTAAGGGATTTAAGAGTTCTGGAAAGCCATCAGAGTCCGGTAAACATTCGCATGTTTCTAAGTCAGACGGATCTCACAAGCACTTTGACCATGGAGTGCATCATGGTAAAAAGTCGGACCGAGTTAAATCTCCGGAACATGGAAAGGGCTCTTTAGAACCAATGAAATCGGAAGTTTCAGTGAAAAAGGAAGCTACTGTAGTTGCCAGTGCCTCGGGGTCGACTAAGCACGGAGAGGATTCCAAGACTCCAGTAAATGTTGATGCACAGAAGCATCTAAGATCAGAAAATGTCGAGAAAGGACAGTGAAACGGCTGGTTGTGCAAAGGATTTGTGAGGTCATTAATTGAAATCTTTAGAACAGCTAATTTTATGACAAATTTTGTTGTTGTTATCCTTTTATGAAGGTGTGGGGGAACTGCTCTTTAGAACTCATTGATATGTTTTAGATTTGGAGGTAGAACGTTTTAGTATTTTGCCAATCATGTGGAATCGTACAGTTACTTGAATAGAAGTTCACTAATAATGCTCTGTTACATATACCGTATGGTTTTCCAAAGATTTATTACAATTATCATAGAAATATTTTCATATGCTGTTACCGTTGAATGCTATTTGAATGCTGTCGAAAACCGTTGACGGAAACGCACTTTGTATATGTTTTCATGTTGTATAAATATACCCACTAGTGCTGGGCTTACCCACTAGTACTGGGCTTACCCACTAGTGCTGGGCTTACCCACAAGTGCTGGGCTTACCCACAAGTGCTGGGCTATAACCACAAGTGCTGGGCCCTCCAGTCTCAAGGCAAACTTCGTATCATATCTTTTTTATCACAAAATATGGAGTTCAGAGACTGTTTTTCACGAAAATATGACCACCATACTACTGGGGATTATGTTGGGCAAGAAGTACTTCTTGATGTATTGCTGTTTCCCTTGATGCATCTATCTACCAGCTACTCTAACTAGATCAGCAATCAATTTTTATGGTACGCATTTGTGATGTTTATTCCTCATGTCTGACAGTGAAATACTGCCCATTTGGCGAAAGCTGGAGAGAAAGTTTAAAGCGTTCCTAATTGAACTACAGCAACCTTTGTTTGTAAATGATATTTTGTTAGTTGCCTGATTAGCTTAGGTTCAGGAAAAGTAATTCACATATAGCTAGTCTTGTAATTGGAAACTATCCTCAAGCCAGTATTCTAGCTTAGATTAATAAACGAGAAAAATGCTAAATAAAAGAGAAAATAGCGGAGTCTCTTGTACCCTTAAGAACCCATTTCCCGCCTGACATGAGTGCAATATCATTTCTGAATGTAACGATGTGACGTCATGATTGAAATCGTTATCTCCGCCTTAATGTTGCTTATATTTATATTATTCGCTCACAGTGGTCGACGTAAAAATACTGGGTTTTGATCCAAATATCTACGTTACAGTCTACCTTTCACTATCATTTTCAAGCCCTTGCATCTTTAGTTTTTTAATCGTTTTCAGTCATTTTTATCTTTCATATTAGTGTAGTGGTAAGACGCATTAAAACGTTTTATTTCCAGAGTATGGTTAATTTGATCGAATTAGCTCTAAACTCGACCGATAATGTCGTTGATCCTATCATCGCTGAATTTTTAGACTTGACTGATAAAGCAAGTGATCAATCCTGACCGCCACACTCTGTTTAATCAGCAGTTTGATTTTTTGAATTTGTTCAGGGATTCTTGATGTTACTGGATTTTTGAAATCTCGGTTCTAAAATCCAAAGCCTCTCATACTCTTGTTACCCGTCAACAAAAAGTTTTTGTAACAGACCTTTACGAGGCCTTGTAGTTTGATTTGTTACCGTTGGCTGAACGATGACATAACTTTTAGTGAATGTTGTAAACCTGTGTTTAGTGGATTTTATCACATCCTGCCCATTTTACTGAATTTGTTTTCGCAAATATTAGTATTACCAAAATCCATGTTATCCACAGTAAGCTGCCATCCACTTCAATGCTGCTATCCACAAACTTACTAGTCATGCTAAGTCATCAACCAAATACCAGACCCTGAACTCCCAAGCATACATTTTCGGTGAAAAAGCAATCTAATGGTGGTTGTATTTTAGTATGTAGATACAGGGCTATTTGTAGTGATGTAATATTTAGATCCAAATTGTGTTTTAATGCGTTGCTTGTTTACTTACACCAGGTGCTGGTTATATTTGTCATATCAAAATGATGTAGTGTTGTACATTGTTAATTATTTGTATTGATCGACCCGTTGCTTAGACAGTGACCCTGGGTTTCCGTGCCAGAACTTTGGCATTCAACATAGCCCACATTAACTGCCACAACCCGTTATCCCCACGATCCTAAAAAACCCCACGTCAATCTTCCACTATTGATTATATCGTGCAGACATTTTAAAATGGTTTTGCTGGTCAATGCTTAACTTACCCTTGGTATCTAGGACTTCTAAGGAGTCTAATCGAACAGAAGAGAGCCGCAGAGAAAAGCGGAGAAAAGGAGAAGATAGGAGAGGAGAGGAAACGGTTCCCCTCAATCTTCTATCCATCTGTTCGTTTCCTCCCTTTGCTGTTGCATCTGACTCCTTAGTCTCTTTGGTACAGAGGCTATGCTGAACTGTGTATTCTGATCACTTTTTGATATATCCTTGTCCTGAATGCTGTGATGCGGTGTTAGTAGTGCCGTTCTTTTAGAATTGCCTTCGTTTATCCAGCCCGTGAAAGTTGCCTTAGAATGCTTAAGTGATTATACATATAACCGCAATTATTTTTAAAAAGTAGTATAAAAACGATAAACTTTTCCAGTAGACTCAATTTCCTCTCGTTGTCTTCTTGTTCTAAGCCGTGTTGGAGCCTCTTTTGTTCGACTTAGTTAATTTAACCTCCGTCATTCCTACGGGTTACTTGTTGTCCTTATTGTTTCAATAGCGAAAAGAAAATCAACTCGACATCGGTTAACTTTCAGACGTTACTAATTGTTGTAAGTAAGCCAATAGGCTCGCGAAAAGAGTAATTTTCACTAGGCTTCATTACTTTCCGAAAAAAAGCCACTAGCCTTCCAAAAATGGGTCAATTGCCTTGCAAAAAGTAGGCCAATTGCCTGATCAAAAGAGCCCTCTTCTCATTGCTGAAATCACGTTGAAAAATAAGCCAATAGGATTAGAAAAAGAGCAATTTCTACAAGGCGTATTATTTTTCAAAAAATAAGCCCATAGCGTTGAAAAAAGTAGGCCAATTGCCTTACCAAAAGGGCTCTTTTCTTATAGCAGAAATCATGTTAAAAAGTAAGCCAACAGGCTTGGAAAAAGAGCAATTTCTACTAGGCGTAATAATTTTTCGAAAAGTAAGCCAATAGCGTTGAAAAAAGTAGGCCAATTGCCTTACCAAAAGGGCTCTTTTCTTATAGCAGAAGTCATGTTAAAAAGTAAGCCAATAGGCTTGGAAAAAAGCAATTTCTACTAGGCGTAAACATTTTCTGAAAAATAAGCCAATAGCGTTGAAAAAAGTAGGCCAATTGCCTTACCAAAAGAGCTCTTTTCTTATAGCAGAAATCATGTTAAAAAATAAGCCAATGGGCTTGGAAAAAGAGCAATTTCTACTAGGCATAATTATTTTTGAAAAAAAAGCTAATAGCTTGCAAAAAGTAGGCCAATTGCCTTACCAAAAGGGCTCTTTTCTTATAGCAGAAATCATGTTAAAAAGTAAGCCAATAGGCTTGGAAAAAGAGCAATTTCTACTAGGCGTAATAATTTTTCAAAAAATAAGCCAATAGCCTTGCAAAAAGTAGGCCAATTGCCTTGCCAAAAAGCTCTTTTCTTATAGCAGAAATCATGTTTAAAAGTAAACCAATAGGCTTGGAAAAAGAGCAATTTCTACTAGGCGTAACTATTTTCCGAAAAATAAGCCAATAGCCTTGCAAAAAAGTAGGCCATTTGCCTTATCAAAAGGGCTCTTTTCTTATAGCAGAAATCATGTTAAAAAGTAAGCCAATAGGCTTGGAAAAAGTAGGCCAATTGCCTTGCCAAAAAGCTCTTTTCTTATAGCAGAAATCATGTTAAAAAGTAAGCCAATAGGCTTGGAAAAAGAGCAATTTCTACTAGGTGAAACTATTTTCCGAAAAATAAGCCAATAGCCTTGCAAAAAGTAGGCCAATTGCCTTGCCAAAAGGGCTCTTTTCTTATAGCAGAAATCATGTGAAAAAATAAGCCAATAGGCTTGGAAAAAGAGCAATTTCTACTAGGCGTAACTATTTTCCGAAAAATAAGCCAATAGCCTTGCAAATAGTAGGCCAATTGCCTTGCCAAAAGGGCTCTTTTCTTATAGCAGAAATCATGTGAAAAAATAAGCCAATAGCCTTGCAAAAAGTAGCCCAATTGCCTTACCAAAAGAGCTCTTTTATTATAGCAGAAATCATGTTAAAAAATAAGCCAATGGGCTTGGAAAAAGAGCAATTTCTACTAGGCATAATTATTTTCAAAAAAAAGCTAATAGCTTGCAAAAAGTAGGCCAATTGCCTTACCAAAAGGGCTCTTTTCTTATAGCAGAAATCCTGTTAAAAAGTAAGCCAACAGGCTTGGAAAATAAGCAATTTCTACTAGGCGTAATAATTTTTCGAAAAGTAAGCCAATAGCGTTGAAAAAAGTAGGCCAATTGCCTTACCAAAAGGGCTCTTTTCTTATAGCAGAAATCATGTTAAAAAGTAAGCCAATAGGCTTGGAAAAAGAGCAATTTCTACTAGGCGTAATAATTTTTCAAAAAATAAGCCAATAGCCTTGCAAAAAGTAGGCCAATTGCCTTGCCAAAAAGCTCTTTTCTTATAGCAGAAATCATGTTTAAAAGTAAGCCAATAGGCTTGGAAAAAGAGCAATTTCTACTAGGCGTAACTATTTTCCGAAAAATAAGCCAATAGCCTTGCAAAAAGTAGGCCAATTGCCTTGCCAAAAGGGCTCTTTTCTTATAGCAGAAATCATGTTAAAAAATAAGCCAATAGGCTTGGAAAAAGTAGGCCAATTGCCTTGCCAAAAAGCTCTTTTCTTATAGCAGAAATCATGTTAAAAAGTAAGCCAATAGGCTTGGAAAAAGAGCAATTTCTACTAGGTGAAACTATTTTCCGAAAAATAAGCCAATAGCCTTGCAAAAAGTAGGCCAATTGCCTTGCCAAAAGGGCTCTTTTCTTATAGCAGAAATCATGTTAAAAAAGAAGCCAATAGGCTTGGAAAAAGTAGGCCAATTGCCTTGCCAAAAAGCTCTTTTCTTATAGCAGAAATCATGTTAAAAAGTAAGCCAATAGGCTTGGAAAAAGAGCAATTTCTACTAGGCGTAACTATTTTCCGAAAAATAAGCCAATAGCCTTGCAAAAAGTAGGCCAATTGCCTTGCCAAAAGGGCTCTTTTCTTATAGCAGAAATCATGTGAAAAAATAAGGCAATAGCCTTGCAAAAAGTAGGCCAATTGCCTTGCCAAAA